CTTATAAGTACCTCTTAGTATTAGTATTAAGCTAAAAGATTTTTATAGTAAATAGTATTTATAACTAAGCTAAAAAATACCTTAAAGTAGCTATAGTAATTACTAGTACTACTACTACTTATATCTAAGTAGTTATAATATAAAAAAAAGCTACTATAAGCTTTTTTATATTTAATACTAATAAAAGTAGTATAGCTATAGTTAACTATAAGCTTTTTTACTACTTTTACTAACTAAGGTTATTTTATAACTAAGCTATACTTATTAAGTCTTAGTGTTCTTATAATTATCTTACTATTAACTTTAACTTTACTAATTAGGTAGTTATACTTATAGCGTTAGCCTCCTTACTAAAGTACTAACTTAGAGGAATTATATTTCTTACTTAATCTTAAGCTAAAAGTAGTAAATATTATATTTACCTTAAAAGTAAGTATATATCTTATTCTTATTTACCTTAAGTATAATAACTTATACTATTTAGGAATTAGCTTAGTATAGTAAAAAACTATAGTCTAAGTAAGCCTACTAGTAGGATAGTATTATAGCTTAGTAGGCTTATAATTTCTTATTTCTTACTTTTTAACTTAGACTATATTATTATAATAGCTTTTACTTACTTTAAAGATAATAAGTCTAAAGAGATATTTCTTTTTTATTTAGGTGTATTACTTATTATAAAATTTTTATTTAGAGGTAAGTATTAAAGAGGCTTTTTTTAAGGGGTAAGTAGTATTTACTTAGTTAGGTTTTTTTTTAATATAACTAGGTTTTTAAATAACTAAAAGTTTTATAATTTACTATAAGATAGTTAGATATCTTTTATCTTATTATATAGTCTTAATAAAAGTAGTAAGTTAATATATATATTTTTAATAATCTTTTTTACTATATAAAAGGTGCTTTTAATTTAAAAAAAGTTATTAGCCTAGCTAGTATCTAACTAAAAGCCTTATTACTAGTTATTACTAAAGTAGTATAGTATATCCTTATTAAACTTTATAGTTATAAGGAATTATATATTATTATAAAGACTTTAAGGTAGCTACTAAGTAATATTATAGGTTAGAGTTTACTAAAGCTATATATAGAATTACCTAAGGTTAGAGATTTATTTAGGTTAAAGCGTTTTTAGTATACTATATCTTTAAGCCTATTACTCTTATTAAAGTGTATATATTTCTTTACTATATAGTAGTAAAAGAAAACTTAATAAAATAATAAAAATAGTAAAAATAATAAAATAGTATAAATTAAGATAGTTATACTACTACTTAATATAGCCTTCTTAGTAGCTATTATAGTTCTAATAAGATAAAGCTAGGCTATAGTAGTGTTATAAAGTAATATAATATAAAAGTAAAGTATAATAGTAAAGTAGTAAAGTAAGATAAATAATAATAAGGAGCTAAATAAATAATAGAAGATAAAATAAGTAATAAATAAGAGGTGTATTTATAGTTAGCCTTTCTTTTATAAAAGGTTACTTACTAAAGGGATATATACCTAAGGTATATATAACGTATTATATATATATTAAGTATTTAGTCCTTACTATTTATCTATCTCCTAACTATAGGCACTTACTACTTTATCTTATAATATTTAGCCTTAAGGTAATTTATAACTAAAGTAACTATTATCTCTAGCTTTTATAAGTAGTATACTAAAATAAAGTAATAAAACTAGTACTAATAAATAATAAATATAAATATAATAAATTATTACTTATAGTAAAAGCTAAGCTACTACTTAGTAAATATATAGCCTTATTATAAAAAGTTAACTTATATTAAAAAGAAATAAAAAAAATCCTTTATATAGTAGTAATAACTTAGCTAGACGTTACCTTTATAGCTAGCTAGCTTACTTACTTTAACTATAATCTAAATCTAGATTACTAAAAGGCTATAAATTATATACTTAGGTATTCTTATTAAATATAGTACTTTTACCTTAAATATAAAATAACACTAAGTAGTAAAAATAATATATTAGAGGTTACTTTAGACACCTTATTTACTAATAACTTACTAGACTATTATAGCTTATAAGTATATATACTAAAGCTATTTAGAGGGCTTATCTCCTAATAAGCTAGTAAATAAGATATAGTAATAACATTAACTACTAAGGCTAAATTCCTAGCCTTATTATTTACTATAAAAAAGGCGCTTTTTACTAGTAAATTAATTACTATACTAGGTATTTAACTATTAAGATAACTTAAAACTAAATTATTACCTAATAAATAAGTAGCTACTAAATAGCTACTAACTATTTATATTAGCTATAATAATACCTAAACTATTAGGCTTATTACTAAGGAGCTTATTTATTTATAAAAAAGGCTATAGTATATAGATATTTATAACTACTAGCTATACTAAAAAGTAGTAGTAAATTAAATTACTATTAAATATAAGAAGTCTACTAAATTAATAGCTAATAAATTAATAAAAGCACTTAGTATATTATAATTTACTATATTTATAGCTTAATTAAATATAAGTAACTAATATATATACCTTAAAGTAAATTAATAATAAGAATTAGCTAATAATAAAGTAAAGCTTTACTACTAAATAAAGAAAAAAAATATATAAGATATTAAAAGATAATTAATAAATAAATAGGCTATATATAAAGGATATTTAGTGTAGGCTCTATAGTAATTAATTATATTACTAGCCCTAAGAGGGTATATTAAATATAGCAGAAATATATATAAATTAGCTAGTAAATATATAGTTACCTTATAGTAAATTATTAGGGAATAGGTAGTAAATTAGCCCTACTTTTAGGGGTAACCTTACTAATAATATCGCTAGGATTAGCTAGTGATTTCCTAACTAAGAAATAGGGGTTTTTTTCTTATTTCTATAGGAATTTAGGATAGCTACATAACATATAACAGAATTAATCAAGCAACTATTACAATCCCTGCTATTTAATAAGTTATTTCTTAGATAGATTTCTATACCTAAATCATAGGAAAATAATGATCTGTGCATTTGCCCCTTAGAAAGGGCCAATTAGCAATAGACGCATAACATAGTGATTAATAGTTACATACAACAGAGCAATCAATTAACACAAGGATATTGCTTCCAATTACGCGCTTCAACACAAATACGCCAGTCATTTCTCGAATGGATTTCTCCACCTAAATCAAGGGAAAATAATGATCCGTACATTTGCCCCTTAAGGGCCAATCGGCAATGGCCGCGTAACAGAGATAGCAACACACAACAGAGCAATCAATCAACGCAAGGTTATCGCTGCCAATTACGCGCTTCAACAGTTACATGCGTCAAGGCCAAAGAGCATGCCGCAAAGATTTCAAGTATTGACCTGACGTCACGACCTAACACTAACTTTCTGTTCTTTGTCTTTGAAAATGCGCCGCGTTCTCGTCTTTGCTTGGAGATAGCGACGCTGTGGAAGGCACGCTTGCTGGGATCGTCATACCATCAAAACCTCAACAGAGCCAAACATATACACAGACGTATCTTCCGCCCACGTGACGATGGTACTGGGATAGAAGTGCACTGGCTTCCTGAGTTGTTGGGGTACTCCAAGTTCTTCAGCGGACAGCGGGGAATGGGCATTAATGTCATCGCTCTGTCACGAACATCAGACCAGGTGCACTGCTCCATTGGAACCACACAAACCGCCATGCGGCCCATCCGTCCTAGCCTACCCAGCCTTTTGGAACGACATACGATCGTCGAGTTACCAAGGCACGTTCAAGAGCAGTGGACGTATACTACGCCAGGGCTTCGTGTCTCCACCTCAGTATCTTTGAGGAGATTCAACCGCAGTTCTCTCTACCGGACACCGCCACCAACCGCCTGCAAATACCGACCATCATAATAACTGGGAGTTCTCTCTGGTATCCTCGGGCTATAGCGAAGCCAAAAATAGAAGAAGAAAAAAGAAGAAGAAGAAGAAGAAAGGGAACGAAATATGGCACGGCAAGAAAAATAGTCTGGTTTTGTTCCAACGTGGAAACCCCGAATTCAAGCGGTTTATGGCGGTCATTTCGCCATCGGCAATGCCCCCTTCGTCTGCGCAGCACCTGATGCATTTGACCCTTCGATTTCAAAGCTTGTTTGTTTATGTATGGGCCCGATTTTAGGTGGCCTTTTTGTTCGTGGCTTTACTAGCCTCCCTCGGTCCGGGCCTGGGATCCCGCCATGCCATGCAGACCGCCATTCACGTTCTCGCGAGTGGGACGACCCGGTTGGCCGATAAGATAAGCTTAAAGGCTGGTGGTTGCGCACATTGGGGAAATCAAGATGGTCTTGGTTGTGGTTGATCCTACGACCGTCGCAACACAAGAAGAGAATCAAGGTACTAGAATTGTTTTTCCACGCACCAGCCAATCCCCGTTTCCTTGGCGGCCGTTGGGGGAAGTTGGACCATGATGGCGCCGTTTAGGCTGACTTCTTGGTTGGCAGGCAGGTTGGCAAAGCTCCATGACCCAACGATGCATTAGATGCGGCTGGGGGTTGCATCCTTCACGTCCAAAGTACCTAATTCCAAAGCATCTTGGCCGCCGATCGATCCCACCAAGGCGTTGATCATTGGCCGACTGGATGTCAGCCTGCTCTCCCAGCGGCTAAGCACCTCCGAGCTGAGCGTAGTCCGAATCCTTCGAAACCACAGCCATGGGCAATGCGACCCCCTACGTCCTTATTCTCGTGGCCAGGCTACAGCATAAGCCTCCCTAGTCCCCGTGCCAGATCTGCGACGACGATGGGGAATCGATTGGCGTCCAAGTTTGTCCTGGAGTACCAAACCGCCCTGCACTGGTTTGATTCGTCTCACTCGCATATTATCAAAGTCTCCCCTCTCCTTTGATCCCTCGTACCTTTTTTTTCTTCTTCTTCTTCCCTCCCCTCTCGCGTCCAGAGTCCTTTGCATCCGCATGACAATTCCTACTTCAACAGAGGTAGCCACACCAGTGACTCGGCATCGCTCAAGACCGACACAAGATGCCCAACAACACCAATGGCGCGCCCAGCCCCAAGGCTGACGCTGTTCCCGACGGGTTGGAAGTGAACACTGGCGTCGACTACAGTACAGCACCGCAGGCGTACCAGTCTGCGCCTACGCCACAGCAGCCATACAATGGCTATGACCAACATTACCATGCACACACGCCCCTGACGAATCAGACCGAAACGACATACACTGATAACAACCACTACAACCACGACTTACCGACGTCCGAGAAGAGACGCACCGAGGACGGCACAATATGTGGCTTGCGAAAGCCGACGTTCTGGCTCATTATTCTGTCCAGCCTGCTATTTTGCGCGCTGATTGGTGTGGCGGGAGGGCTGGGCGCAATGCTCGCGAACAAAGACAATGAAATCGAAAGGTGGGCTTCCGACACTCTCGCACTGATGCCGCACTAGGCACCCGAGAATTGAACCACTCGGCGTAGGACTAACATGACCGGCAGTCTCCGATCGCTCGCTGACAACTCGACGAGCGCGACACCCACCGCCTCGCCGACCGCCTCGCCTACCACCTCGCCGACTGTCTTGTTGTCGCTCGCCTTCGATCTTAGCCAACCAGCCGAGACGGGCACGCCCATCGGGCTCAACAAGTGCCCGGGCAGCGGCGCGCTGCTGACGTACGAGGTGCCCGGAACGAACCTCACCTTCAGCAAGGACTGCGGCACCGACTACCTGTACAACGACATTGCCCAGGTGCCCGCCAAGAACTTTGAAGAGTGCGTGCGGTACTGCGCGGCCTTCAACCTGCAGCAGCAGTCGCGCAGAGGGCCCTGCAGAGGCGTTGTGTACATCTTCCTGGGCGAGCAGGGCGAGGACGCCAACTGGTGCTGGATGAAGTACAACAAGAACACGGCGCAGAAGGGGGCCAAGGACTACACCGAGTCCGCCTGGATAATGTGAGGCACGCATATTTGTGAGACTTGGACGGGGTAGAGAGAAAAAAGACGGAACTTGTATTATGGGGTGCGTGGACGGATGCATAGATGCATTGGAGTGTAGCGGATACCCATTTGATCGACATTTACAAAATCGACGCGAACGTTGCGTTCTCGACAGAATGAGAGAGATATAGAGAGAGCATCCGTGATTAAAGGCCCCGGAGCGCGACGGGGAGCACCGCGAACGGCGCCGGCCAGCGGGAGAAGGATGGACGGGACGTGCAGCCGACGATTCTCAAGACCCGGATTCGGAACGCCGGTCACCCAATCAATGACGGTTCCCGCAAGCCGCCTTGCTAGCTCAATCGGTAGAGCGTGAGACTCTTAATCTCAAGGTTGCGGGTTCGACCCCCGCGTGAGGCTCAATTCCTCGCAGCGATTGGAACCAATTCTTTTTTCTGATTTCTCAGTTTCTGTCTTCCTCCCCCCCCCGCCCCTATTCTTCTTCTCTCTTCTGCGCTTATGCTGGGAACGTCGGTCAAGTAAATCTCTGTTTGGTTGTTCATTCCACGCTTCCCTGTTTCTCAATCAACTCGCGTTGCGCATTGTCTGAACAGAGTGGCTCAGGTCACCCACTCAGTTCCCAGTGCCGTACCGAAATCTCAGGCGATTGATTAATGCACCTATGAACGTCTTCCTCGGCCAGTGTCCCTCGAGTAGTGTTCACCATAATTATTGGTCAAGAATGGATGTATACAGCCTGACGTGTGTTGCTCCCGCGCCGCGAGGAGGCCTGGGCTGCGAACCGGTCAAGGGGCGAACGCTACGGTTTATCGAGGCTCGGAAGACAAGATGTGGTAGATGCGACGCGCACAATCCTCAGATGGCGACAGAATCTCGTTCCTCGAATGCCACTTTCCACTACTACTGTTCCGGGGGGGGGGGCTTCAATGTAACCCTTGTCCCCAAAGGTTTGCCTTTCTCGGTACCGCCACGGCGGACAAGCCTATCTCCTGACCCCCCCAGTTCTCCCCGTAAGCCTGGACGAAACGCTTGGATGTGCAGGTCGGTTGTCCGTCGTCCTAGACCACCAAGTCGCCGAGATTGCGTTGCATCTCGTGTTGCATCAACTTGACGGGGAAGCTTTTGCAGATCCCCTCGAGCCGCGCCCGGGGAACAACGTGAGTGCCGACAAGCTACCCATGTCGGCGGCTATCTCATGGCTGGTCGAGGGAAGATCCCCTCGCCGAAGAGTCATTGGATGACGCATCCCGGGAACGAGCGGATAAACAGGCTATTCCACAAACGGCAGCCCGGCGGTGGTATCGTCGCTTTCTCCGCTTGCCGCGAGATCCACCGCCCGGGTAGTATCACTCCCACTCTGGCATGTAACATAAAACGAACAATGAGCCAAACTAATATTCGCGGCATCACAACGACATCAGCAAGGCAGGACATACATAGCCTTTCTTTCAAACCAGACCGGTGTCGGGCGAGAGCGCCACGCCACACGCGACTATGGCTCCTTCACAAGACCTTCCGGCCCCGATCCTGACGCTCGAAAAATGCCTCGTCAGGCCATACTACCTCAGCGACGCGCCAGCCCTCGCCCGGGCCGCTGACTCCAAGACCGTCGTCACCTACCTGCGGAACCGCTTCCCGCACCCGTACACCCTCGCCGATTCCGAAGGCTGGATCGCCATGAACCAAACCCCGCCCATCTTCAACTGGGCCATCGTGTGCCCGACCTCGGGAACCGCCATGGGCAGCATCGGCCTCATCCCCGGCGAGGACGTGTACTCGAGCAGCTACGAGCTGGGGTACTGGATCGGCGAGGAGTTCTGGGGCAGGGGCGTGATGAGCGAGCTCGTGCCGGCGTTTGTTAGCTGGGTGTTTTCCGGCATGAGCGTAGGGTCGGGAGGGGTAGAGAGGGTCTGGGCGGGCGTGTTCTCGGAGAACGCGGCGAGCCAGAGGGTGCTGGAGAAGAGCGGCTTCGTCTTCGAGGGGCGGCTGAGGAGGGCCATTATGAAGAAGGGCGTGTGTATGGACGAGCTCAGGTATTCCGTCGTCCGGACCGACCTGCAGGTGTGACAAGCTACTGTCTGGAGACTTGCCGTGCCAGGAAATACACGAGGAAGTGAACTGAGCTGAGACGGAGGCCGATTTGTTATGTGATATGGCGTTGAGATACGCCGCCGTGAAATCGTCGAGTTGGCATCTCGGCCCATTTAGACTTTTAGTAGCCTGAAGCCTATAGCATACGGAAAGCACCTGTGCCAGAGCAAGATGATGGGGGGTTGGTTTTACTGTTCTCCCATCTTCTCTTGAAGCTGTGTTCCAAAGGAGTGGCAGCGACAAACATCGCCTACCGCATCCATAGTGAACCCTCCCACGAGGGTTCTAAAGGTTAGCAGGGGCTCGGGCATTGTCAGGAGCTGCCATGGCAGTGTGGTTGCTTGCTTGCTCGGTTGCTACCTAATGAATTATTAACGCAGAAAATCATAAAAACAAGTAGCATGCTGTCCTTGTGAGGGCGCAGAGGAAAGATAGCTACCGCAAGAGCAACATCAGAACCGCGGAGGAGTGTAGTAGTAGTAGTAGTAGTAGTAGTAGTAGTAGTAATGAAGAGAAGCTCATGTCCCATCACGGACCGGCTGAAAAGAGAAAAGTAAATAAGAAAAGCATTAAAAATAAACACCGTGACTTGAGGATAAAGTTTGTCATATAAGGCACGAACGTACCGGCCCCGTGCTCCATGACTGCCCTCTTCCTTAATTTTGACGTGGACAGTAGCAACGAGTACGTCACGCCGTTATGTTCGCAGGCCCCGTGTCATGTCATGTCACCCGCCACAAAAATACATTCCGAAAAGCATTATGCGGCCGTCCCAATGCGCTGAGGCGATTCCAAGTGGGCCATGCCGGGGCACCCGCCCGAGGTATTCTTTTTTTCTTTCTCTTTTGGCCCCCCCAGCCCCGGATTGATTGCCTTGTATGTATTCCTGTCGAAACCTGTAGCATATACAGCATGCTACCGGCCCACTGCGAAACTCGAACGGTGTGTGTGTGCGAAGGGCCGGGTCGCCTTTGGAATCAGCAGCCTGCAGGGTAGAGTGCGAGTAAGGGCCTCGAACATGGCAGTGATACACGATGAGCCTCGGCGTCTGATGGATATCTGACGATTCCAACGGATCACGGCTTGCATGGATATGGATCGCATTTTATTTCTCCGACCGTTGTAAGACAGGTTGATGAATGTGAGGGTTCTCCCCCCCCTCTCCTTGATGGCCTCGGCACTTTGCAGCCACCACAGAACCAAACCCCTGCGCTTAAGGTCATTTACCTATACCAGCACCGTGGGAATCCCCTCGGAACTTTTGAAGAAATGTGGTGAAAGAAAGCGCCGCAGGTGTTATGAAGGACACACACACACATAAGGGCATCTTCATCAGTCCAAAAACTGGTGGTTGTCAACAGGGGGTCCCTGGTCAATCAGTGGAACTACTGAGAGCGAACAGGAGCCAGTCGCGTTGCGCACCGCTTTCATACCAACCAGTGCAGCGCCCGGACCTGACAGGCCCGCCGGGCCCCGATCCACAAGGCCGTTGCCGGACATCGGATGAGACTGCGACTGCCGACAGGCCCTCCTGGCCTGTGGCTAAGGGGAACGGAGCGCCCACTGCCTCTCGCCAAGACCCGTCATTGAATCACTCATATGGACGAGCACATCAGACGCATCCCAACGCCCCAGAGGGCTCAGCGAGTTGTTTTAAGGCCGGTTCGGCCTGCCTCTTGCTTCGGGGGGGAGGGGGGGGGGGGTTATAGACGGCCGTTATTATCGACATGGGGGCTGTCTAGCGCCTTTCGTCCCTAGGGGATAGACCGACGGAAGCAACCCCCCCTCCTGACAACTGATGACAATCTCGCACTTCCGGTTTCCTTTCTCTCAGAGTCCGAGGGGAGTATCAATCCTTTTTTTTCCCTTCTTTTTCAGCCGCAATGGTGTTCAAGTGCAAGGGACAGATTCGTGACATCCGCCGGCGATCCATCCATTCCCCACACACTTATTAAACAATAACCCCTCCTCTATCCCGTTGCCCATTTCGTCGAGCTTCGTTATGCAGAGGTGTTCAGTTGGACTTGAGACCGGATGGCATCTGCCAGAGACGAACAGTCGAGTTCCAAGGCATGTAATCATGTGTCAGCTCACATGAATCAAATCGGGGTGTGTAACAGTGTGCCTGATCCTTTGTGGCGAGCGCGACTGGGCGTGGATAATGCCTGAAGTGCATCTAATACCGTCTGGCGTCTTTTTAATCGAGATGGGCACCGAGTCAAATGGCCAATCATGATGTCGGATAGTAGAAGCCTTGAGCTAGCTTCCTGATGTGACCTTGATGGCCTCATAGGCACTTCGGTCCACGTAGACGGACCAAGTTGAGCCCCGGAGCCATAAACTTAAAGACGGTTTTCCATCATGTAGTCGATGCAGAAGACGACGTCACGAATGGTAATTACCAAGTGACCTGAGCGTTCTTGTGCCTGCTCAGGGGGGGCACGCGTAACATGGGTTGTTTTCCACCTCTTATTTAATAGACTTTGGTCAATATCACGTCGTCGCTCTCAGCCCCAACGAGAATGGAGCCACGCTATGACAGAGAGGGAGGGGTGTGTTCTCCCAACAATTAAGAAGCATCTTTTTATTCCTGTATTCTCTTGGCTGCCTGAAAGTCTCCGTACGGGGAGGATGCTCCGTGGGACTCAAATATTGGATTCTTTTCGTCTTATGAGCTAGGCGTAACGGATCAGGGCCCGACGAACAAGTGGTATTAGCTGCAATGCAGTTTGGACGAACGGGAGCAGCGCATTATGTGCCACGTGCCAACTAATTATTCGGGGCATCTCGCCTGGTTAGTTCAACAAGTTCCAAACCGTGATAATATCTTCTGGGGAGGGCGGCTGGCAGGAGTTGGAATTGAAGGCACAGACACCAACAATTGTTTACATCTTGCATCTCGAGGTCATGATCACGGAACTATCATCAGTCTGTGGTTTTTAGGATAACCACGCTACGGAGTCAAGTCCGTAAACCAAGAAAGCTGATTATTTCCAGCACTTGATCAGTCACATTCAAGATGCTCAACGTAGCCGCAAAAGGTCTTGCATCATCAGACGTTCATCCGGTCGCACTGCAACATGGACGCACTCGGACTCGTCGCGTCCGTCAAACGACGGGAGCCGTAAGACCGGCAGCCAGGGGCAAAGCTTTCACCTCAACAATACAATGGGTAGCTGCATGGGGGAAAGGGGGGGGGGGGGTGGACACTGACCTACGAATCACGCCTAGCCAGCCCATGGTACCGGAGAATACAAGCGCGATACAACTATGAGGGGGGGGGATGGCTCGTCGGGAAGCCGAACAGAAAGGATCGGTGAGTGGGTGCGTGTGCATGATACGTCTCGACGACAAATAATTGCCGAGAGGCTCTGTTACTCGTTACCCGTGGCACATTGCCGAAGGTCTCGTCCGAGCGCAACCGCATCCGTCTTCTTCAACGGCTGAGTGGATACGGGGGTGAGTTGTGTGGGTTAGAGGGGGAACATCTCGTACGTATAGGTGAAACAGCGACCCCAAACTGCTGTACATCCGGATATATACCAAAGCCATATATTATCGACCCAATATTCACAGTTGGTCGGTCGCCGCCTGTGGGTATATATCACGGCTGTCGATTCCTTTGACCCCGTCTGGAAGTGTAATATCCTGACTGAGAGCCGTCTGACCTTTTCTTTTTTCGTTTTTTTTTTCACTCTTTTTTTTTTTTTTTGACATTGATCCATCATACTCTCTACTGACATCTGCATAACACATCCCTTCCCCCCTGTTGTTACATTATCCTTTTCGCTGCATGACGAATCAATTAACACGATTGATTTGTGAGGAAATTCCAGTCGTCAGTCATGGACCCACAATATTTGCAACATAGTCGTTGTCGTTCTAACAACCACACGAACACATACCCGAATGTTCAGCAACAAGCAACAGGATGTGGTTATGGACTCTACCCCACTCCATCATCCCACCAGGAATGGCTCCACCTCATGTCTCTCGGTTCCTTGTACCAACCTTTGTTCTATCCGGAAAACACACATGGTTCTACATCACAGTACTGGACCAGCCAGCCAATCGAGGCCTGCAGGTCCCAAGCACTTGCGCCGCCGCCGCCCCAAGGGGTTCCAACGGTTCCGGCGGCGTCTCCCGTCGCGTCCGCCTCGGTGCGCACGCCGAGGTGGGACACATGGAGCCCCCCGAGAGAGGAGTCGCAAAGCCCGGCCGAGGACCGCGGAGAGGAGGTGTGGGAGCCCGAGGACCTCCGCCGCATGGGCTACCTCGACTCCAGCGGCAGTTGGCGCTGCCGGTACGAGGGCTGCCGTTCGAACCGCGTCTTCGTGCGCGCCTGCGACCTGAGGAAGCACTTCCGCGGCCACGACAAGTACTTCTTCTGCACCGAGAGGCCCTGCGCCATCGCCGGCGTCGGCTTCTCGACCAAGAAGGACTACCAGCGGCACATGGGCTCTCACCAGCCCACCATCAAGTGCCCGCACCCCGACTGCGGACGCATCTTCAGCCGCAAAGACAACATGGTACGTCCTTTGCCTCCCCCCCTTTCCCCCCTCCCCCCCTTTCCCCCCTTCCCCTCGAGGAGCACTTGGAGAGTAGACAGACACCTGACAGAGAGAGCAAAACACAGAGGGAACATTTCAGAAAGATCCACATGCGCCTGCGGAACAACCTGTTTCCTCGGCCGTGCCGCCGATCGCGTCGTGCCAGCGAGGTCGCGAGGTCGCCGCCGGCGTCCAACGCCACGAAGGGTTCGAGCCGGGAGGCGACGATGCCAGGAGCCGGCCTCCGTCAGAGCATCGGGATGATGACGCAACAGACCCGAAGTGCGATGGCAGTTGGCTCGCCGGAAAAAGACAAAGGAAGGGGGGGGGGGACTTACGATGCAGTCGTACACTTCTTTTTTCTGGTTTCATGCTGAGAGGAGGGGGAAAAAAGAAATCAGGAACCCGAAACCATGGATTTGGGAGGGGGGAAACCCCCCCCCCCCCCGCCGACGCAACAACCAGAGTAGCTGTGATAACCCTCTCTTGATGCAGTCATCGAAATGCGGCTAGGCCAAAGCTAGATGCTCGGCGGAATTGAGGTCAACACTCATAAGGCGTTAACGACGTAGGGCTGGATTTATGAACGCTCCTCGCGATCAGTGTGCCGAACAAACACTCACGTGCAACAGCGCTCAATGATGGTCCCTTTTTTTTTCGGGTTTCCAGGCGAGGGGGGGGGAAAAAAAGAATTCAGGACCCCAACCCAGGGTTTGGGGGGGGGAAACCCCCCCCCCCCCCCCCCCACGTGTTCGCCTCACACGGGTCCTCTTCCGCCCCTAGCACTGCAATAAAAAAAGAAGAAGAAAGAAAAAGACTCGACCCGTATAAAACACAAATTACCCCCCATACACAGTATCAAACCTTCTTATTCAGGGATCATCGTGGATGGTCCGGCTTCGGCTGATCAGCCGAAGATGCCTTATCCGGTCCATAGCAGCAAGTCTGCCAGTAAGACCATGCTCACGAACAGTGATAAGTGCATTGTACTGTACGCCAAGTAGATTGATGCAATAGGTAATACGACTACCGCAAGACGCTGGAAGTTTCCGAGGGGATGGGTTAGCACCAGGGTTAGGGTTCTCGCGGGAGTATGGTATATCATCGATAAGGGGGGGATGATATCAACAATAAAAGTTTATGTTGGAAGGACTTTTTGGCTTGATACATCACTCATACGAGCTATAAATAGCTTCTGATTATCTTACTCTGTCCAATTCTATTTGGTCCGCATGGCTAGAAAGTAACCGGTTTTATAGACTTTTATGGTGACTGACTCATGCGTACGAATCGGCTGAAATGCTGTTCCAACAGTTTAAAGTATCAATAAACGGACTCAGTGTCTTTAGTCACAAATTCAGCCAACACAACCGTACCTTGCTCAACACTCGACAGCAGAGTTCCCCGATGGCAGAGCAACAACATATTCCAATCCAAGCCTCACCGCCTTACCCGCGTTGAGCGTCACCTGCCAATCGATCTGTCCCGCTTTCTTCAGCGAAGCCGTCGCCGTGCCCCAGTTGACGTCGTCTTTGCCCTCACGGGCCGGGAGCCCGGCGGGCACGCTGGAGCCGTTGACCACGAGCCCCTTGGGCACAAGCACGTCGACCTTGAGCCGCTCGTCCTCGGACACGGGCACCTGGTCGAGGACGAGCAGCGACACGGGCTTGCCGGCGGCGGCGCGCGTGTTGGCGACGACGATGCTGCGCGTGTATACGGAGCTGTCCTCCTTGGAGAAGAGCCCGGTAGTGGCCCGCCGGACGTCGACCTTGGGATAGTTGACCTTGATCGCCGGGTCGACGCCCAGGCCGAGCATGAACATATCGCCGTCGCTGCAGCGGGGCAGCCGTGCGCGGCCCAGGAAGGTGCCGTCGAGCGTGAGGCCGGTCTCGCCTCGGAGCAGCGTGAGCCGGCTGTTGTTGCGGATCTTGGCCTTGAGGTAGGCGACCGGCTTGTACTTGGCGACGACGGTGTGGCTGAACTGGACGTTTGAGAAACCCACCCGCGCGACGCGCTGCTTGGACGGGGTTGGACGGGGAGGCAGGGTCTTGGTGCCCGGGAGGTCGTAGGTTGTGGTGAAACCCGTCTCTTCCACCGTCGACTCCTGGAAGTCGACGTTCTCGTCCTGGCTCAGCCACGCCGACAGGTCCAGCGAGTCTCCCTCGTGTTCCTCGAAGCCCTTGGTAGTAGCCGATGCCCGTCTTGCCGCCGCCATTTGTGCTAATTGGGTCGGATGAATCTGCATCTGTTGCTGCTGTTGCTGCTGCAGCTGCATTTGGTTTTGCAAACCATGCTGTGGAGCCCTTTGTAGGAGGAGCCGGCCCTTGTTCTGCTGTTCAAGAACCATCAGACCCTCCTGATACGAGCGGAGGGCCTCTGGCGAAGCGGAAGAGCCCGAGTTTTCGACTCCGAACAGGTGATGGCGAGGCTTCGAGGCGTGTGTCGTCCTCTTCTGGACATTCCACCAGTCCCTCCGTTGCTGGCGCTCATCGAGGCTGTCGAGAATGCCATTCTCTCCGGCGCCGACGTCTTTGGGAGCCAGCTTGATGCTCCAAGGCTTCAGCGTCGGAATGCTGTTCTCGAGCCCAGAGAACATGGCCTGGGATGTCGAGAGGACGACCTTGCAGTTGCTCCACGTCTCGGAAGTCTCGTTCGTGATGCGGGCGTCGTAGCAGAGTGTGCCGGTGTTGTTCGTCGTGAAGAGCTGGAGATCGTAGCTCGGGGTCCAGGATGCAGAAGATGTGACATACGACAGGGTCAGGTCGCACTTCAGGTCCGCTACCTCGGTTTCCTTGCCCGATGTTGCGGCGGAAGCCTGGACAGTGTCGCTGGAAATCGACGTCCGGCGAGAGGACACGGGAGTAAGGACGGCCGCTTCGAGGGTTACCCGAACGGAGTAACACAGCTTCGGCCAGAAGCTCTCGCGTTCCTTTCGAACACGCTGCTTCTCCCTCTGCCGTTCTTCTCTCCTCTTTGCATTCTTATGCTTCCTTCTGGCCTTATCTTTCAGGGCCTTTCCTCTCTCCTTGGCGGCTTCGGCAGCCCCTTTTTTCTGCTGTTTGAAAAGCCGGCTTTCCTCCTTCAGAGAAGCACTCAACAGCTCCGTATTGGCCTGGCCACGAGCCACTCCGGCCATGTGGTCTCGGAAAATCCTCTCTCGTTCAGCCCGGTAAGTTTCGATGCTCTCGGCAATGTCGATGCTTTCCTTGCGATCAAGTGAAATTCCATAAGCGTCGAGCATTTTGAGCCGGCTGGCAGCGCTATCGACAACTTCTTTCGCGCTGCGCTCCTCGCTCCGCAGCTGGCGTATCCTAGAACGCAAAGAACCGAGCTCCGGCGACTCGGACGTGCCGTCTGCGCTTTCTTCTTCGGCCTCGGATTCGGCGTCCGGCACGTCGTCGTCCGAATCCGGGTATATATCTTCAAAAATGTCGCGGTTGGGAAGCAAATCCACCGCAATATCAGTGATTACAGCAGAGCCAGTTCCATCTACCTTTATCGTAGACTCGTCTACAGTCGGTGTGAGACCTATGATCGTGACCTCATTGGTTCCAGGCTGGCAATGCTTTAGTTGCAATTCCCAAGCAAGTATTCCCATGATGGAAACCTACCTTCAGTGGGAGGTTCTTAACCTCTCGGAAAATTTGGGCCCTGGTGGGAAAGAGAGTGACAGATTTGGTGGACAGATCGCAGACATGGTATTCCTTATGGTGAATGACGTCCATTGTGGTCTACCGCGGCGTGGCTTGCAAGTTGTAATTGTTAAAGATTTGCTGGAGTCTTTGGGGAAATTTGCTTTGAACTGGAGGCAGATATTTAAAGAGAGGATGCTGGAGATGTAAAGTAACAGAGATGAGGAGGGTTTCCCTCGTATTTGTAGTTTTTTTCTTGGAAATGGGAACGAGGCACTGCACTGCAATAGCGGCAGCTGAAATGGTTCGCCATATTAATTATAATGTTGCCTGACAGATACGACGGGCTGCGGAACTCCATTCCTCCGCCGCTCCTAAAACAAATGGGCAAAAAGGCCTGTCCAGTTCACGCTAGGGCCCCGAGTGGGATAAAGCGCTGAGGATTCGTTTCATTGGCGTGCACTGCGCGACAGGCACAAGTACACGGACATTTGAACCCAAGTTGTTCCCTTAATGGCATGTCAAACATTATGTATTTACGAAGCTGGGATTTCGATGTGCCACTCATGAGACCCTTTATCACAGGAGGCTCATGCTGTGGCGGGTTGTATTAGCCACGTCACGTGCCATGCCACCTGACCAACCTCGGCACTTATATATCCATGGGCCCTCCCTCGTGGGAACCCATTTCTTACAATCAAGCTTCTCTTCACCTATTGTATGCCCCCCATTTACTATCCCATTGAGTGTCAAGTGACCTCACATAACCCAAAAGTGGGTCTCTGTAAATAATTACTGACAGCTATTGAACACTCAGCCTGGATTGCTATAGTCTTATTGGTCTGTTATGTGAGGTCACTCGGCACTCAATGGGATATGTCCTAGCTCTTGAGATCCTCGCGGGTGCTAGTCGCCCTCTTAGGCATTGTAATTGGCTTAACCCTGCCAGGCAAAACGCTTTAACGCGGTATGAAGCCGTCGCTGTTATGCCTTCGACTTTTTAAGCTCTGTCGGCCTTTGTTGTGAGCTTAGCATAGCCACCATCGCCGGTCGTAATCAGCGTTCTGGCACCTACGTATTAAGCCGTCGTCAAGTTCTTTTCAAGCTTTGTCTATAATTTATTATCCAAAGTCCAGGAACCGTCTCACAGCACGTTGGCGGCGATGTGCAGCACGAACTCATGTCCTGTTTACATGTTTCATGCCTGCTGCAGAAATCCTCAGAACCAGGTGTGTCAGGGACAAGAAGCCGTTACAGAGGTAACAGAGGTGTAGGGCTAATAATTACATAATGAGGGCCAAGTATAGACAAAGCGTAAGTAAAACCTATATAAGAATAAGGGGTAATAAAGGCGCTTGGAGGAAGAAAAGAGGGAGGTAGCTTTTAGCTTTAATAATACTATATACCTACATTTGTATTTACAGCGTGCTTGCCTATCATTCTAGCCACCAACCCATCGCCAATCGACACCAGGAGTTAATATGTATTGTTTTTCATTGTAGCCACATCCCCTTCCCCGCAGAGCATTTAAGAGCAGTCTACTTTATTAGGCATATTTTCCATCACGGCAGCTGCGGCGTCGATCTTGGCTTTTACTCCCATTGCTTAGCCAGAAATCGAATGAAGGATCTTTGTGGTTGTGCCTTACTTACTGTACACGTAAGTTCGAACCTCGGCAGCTGTGCCTGCGTAAATGGTCTACACATTCGCAGTCAGTCGGCACGTCGCTATCTACACCGCAAAAGGCCTCAAGCGTACAAACGCGGGCGTCCGCATGATTCAAGAGCTGACCGGGCAAACATCTACCTCGATTTCGCGGCCAAAGGTAACACCTGTGTGACCTCGCAGTTTCGAAAGCGAGCCTACAAGATAAGAATACTTCCTAGTCTCTGGTACCAAACCACGAACCCTTTCAATGTTTTTACGCCGATCAATAGCTTTACCCCAAGTGTAGTAGTGCCGTAGAAACCATCACCATGTTCCGTCCAAATTCATGGCCATACCGACCTCAGACAGACAACTATTACGTCTGGCCTTTCGGCAACGTCGGTGGGACCAGATTCAACATCGACATCAACGGCCCTTACCGTCGGGAACCCCATGGGCTAGCGTTTGCCAGCCCTGGCCCTCGGTTCTTCGACTTTAGTCAACTCTTCAACATCACCAACAACTTTGGCGCGGGACCCGTCCACTCTGCTCAGCCCGGGCGTCTCCGCAACCGTATCACCATCGTCCTTCCCGACGACTCCAGGGTTCTCCTCGACCGCGAAGTCCTGCACGAGCACCTCCCGCGAACACGCAACTTCATGCAGCACGGCCACTTCGGCCTGCCCGAGTTCCTCCGAGGCTACGACCACGGCATCATGGACGACGTCATAGACCCGCGGGGGTTCAACGAAGCCTTCTCCCGTGCCGCCACCTTCGTCTTCCGACACCTCGAGTACCTGAGCCGGTCCAACGCGTCACCTTACGCCGTGGGTAGCGGTACTCTGGACCTGTTCGCCCGGCCTCGGTTCCTCCTCGCCAACGCCCGCGATCGAGCCGCCACCGTCCACGAGATATTCTGGCACGTGTTCGTGCTCTGCTGCGTCCTGGACCAGGACCGCGCGCTCGGGTGCTCCGATATGCTGGCTCGACCCATTGCCGAGTTCCTTATCGAGTTCATGCCCAGCGTACAGGCGTTTCTGCCCCCGCAGGCGATGCAGATGTTGTTCTTGGGGTACGCTCGCATCTTTCGCGAGTCGAGGTTCGAGCTGGAGGTCCTCAGGGAACTGTGGGAGTTGATGGATGTGGCGAACCAGCATGCCATGAGGAACTTGATAGGACCGCAGCTGGCGACGAACGGGATGGGCAACAACGCACAACGGATATGGACTGCACTGAGACACCTGGGCTTGGTATAAAAGTCTGTACAACTCGCCGCCTGTATTTGTTTCATTGAGTTCCTGCGCCGGTCAATTCTATCCTTATTGGATCAAATGCGACATCGTAGAATGTGTACCTCTGGCTTATAAACGTCTCTATACCGTGGATGCGCTTTGCCTTAATGTCTAAAGACTTTTATGATGACTATAGAACTGTCCCTCTTGTCCTATACCACTGTTTCTCCGATGAAGCTATCTAGAAACGTAAAGTCAAAGTTCTCTAACGCCCAGTCTTCTTCGTCAACTTCCTGTCCGAGTAGTGGCTGTTCGACGTATTCTGTCCTCCTGGAGCCGTTTTTTTCAACATCATTCAAGCTTGTCAGAGTAGGTATCGGACTTTGCCTGCTCCGGGTTGAAGGGGCGCTTCCATCTCCAGTCATGCTTGATTCGAGACGCAGCTTGCTGCCGACATATCCGCTTGTTGTTGAGTGACTCATCGGTAGTTGCTCTCCTCCAGAACCTTTTCGTTGGATCTTGATAGCCCTGAAGTGGGGGAGAAAGATCTTCAACGTCGTACCATCTTCGGACATTTTCACACTATACCCTAGGTCATCATGGTCTGGCGCTTCTGGGGAAAAGGCAACGAGATATTTGCCGCCAGAAGCCACGTCCTCTTCTATGGGCAAGAGATAGGCGAGGAGCGAGGCGACCCTGGCTCCGATTTCGTCCTTGTCCCGATCAACCAGCTCCTGCATGGCGGCCAGTGTTTGTTCCAAGAGCCCCCGGTCGCTGAGCCGCTGATGGGCGAGAAAGTGAAACCCGTGCTGGGCGGTGACATCTTGAGGCGCGTCGCAGATATGGGCAAGACACAGGGCAGTGCTCGATAAAAATGCTATCAAGTCTATTCCTCTGCAGTAGTAGCGTGAAGGTCGACTCGCGCGGAAGGACAGCACTCTCGAAAGGATTTCACGACCGGCCGTGATAGCCGTCATCCTATGATAGATATGGCCGCATTCGGATATGGGTCGTAGAACGTTAGGAAAGTGGAGTTGAAGAAGTAGGTGGTAATACATGGTATGGTCACAGAACCGAAGTCTTTCGCGGATCCTTTCCAGGGGGCCGGCGTCTGATGTGAAGGTCGGGGGCACCCACCACTGAGCCGGCATCAACGCAGAAGCCTCTTGCAAAAACTTGTCGATCTCCTTGTTGTCTTCAGGACCGTACACAATCGAGGGATCCCGCTGGAGTAGCTGGCCACAGGCAACGGTGCATAGGCGGAAAAAGCGGTCCAGGGGCGCGCATCCTTCTAATGCGTCTGGACGCGCGTAGACGTCATCCAAAGAGCTTTGCGGCAGACCCAACATGAGGGAAAGATAACGTTCAAACTGGACGAGCCGAAACCATAGATCGCCAGGCTCGATGACGGACGCGGTCAAAGATTTCGGCCGGACGCCCCGGTCTAGGCCCAGCATCTGTGCGATGGCGACAGATCGACGCGCAGCAAGCCACGATCTTTTCAGATTGCCTGCGTAGTTCTCGTACAGGCCGTCCATCATGATACACTCAATACCTTCGAGAGACGAAACCATCTCGTCGTTGCAGACAACCAAATTATGGGCCGACTTTACGGCCCGCGACATCACTTCTTGCCAGGGTACACTGAGCTTTTCGAGATGATGGAGTGACGAGGAAGGTATCCCTTGAAGAAAAGAGGCAAGAATTAAGAGACTCCGAGCAATCAGGGCAGGATGAGATCCTCGGGGCGGTAACTCCAATAGACTTGCGGACGAAAGCAGCGACGTTTGGGCTGGGCTGATCCTGATACATATAACCGCCCGGATGACTTGTGGAGTATCTACCGGTATTGCCAAGATTGTTCTCATATCTTCCTGGTTTGGCCAGGCCTTGAGGAGCTGGTTGGAAATGATACCGTACGTTTCGGCTTTTGATGTGTTCTTCTCCACATCAATAGCAGCAGACAAGGCAGTTCCCGTGGGCGATGTTTGAAAACGGCTCTGCAAATGTAGGTTAGCAGACTCTTTAAATTATAGAACGGTAAATTTTACCTCACTGCATGAAACCAAATGTCCATGTTGCGCATGATCGATATCTGACGAGAGTGGTGGTGTAGTGGACGTAGCGCTCGTCGAATCAACCCGGGAACCAGAACGGCCTGGCGTCTTTCTTTGAACCCGTACCTGCTCTTCAGGCCGAAATTGAGTAGGCAGACCATCGCTGGCAAAGAGTCCGGTTTCGTGATTGGTCTGAAGCAGCTGTTTGACCAGAGCTTCCACCTGCCCCAGCCTGTCAACGAGGTGCTTGTTGCTTCCTGGAGGAGGCGGTTCGTCGGTAGCCTCTTGACTGACACAGTCGATACCGCGACGCGTGCAGCCCTCGCAGACAATCTGATTGGCGGAGGAGAAGGTACACCGGGCTTTCCGTCGCTTGCATTCCCAGCAGCTCTGGGTGCCTTTGCGGAGCTTCCGGCGCTTTGGTGCCGGGCCGGAATCTGGATCAGAATCGGCGAGCGGGACTGGTCTCAGCTGGCCTGCTGCTTCCATCTCGTAGGCTCGGAAAGGGGCTTGATGCGTCGAGTTCATGGGGAAAGGAAACTAGTATGAGGAGGCAAGCAGCCTGGGTGGGTATGCTCGACCGCCGCTTTGCCGGAGATAATCAGCTAACGAGGAGGAATTAGTCATCCTGCTTATGCAGCGTACCGCCCGAGGAATCGGCGGTGGAATTAAGGAGCGGATTCTCTGCCACCGCCACAGCCTGTTCCCTTTGTTTTGGTGTATGTGCAAGTTCTCGCTTGCTGCCACTACCTTTCCGCTGTTGGATGTGACAATACCACCTCTCCGGCTGCTCGGCGGAGGCAGGGACGGTCAGATGTCTGATAGAATCAAACTCAATAGAATAGTGGAAATATATATTATGTTGCAGTATCCCTTGTTCTAATAGCTATGCTCTTTCGTCAAACTACACCAACAACAAAAGGATCCCAGAATCTCATAGTTCTTTAATTTAAACCGTTATCAACATGGTCAGAATTGCGCTTGCTGGCGGAGCTGGGAGTAAGTCATCCCCGGAGCTCAATATTCCATTGAAACTGACTGAATGACTCTGTAATTAGACGTTGGAAAGGAGGTCCACGATGCTCTGGTTGCGAGAGGGAAGCACGAAATCCTGATTCTGTCCAGAAAGGTATTGGAAATCCAAGAGACTGTCTCCAATTCAGCTCACCTATTTGCTAACCTGGATTTTGATGATTTTAGGACGCACCAGCCGAGGCACTTTCTCCCGGGGTGCAATGGATCAAGACGAGCTACGATGATGTCGACCAGCTGGCAGAAGCTCTGGAAGGCGTCCACACCGTACTCTCTTTCATGACCGGACCTATGGATCCGACCAACGCCGCGCAAGAGGACGGACAGAAACCACTAATCGACGCCTCTATCAAAGCTGGAGTGAAACGGTTTGCTCCTAGTGAGTGGGCTACGTGAGTGATGCATGCCTACGTCCTTGCGCCATTTGTCTGACCCGCTGTGGTAAAGGTCCAAATTCAACCACATGTTCTGGTACAACTTCAAGGACAAGATTCGAAAGTACCTTATGAAAGTGAACAAGGAGAAGAAGGTAAGCCTGAGACAACACGGCTGGATTGTTCGAAGGCTGATTGATATGGCCATAGGTCATCGAATATACTCTCTTTCAGCCAGGCTTTTTCACCAACTACTTGACCTTTCCTTTCAGCTCGGCCAAGCATGTCAACCTGTTTGAAACCCCAGTCAACTATCACCAACACCGAGTTCTTACTACTGAGGGCGGCGAAGACGCCATAGTCACTATGACTACAGCCCAGGACTTTGCCAAGGTTGTGGCATTGGCCGTCGAGTATGAAGGAGAGTGGCCCCTCGTCAGCGGGATCAAGGGGGGAACGATGACCATTGGCCAAATCATCGCCCTTGGTGAGAAGCTTCGCGGTACGTGTTCCGAAAGAAACCCAGCAGCCGGCTAGGCCATACTGACGTACGTTAATAGGTAAACCGTTCGAAGTCACCAAACTGAACCCCAAAGATCTCAAGGCCGGCGTGGTCAAAGCTCCGTGGTTGCCCAGGCTCGTTCACCCCGCCATCCCACAGGAGACCCTCGATGCTGTTATCCCCAGCTTTCTCGTGGGATTCCTCTTGGGTATTTCGGCCGGCAACTTTGAAGTCTCTGACGAGTGGAACCGGCTCCTCCCTGACTTTGAGTTCACTCAACCCGAGGAGTTCCTAGCTACGGCGTGGGCTGCAATTGACGCTGGTGCGAAGAGCGTTCACACTGATTAATACTGAGAGACATGAAGGACGATCGCGGTATCCCTTCCAAAGACAAATTCGAACTATGTAGCATTTTGTTAACATGAGCCACATGAAAACAAGGCTTCAACGACAGATGTGTGTCCCGCTCCCTCATAAGCATTCTAACCAGTTGGAAAGCTGAGTCGTGCACAATGAATTCATTTAGAGAACTGTGTATCACTATTTCTTAGGCCCCTTTCCGGTTCACTCTAAGTGCTGAATAATCTGTCTGGAGCGGTAGGGTCATTTCAAGTTGAACGTTCTCTTCGTCCTATCCAGTTGGCATTCACACCAGCCCACGAACGTGAAATATAGGTAAAGCAGAATGGCAAAACGCATGGTTCGTACTAGTAGAACGCACATTAAATCTAGCCACATTTCATCAGCAAGTCATTGTGGGGGGTTGACTGCATGCTTACAACGCCGAACAAAAAGTCGTCGACTTGACTGGAACTTCGGACATCATGACCCTGTCTTGGTACTTCAACTATTACCGCTTCGATCCAGATATCAAATATGTGTATGTCTCCCTCTCAGACGTTAGCGTTCCCCTCATTTAGAAGGCGGCTAGCGGACCAGCTCCAAAGCCAGGCTGCGATCACAATCTTCGTCCCCGGAGCGGAAGCAGCAGTCTTCGAAAGTCTTGGTTGAATTGTGTTTGGGGTAGACATTGTTTGCAATCAGGGTTGTGCTGTAGCTCTGTTGTCATCTTAATGTCGAGGTCTACGAACCTGAGTTTCTGCTTCGAGAGAGGAGCTATTTATACTAATATGAGTTGAGATTGACTAAATTGTGATTAGACATTAACCTGTGTGCTCCAGTAAGTCAAAATCGTCTCTGGCTGTTTTGTTTGCTACTACTCAGCGGTCAATCCTCAACCACTTTAGGAGCCTTTTGAACGGACGCGGAGCAGCAAAAGCCCCTAAACAAAACAGTACAAGGGTTGCTTTTGGTCTATGCAGTTGTCACACGCGTCTTCAAGAAGCCGCAAAAGCTTTCAAACATGGCCTGGTCGTGGCCTTCCCTCCATCGGCAGAGGACGGATATGCTTTCTCTACCGACCCGCAGTGCGATTTCGAACCCAAATGCGCACACCTCCGAGTCCATCATAACGTCTACAGGCTTGCCCTCACGCTCCTCTCGCGCTTTTTTCCTTCTCCAAGCGCGACTCCACACGTTCCCCCGTGCCCTGCCGACACCAACAAGTTTCTCGCGATTCCACTGGCAAGAGATGAGCTCCAACGAAGACATCAGCTCGTGAACCTTGTCTCCGAGCTTCCCGGCCCCGGTATCTAGAGGCAAGTTGACGACCTCCGACTCGACAGCCACGGGGAGTATCTTTTTCCACACGGCAGCCTTCATGCCCCGTGCAACTTCCTCTGAGGGCCTCATCGGCCCAAAACTCCAAGCGATGGCCCATCTTCGGGTCTTGTTGCCTTGCACGAACTCCGTGATGGCGTAATTGTCGATGGCCTTCTCCCGGAGGACACCGACAAACTCCTCGAGGCTGGACTGCTTCCCGAACATGGACGTGTACCACTGCACGCGTTCGCGTAGGACGAGGGACTCTTCGAGCATCCTGCCGACGAAGCTGACCTCGCCGCCGGCGGTTACCATCTCTACCGGCGCTCCGGTGCACGCCGTCGATGGGGGTCGCGACTTTTGCTTTGCGGAGTCGACCATGTCTTTTTCGGATGTGTAGAACGGGGGGTTCGTCATGACGAAAACTAACGAGTCGACACCGAGCTCGTCTAACGGAACCAGACGGTCTTGCGGCGTGCGAGCGACGACTGAGATTCGATTTTGCAGGTTGTTCAGCTCCACGTTTTTCTTCGCGCAATTTATGCTTTTGGGATCAATGTCTGGAGACTGTCAGCCTTGGTTCCTTCCGACAGCCTGCAAAAGTTTGGTACCTGTAGCAAAGAACGACCACAGTCGTTGGGTACATCCCAAGAGCGGGTAAATACAGCTCGCCCCGGTTCCGATGTCGAGACCAACAACCTTCCTGTCTGAATCGTCGTAGGTGGTACTATCGAGCAGACCTTTCAGCCATAGGATGTAGTTGTGACGATTTGGTACCTACAAGGGTCAATGTTCAGGTATTTTCCCCTATAGACATGATGGCTTTCTTACCGGAGGACGAAGTCGATCCTCGGGCAACTCAACCTCTAACCCGAAGTCTCTTTTGAGCAACGTCTTTGTAAGTTGCATCATTGCGGCAGGGTCATTGAAGTCGAGGTTCCCTCGCTTGAGCCTAGAGGAATGTCAATATTCTGATTAGTTGTGGACCTCCGGGACGTCTTACATGGCCCCGAAACTGGGGTCTTCACGGCCCATCTTACCAAAATCCGGTGCGGTAGAGTACAGATTGCGATAGTACGCGTCTGCGTGAGGTCCGGGCTCACGAGGTCGAATGCATGTTGACCCGCGATCGGCATGACGAATTGCATCCTGCATGGTCGTGTCGCTTGGTTGATGGAGTTCGTCGTTGGAATGGCGTCTTTTCTTCTTATTCATCATGCTTTCTGGTATTTCGCCACCCAATGATAGGGGCGGATGAGCGAACGGTTTGGATGATGTTGTTGGCAGCAAGAATTGAAATCGGGATAACCCGTCGTAGGGCGAATACATGCATTCTACTGCCTTATCGCATAAACACTCCTGATAGTTGCATATAGTCCTACTGGTTGTGCCATCGTGAATCGAGGCAACCCAGACCCTGCAGTGCCTATCCTTACGATGGGATGATAGGCACATGAGAAAGTCGCTCGAATCTCCTTTGCTCAGCCAGATATGTAAATGAGGCTTTATCTACGATAGTCATTTGCCGATAATCTGTCATGTGCCCCGACTCAAGTTTGGTCCTAATAAGAATCGAAATCCACACGCTGTCATCATGCAACGCCGCTGTTTGCTCATGCTCATCATATATACTCGTCACGTTGGCCATGGAAACCTTTTCGAATCATTGACCCCACATAAGCACCCGCCATCGCCATCCCTCCAGCAGCTTCATGTCCTGCTCGACGATATCGGCGTCGCCCCGCTCAATCTTGGCACCGAGTCGCTTCAAGCGTTTCGAGACTGTCTTGGCCACCTGGAGGGAGACCTCGTTGGTGAAAACATATAAGACGGCGAAGACGAAGAAGGCTATGCTGGCGAAGCTGTTCCGGCCGAGGAGACTGTCCTTGATGCGAGCGACTAGTGCCTTACTGCGCCAAAAGGCGTACTCGGTGCTGTTGGAGGCCTGCACCTGATCCTGTGACCTGTCAGAAGGCCGGCGGAAGATTCTCTTTACGGCTGGGATGAAAGTCGCCCTGGAGTATGTCAATATCGAGTGCCCCGGATGAAGCACATGCCGACTGCAAACAACAGAGACTTACACGGCTCCGCCAATCAGCCAGTTCCTCCAGCGGTGATTCTCGCCCTCCTTGATCAGGACCCCGACCTTTTTTCTCAGGAACTTGAGGTCGCCAAGCAGAATTCGGCCCTGGTTCCTGATCTGGTCTTCCAACTCCAACGACGTGGCGCCATCGAGACGACCCCTCTTTCTTTGAAGGGCCAGATATTCCCGCAGCGCGAATTGAGTACTTATCTTGACCGATTTCAGGTCCTGAGGGGTCGGCGCGAGAGGGTTGAAGGCGGCAGCGGCGATAGCGGCAGGACGGGGAGCCTCTGCCGCGCTCACTTGTTGCGACTGGGGACTCGGATAGGCCGCTGGACCAGCCATATGCTCAACCGGAGGCTGAACATTCACGTTGGATAACACCCCAGGTGGAGGTCCTCCATAGCCTTGGCCCGGGTAAGGGCCCGACTGATCGATAGACTGAAGCGGCCCAGAGTACTGGTCAAACCCCAGCGGGCCCCCTGAGGGCGCAGGGAATGCGCCAGGACCGTTGTACGGCCCAGACGATGTTACAACCGGCTGCTGAATATTCATAGCGTACCGTACTCTCGAATATCGAACGAGACCGGTGGAAGTAACGGCGGTGAAGGAAGTTGGCGAGCGGCAACAACGGTGGATTGGGCGGGAGCGGGTCTACCAAGCAAGGAGTAAGTGGAATGAAGAACAGAGAACAAGCGGCCGAAAGCAAGGAAATCCCTATGAGCAACGTTGGGCGACAATATGGTCCATGAGAAGAATAAGCGGGTGGCGGGGGATTGGAGAAGAGCTGGAGGCACAGCTCAGCTCACTGCAGGGCGAGAAAGGCGAACGGCGATGAGGAGGCACGCACTCAGTGCGTAGGTCGGGGAAGGTGAAGGCGGGAGAAGGTGGGTCTGCCAGCGAACGGGACCCACCACGGGAAGTGGGTCCCATCACACCGTGTTAATATACGGATGAAACCTTTTTACACACGTTATTCTGTCGTTTCTTTCAATTGTTGCAGACTCGATGCAAGACGAGACGAAGCTCTCTCCATCCACATGTATTGCTCTGCGCCCCCCTTTCCTTCCTTTCTGGACTCGCCCTAACCCACCATGTCTGATACAAGAAATTCACGGTTCACGCCGTCGAACAAAACAGTGACTGAGCGCATCTCGGACAGCACCGTCGGCCTCGTCGCGCTCTCCGATTTCCGCAAGCGACGCGCCGAGGTCCTCGACCAGCAGGACCGCGAACGAGAGGCCGCCTTGTCCGGCGCATCCACCCCCGATCGATCCGTGTCTATGACATCGGAACCCGCGAGCGACTCGGCAAGTAGCGCGAATAAGCCAAAGAAGAAGAAAAAGAAGATTGGCACCAGCAAGCTGTCCTTTGGCGACGACGAAGGGGAAGAGGAGGACTTGGCACCCACAGGAAAGGACAAGAAGGCAGAAGGCGGCGATGGACACAAGACAGAGAAGAAGACCAAGGTCATAGCCAACTCGTCGGTGGCATTTGTGCCAAAGGTCATGTCGAAAGCCGCGTTGCGCCGCGAAGCTGCCGAGCGGGAGGCGTTGCGCCGCGAATTCCTGGCCATCCAAGAGGCCGTCAAGGCCACCGAGATTGCGATACCATTTGTCTTCTACGATGGATCCAACATACCAGGCGGCACGGTGCGCGTCAAGAAGGGCGACTACATCTGGGTCTTCCTGGACAAGAGCCGCAAAGTCGGCGCGGAGCTCGGCGTAGGGGAAAAGGCCAATGCACGGAGAGAATGGGCAAGAGTCGGCGTGGACGACCTGATGCTGGTCAGGGGGTCCATCATCATTCCACATGTGAGTTCAAGACAACTGTTTCTATATTCGGTTTCTAGGCTGACGCTTCCTAGCACTACGAGTTCTACTTCTTTGTGATCAACAAGAGTCTGGGCCCAGGTGGCCAACAGCTTTTCAACTACAGCGCCGAAGCACCGCCCCTAAAGGACGGAACCGGACTCGAGGAGGCGCCTGCTGCCCCGAACGGCGGCCTCACCACCGCAGCAGCGCTCAAGGCTGCTGCGGTCAAGGCGCTTCCCGATATCAACACCCTCGAGGGCGCGACCGACGATCCGACCTTGACGAAGGTGGTGGACCGGCGCTGGTATGAGCGCAACAAGCACATCTATCCAGCGAGCCTGTGGCAGGAGTTTGACCCCGAAAAGGACTATAATGCCGAGGTTCGAAAAGACGCTGGTGGGAATACCTTCTTCTTTGCGAGATGAGAGCCGGTCCTGTTGCTCTGCAAAGACGCAAAACTCGTCGAGGTTCGCCGGTATGCTATGTGAAGAATAATCACGCCGGGCTGGGCGGCGTTCGTTTCGCGGCATCTCATCCGGCCATCATCCGGACGGCGAGAAGCAGGCCGAGGACGAGCATCCACCCCGGCCAGAAGACCAACACGATCAGCATGTTGCCCCCTGGACCGAGTATCGTAGTGGCGAACTCCATGAAGAACTTCTTTCTCAGCTTTGAGACATTCTTGGAGTTCCACGCACGCCTCAGCGACCTGCGAAACGCCGACATCGTTGCGTTGAGCAGAAGGAATGAGTTGGCGGCAAAGAGCCGGGTTGCGACAATGGTCGAGGAGAGGGTTGTGGTGGCGAGGAGGTGGCCGTAGACAAGGAGGAGCCACGACGCAACGGCGACGAGCCTCTGGAAGCGGACGGCAAGGGTGAAGGTTGGCCCGAGGAGGGCGAGGAGGTCTGAGCGCTGGCGAATTGTCACACCAAGCTCGTGAGTGGACGAGGTCAAGATGGCGACCTTGTTCATGATGGCAGAAGAGGTCTCGGCAAGGGCTTGTTCACGACGACCTACAGCGGCGCCTTGTTGGTGAGATTGAGGAGAGGGTTCAGTGCCATCAGGGGAGGCGGCGGGCTCGGCTTTTTGCAGCTGACGATATATATTGACGGGCATTCTGTCCCGCAGCATCTGTATGCAGCACACCACACACACTACGGACTAGGTTGGCTTTGGAGGGAAACTCGGCAACAGCGCTTCAGATAATCCGGCATCGACCCTCTCTGTAATATATGAAGAGGACGACGATAGACGTATTAAATGCTAGCGGTTGGCGCGGGCTCGTCGCCTAATACCTAACAGTAGGGGGTGGTCTAGAAATTTCCACATCCCCATCAAGTCAAGAACCAGCGTCGTGCTAGACTCCACTATCCCCTTCATTGCTGGCAACAAACCATGGCAACACGTGGGGCCGTTCGCGCTGCCGGATCGGGCTCTGTACGATTCATCGGGACAATGAGGGGGGGGAAGGAACAACATAGACTCCCGTCGACTCCCATTCGCACGTGGTCTGGCCATCCTGCCGTCCATGCGCGTCCAACACGTGCGATGTAGAATCGCAGACTGACGAACGTTCTCGTTCTCGTTCTCGTTTGCCCGCCTCGCGAACCTCTGATCCCCAGCGGCCTTTCCTCATTGGCGTGTCTTGTTGATCCATCCTTATCGTTCCCGTTATCGCTGTCTCCGGAGCATTCCGTCCTGTCGGCGTCCCATAAGGATACATGTGACCGGTTCCCGTGGTTGCGGCGGCCCGACTCCTGGACCGCCGACTCATGGGCGAGGGAGCGCGGACATTCTGGCAGGTTGGTGAGTCTGTCCGTCGTCCCCGGGAAACTCGTCCCGTTCGTTTGCGTTTTGTTCTTCCAGCATGTTCGGACCACAATATTCTACGCCACAATCTATGCGCCACATTGTGCCACATATCTATCTGCCTTCGAAATGTGTGGCTGGTTGCAAAGTGTGGCTTTTTCATGCTTAGGTCAGCAAGTGGCATTATCTTCCGTCCCCCGCTGCTCCCCCCTCCGAGGTTTGCACTTGAAGAAACCAAGGACATCTAGGTATCACCACTTTCAGGGATCTGGAGCGGTCAGGCTCGCCGCTGTGTCACTTGAACACCATGCAAATACTCCCGAGAAATATCTTCACTGGCACGGGATAGTTACATACCGCTTTCTTCAGCCCCTCGTCCTCCCACGTCCTCGCCGAGAAGATTCCAGCGGTGAGATCAAGTGCTGCGTCCTGGCAATCGACACAGCCCTCACCATCCAGGCCATCGTCAATTTTGTGTTCCAGATCGTTTGGCTGTGCAACAGTAAACGGCGTACATTTTATCGGCCGAGAGTACCGGAACCCAACAATCGGTGAAGAAGGAACACAACCGCAGCCCGGTGTAACGTTCCCACGCTAGAGCCAGAGGGGAGGCGAACACCTAGCACCAAGCATGCGCGATGACAATGGGAGTCACCCCATGCATGTGCAAGAGGAAGTGACCGGTCAGCTAACAGAGTCCAAGCACGGATGGACCTCGCTGGCGTGCCCTTTGGCTCCGGTGGCATGACGGGCATGGCGGGCCAAGGTCGCACAAGTGGAGCCGCGACGGGGAAGATGCACGATGGGACGAGGTACCCGACGAAGAAACCAAACAATGATATGCAGCGGATATGCATAATCGCAGCCCGCCTTGTCGATGGCTAATGCACCGATATTTCTGGCTATGTTGTCTCCCTTGCTACTGGGGATCTCGTCTCTTGGTGAGAAAACCCATGCCGGCATCCGGTACCAAGCAGAGACGGCCTTGGACGGAACCCCGAGGACCTTGAAGTCGTCCCCATCCCCGGCATGCGTATTACACGTACGTAAACGCAACTCGCACGGTCGGCCAATTGATGGGTACGGTTACATATTCCAGTCACACTGTATCCATATCCACGGCACCCCTCGTAGGGTCCGTAGCTGCAAGCGAGTACCGCCTGAGAAACGCATTCATGCATGTCCTGACACTGCGCCGATCACCGCTCGCGAAGGGATCATCTATCGTGTTTCTCTCAACACGAGCCTACGATCAGCATAGCTGTCTGTTGGAGTGGCACATGCTGTTTCTCCCTCGCTAGTTTGAAGCATATGTGCGTAAACTCCGGAGTACACTACCATAGTCCTCGACTCAGGGATGTCCCTGGCTTGTACCTCCCGTGCACGATGAGAGACTAATTGTTCTATTAATGGCAATCCCTCGATCAATCCGCTACCCTAATGCAGCATAATGCCCGCGGCGACAAGCCGGAATCGGGCAATTAACCTCAGCCCGCCCTGGCCGTTTCTTGCACCGTTACCACAACCCCCCATTTTTTCTTTTTTCTCCCCTTCTGTTTCCACTGCTTGTCTGTCAACGGACGCAACGATCTACGGCGCGTTTGCCGGTGTGGGGATGGGAAAACATCATACATACCGGAAGGTCGAGGGCCGGGGGCGACACGGGGCCAAGTTAGCTCAGAAGGGGGTCGCGAATACGAGGATCGATGCCCTCGGTGCTACGTCATGTTCAACGAGTGCACCGCCTTCTCCGGCTAAACCGATTTTCGTAGCCCATGCAAGGGCGGGCAGGCATGAACTTTGAATGGAAGCGAAGACTACCGGCGCGACAGGCGAACCGACGATCATCTCATCTGGTCCGTTGAGAAACCTTACGATGCAGACCGGATACTTAAGCTTGACGATATTCCCGTCTGAACTATCGAGTGACCACATCATCCCATCACAACAAGACTCCTCTTCTCTAGTGTCCGCTAAGAAGCACAATCCTTCATCTCACCTACCGCATCTCATCTCCTCGTCGCCCGCCATAATGCAGCTCTTTTCCACCCTCCTCCTCCTCGTTCCGGCCCTCGCCTCGCCCGTCGCCCGGCGCCAAGAGGAGGCGACCTGCAGCCAGAAGTCGGCCAAGGTCCCCGAGTGGACGCTCACCGGCTTCGACTACCACGCCAGCTACACCTTCACCACGCCGGCCCACCAGAACTCGTGGGGCTACATCAGCTTCAACGTCTCGAACCCCGTCCTCGACTACGACGTTGCCTGCAGCGCCGCCAGCAGCCAGCTCAGTGACTTCTTCTACGGCGACCAGGTCTACACCTGCAGCCCGCCCGTGGGCCAGAGCGCCGCGACCTCCTTCACTTGGAGCTACCCCGAGCGCGCCCTCACGCTGAACCAGTCCTGGACTTGCAACGATGACCCCAGCTATCCGTAAGTTTGCCCTTTTTCTTTGCCCCATCGCAGGAGAGGGGGGAAATAATCCCTCCCTGTTTACGGGATGATCAATAATCGGCACGAGAGAACATACCCAGCTAACCGTCACGAACAGCACTCGCTTCACCGCAAGGGGAGACGCCGTTGCCGATCTCCAGTGCGAGGAGACCTCTTGGGAGAACAGCAACTGGACCTTGGGGCAGGTCTACTCCCAGCGCAACATCAACTGCGGCATTATTACGCTGCCGACCCCGGTCAAGGCCATCTCGGCCACCGCCTAGGCGGAATCGGTCACGGGGGTTGGCTGGCAACTGGGCACATGACCAGTGCCGATAATACCATGACTACAATCACAGCGACGACAACGACAAACAACAACAACAAAAACAACAATGGCAACGTGCATGCCGCTCTTTATGAACTGTATGACATGACACAACTTTGCATGGCTTTGGCGCTCAAGGGACTGACCCGGTTGGCGGTCATTATCAGGACATGGAACGGCTTTGGAAAAGAAGACTTTGGGGTTGCCGGGCACATAGAGTAGCACGCGGAGTAATTTTAACCAACTAATTCCGACTCATCCCACTTCTCCTAAACGTCTCCCATCAACCACCAGTCAACAACATCTCCCTCTCTCCCCAAAAAAGTCCAGTACCATCACTTCTCGTCAAACCCCACAAGCTCATTCGACTTGTCCCAGAGCTCCTTTGGCAACTGCTCGTCGTCGATCCACAGGGCGTACCCCGTGTTGTCAGTGGAAGGCCCCGTCTTGACCAGGTTGCTGAGATACTTGCCGCCCCGGCCCTCCCACTCCGGGCTCAGCGCGGCGTAGGTGGACGTGGCCGCGCCCTGCGGCGCGCTCTTCAGGACCAGCTTGATCGCCTCGCTGTTCAGGATCGCCTCGGTCTCGTCCGCCGGGAGGTACTGCAACAGGTTGGTGACGATGACCCCGGGGTGGAGGGAGAGGGCGTGCAGGCCCTGTAACCCGTACCGCCTCTCGGCCTCCTTCGCGAAGAGGATGTTGGCCGTCTTGGACCGCCCGTACGCGGTCCAGGGCCGGTACGTCTCCTTTTCGAAGTTGACGTCGTCGAGGCGGACGTTGCTCCTATGGTGCGCCATGGACGACACGGAAACGACCCGGGACTGGAACCGGGGCGTCGAGGACGCGAGGAGCGCGGGCTTCAGCAGCTGGAAGAAGAGGAAATGGCCGAGGTGGTTGGTCCCGAACTGGGTCTCGAAGCCGTCTTCCGTCCTGCCCTCCGGCGTGGCCATGACGCCGGCGTTGAGGATGAGGACGTTCAGCCTGTCGCTCCGGGAGAGGAACTCCTTGGCGGCCGAGCGCACCGAGGCTAGAGAGTCCAGCCGGAGCTCGACGGCGTGGACGGGCGCGTCGGAGTTGGGGCCGGGCCCGTTCTTGACGCCGTCGATGGCCTGCCGGGCCTTGGTGGAGTCCCTGGCCGTCAGGAAGAGCGTCGCCCCTGTCGCGTGGACGGCGCGCGCCGTCTCGAGGCCGATGCCGGCGTTCGCGCCCGTGATGAGGACAACCGTCCCGGCTAGCTTGCCGACGAGCCCCTCGTCCTCGACGACCTGAAGGGCCGTGGGCCGCGCGTCTCCCGGGCCCTGCGGGTTGGCGTGGGCGGCTGCGTATCTGGACATGGCGGGCGGTTGTCGGCTGACGTGTTTTGCTTTGGAGTTTCGAGGCTCGAAGTGCCGTCAAAGGCAGCCTTGTAGATGCGGTTGAACGGTTGAACCGAGATGTATCCAAATTGGGAAGAGGAACGCTTGGGGCTTCAAACGTAGCGAAGAGCGAAGTCCTATGACGTCCGAGCCTTCTGGCGGCGGAGGGGAGGGGAGGGGTTCTTCATAGCCGGAACGTGAACCTTAATGTTGGAGTTAGAAATATCTCGGCTTTCAGCTGTCGAGAAGGGTTGGTACCAATGGGACTCGAGGCGGCGAAGGCAGTTGAGACGAAGATTTGCAGAACTCGACGTGACTGTCCAGAAGAGTCGGATCGAGCGACAAGCTGCCGGAGGCTTTGCTCGAGGGCGGATGTCCCGCGGGTTCAAGGTTGGAAATGGAGTGTTGACGCGTGCAGTTTCCCTCCATTATGGCGGTGCTAGAGATGGGTCTGTACAGTAGTCATATACACAAAAGAGACATCGGTAGCGGTCTGCAAGAAACCAAGATGGGTTCGTCTAGTCATCGGGGCATTGGCGGTTCAGCCAGGGGTCTTCCATGAGCTCCCTGGCCGATAGTCTATCTTCCGGCCTCCACTGAAGCATCTTCCTCAGGAAAATCAGAAACTCGGCTTTGTCGGGGCCCTCGAGGTTGCATTCTTCTTCCTCGAGCGAGGATTCCGGAATCTCGCCATCGATTATTAGTTTACCTGTACTCCAGCAGTTAGTGTCGACTTGGCCTGTGTGGTTCGAGAGGGTTATGGGCAGGGCTGACCTTCTTTGTCAAAGAAGTCCTTCCAGGATGAACCCCGTTCCAAGAGGTCATCGGGCGGCGGACCCATGAGCGACACCATTCTGGCGAAATGCGCTGCCCGCGACGCCGTTCGGTCTCGAACCCTGGTGTTGAAGAGTAGCTTGCCTTCAAACAGATCCCAGATCTGCAAAAGAGGTATCAGCACATGCAAGACATCCAGCACCTATGCAAGGTCCACGGTAGTACCATGAGTCCCAGGGCCCAAATATCAATCTTCTCATCCCAAGGCATCCCTAGAATGATCTCGGGAGCTCTGTACAAGTCAGGCATCACCTCGCCTTCGAAGGGCCCATCTCCGAATCTCGCGTCGCCGAAGTCGCATATGATCGGGTCGCCGGGGTCGTCTGGAATCTCCAGCCCGGTGGACGCATACACTATCCTGTCACCCATGATCTTCCTAGCGCTCGGCATAGCCCATTCGGCTTCTACAAGGTCGTCGAGAATGGATGTGTCTGTGATGGCAAGCATGATGTTCCCATCCTGGATGTCTGTCATTTGTTAGTGATACGAATTCAGGTTGTTGACCGCCGCACGCAAACCACGCACCTGTATGCACTACGTGTGCCTCGGAGTGCATATAGTCCAGACCCAATAGCAGAGCATAGGTGAGGCCCTTCAGGAGGTTTTCCGGGACTTTCCCGCCGACAAGCTCCCGAATATCTGCCAGCGACAGCCCGAGTGTCTCGAAAACCAGACACACGTGCGGGCCTGCTGGACCAGACACTTCGAAGCTGGCCTTGATGGAACGCAGGAGATTTTGGCCCGGGTGATCAGAGGCCACACGCCACAGGTGATGGAGCACTTTCTCCTCATTCAACGCCTGGCGATGGCCCGTTTGGTAGACCTTCAGCGTAACGTAAGAGTGTAAGCTAGGTAGGTTTTCTCGTCAGCCTTTTGCTCCCCTTCCTAGCGCCCTCGAGCAGCGCGATGCAAGACACGGACGTACTTTAGGTCGCGACACAGCCATACAGTCGACGCCGAGCCGAAGCCCAACTTCAGCAGAACCTGGTACCGAGACTCAAACACCTGGCCGATCTCGACGGGGTACCACCTGTCCGGGTTGTACCACGCGAAGCCCTGCTCTTCCAGCTGCACCTCCGGGCCGTAGATCTCCTCGGGCTCGGCTTCCGGCAGCGGCCTGGGAGGCGAGTGGATTCGTCTCGTCATGGGGGTCGACTTGCCGCAGTGGTTTGAGCGGTCGGTGAAGTTGACATTGTGCTGCGCAGGGTTTTGCTTCGAGGTTTTGTGGGGATGAATGGGACGTTGGAATCGGGGAGGTGGTGAGGTGCGGGCGGCCCCCACACAACAAACCTTGAGGGGCCACTGGCATTTAACCAATTGTTTGTTCGTAATTACGGGCAAATTCACCAACCAGTGACCACCAATAATTGATTCGTAGTTTTTCCAAGTTGCCAATGAAGATGCGGTGCTTGGTTGGTTCAACGTCAATGATCCGAACTCGGACGATGGTTACCAATGGATATCACGGAGATGGCTATCAGTACTTGGGTTATCACTTGAACAATACCGACCCTTGGGACATGTTTATTTCCAGCCCTAGCACCTCTGTATGGTCCTAATGCAGTGTTGGCACTTGGATACGGTCCACCTTTGTTAGCCGCCAGCTCCACAAGGGTTACGCCGAGAGTTCCGGCCGAAGCGCTCCGTGTTACTCAGAGACAGCAAAGACAACGGGAGTCCTTCCCAGTCCTATTTCACAACGGGGTGGAAGTATTGGTACGTTGGATGAATAATGGGATAGAAGTCATGGCATGTTGGACGGATAATGGGGAGGGAGGTTTGTATGTTAGATGGGCTTTCTACGCAAAACCGCCAAACATAAGATGTAAATACTGCTTCCCTCGAACCTCGTTCATAACACGCTTGTCGGAAACGGGAGCCTAGACACTAGTTGTTTCTCAATGTATCGACTTTGATATTGTAGCCGTTTTGAGCAAGTACCTTTCCAGGTGGGGGTCAAACGGCATCGTATATATATCATCCCTGTTTCCGCATACAAGGCAGATCAACATCCTTGTCCTCGCTGACGTCCAAAAGCAGGCGGGGAACCGCAGCAAAGAGGGGGGACGAGTTCCTTCCCTAACGATTAATCCTGGTTTCTCAAGCTCCATTAAAATCACCAGGTCCAACGAAAAACAAAAAAGCCTTCCCGCTTCATCAGCTTGGAGTATATGTCAAATCAGACTCTCATCTGGATAGGCCTCTGAAGACTTGTTTGTTCGGCAAATCACCATCACCGGGAGGCATCATGGCAAGCAAGCCGTCAGACACCCTTCCATATAGATGCAGAGCACACGACTCACAGACGAACGAACAGGAACTATGTCTTGGTCACTGGAGCAACAGGCTTCATTGGCGCCCATGTTGTCGACGTCCTCCTCTCTCGAGGCATCAAGGTTCGGGGCGCGACCCGCTCCCCTGCCAAAGGCCGTGCCATGATCGAGGCCAGGCCGCAATTTGCCGACAGACTAGACTTCGTGCAAGTCCGAGACTTTGAGGATACGGGCGTTTTTTCCGAGGCGATCAAAGACGTTGATGCCGTTATTCATGTTGCCAGCGTAGGTATTCCTGCAAAGCGTTTGGAGACCATGGTCTAATATCCCGCTTTTGTTCGTAATAGCCATTCACCTACAACACCAAGGACAACGAGAAGGAGCTGATCATACCTGCCATCAACGGCGTGCGCTCCATTCTGGAGGCATCAGTCACAAACTCCAAAACCAGCCGCGTCGTCATCACGTCTTCGTTCGCATCGGTCCTGGACGCCAACCGCAAAGCGCCCCCCTACTTCACATACACGGGCAAAGACTGGAACCCTCTGACCTACGTCGAGGCTGCAGCACCCGACACAAGCGCCGTCGTCGCGTACCGAGGCTCCAAGAAGTTTGCCGAGCTCGCCGCGTGGGACTTTGTCGAACAAGAAAAGCCGCACTTCGACATCGTGACGCTGTGTCCCCCGATGACGTTCGGCCCGGTCGTACACCCAGTCGACAGTGTCGAAGGGCTGAACGAGTCCAACGCCATGATCTGGAAGATCGCGAGCGGAGAGACTCCTCTCCCCGTGGCCCGTGTCCCCTTCTGGATCGACGTCCGAGACCTTGCCGTCGCGCACGTCGAGGCGCTGCTTCGGCCTGAAGTCGGCGGCAGGAGATACGTGCCGGCCGCGAACGACCGGTTCTCGTACGGCCTGGCGGCCAAGATCATTATCGAGAGCTTCGATTGGGCCAAGGGCACCGTTGTCGAGGAGGAGCAGAAGATCGACGAGTCACACGGCCTGGACGGGGAAACGGCAGCGAAAGACCTGGGACTGGAGTACCGCACGTTCAACGAAACGGTCGTTGACCTCATTAGGCAGGCCAAATATCTGCAGAGTAATATAGGGCAGTAGCCGCGGGGTTGAAAATAGCAAAACTCCGTTCGCGAAGAGGCGGTAACCCGGAACCCCTTCCCGCGGCAACGCCGATCTCTCTCTCGAGTCGATACGGGAATTCTGCGGCGAACCAGGGTGAACGTCCAAAATCCGATGCCGAGGCTTTTACTCGGTGGCGATTGTAATAATGCCAGACCACCCATTCCTGTGCCAGCATCGGTGCATGGGCTACGTGTTAGACGACTCGTGACAGCCATGAATTCTGCCTAAATCGGTTTCTCATCAAGTAAAAAGGGAGTTCCGGTAGAAAGCCTCCGTTGCGCCCAATCAAACCAAAACGGGGCAGACCATCTCACTAGAGATACACGGCCGGCCATAATCCTCCGTCTGTGAGGCATTCTCGAAAGGCTGCACCGCTCAGCTTGGCTCTGGGTCCGAACCACTGGCTTGCTTCCAAAGGCGGCAGGTTGCATGTCAGATATATTGATGCTGCGTTTTGAACCAGATTATCGCTTGTTTGTATAATCTCGTGAATGGGCTGAATTGATAGCAAACTGCATTGTTGACTTGGGTTCTAGTGATTGGGTTGCCCTACTTTGCACAAACATTCGGGTGCTTTGTATGATTATATATTCATCGCAGAAGGGTCTATTCAAACGGCGTGGTCCTATCTCTTCACTCACATCTCTTGCCTTTTGACCAGTAGTCCTCCTTCCTCGAACCTGTCTGCATCATGAAGCTCGCATTCCTCCCCGCGATTGCGTTTGCCTCCATGGCTCATGCCCATGCCATCTTTCAGGTGAGTATTATCATGGTCTCTCGCCGAACCACCAAAGCTGATGAAGGGTTCTACAGAAAGTGTCGGTCAACGGCAAAGAATACGGCTCCCTCGCGGGTCTCCGCGCCCCGAACCAGAACAACCCGACCCAGGATGTCACCTCCCAAGACATAATCTGCGGCAAGGTAGCGACCTCCTCGCAGGAAGTCATCTCCGTGGCGCCGGGCGACCGCATCGGCGCTTGGTGGCAGCACGTCATCGGAGGCGCCCAGTTCCCGGGGGACCCGGACAACCCGATCGCCAGCTCGCACAAGGGTCCAATCACGGCATGGCTCGCCAAGGTGCCCAGCGCCTCGGGTGGCGGCGTCACCGGCCTCCAGTGGTTCAAGGTCGCCGAGGACACCCTGGACACGGGGTCGGGCCAGTGGGCGGTCGACAGGATGATCGGCGGCGGCGGGTGGAGCTACTTCGACCTGCCGCGGTGCATCGCGCCGGGCGACTACCTCCTGCGCGTGGAGCTGCTGGCCCTCCACTCGGCCTATTCGCAGAAGGGCGCCCAGTTCTACATCTCCTGCGCCAACGTCAGGGTCACGGGGTCCGGGACGTTCTCGCCGAGCTCCACCGTCAGCTTCCCGGGTGCCTATCAGCAGAGCGACCCGTCCATCGTGATCAACATCTACGGCGCCGGCGGCGTCCCGAACAACGGCGGAAAGGCGTACTCGGCACCTGGACCGAGACCGATTACCTGCTAAGGACGCTGAGCGGCGGCAGTAGCTGGTCACGGGAAGTGGTTTGATTATAGGGAACCCAAGGATCATGGTGTGCAGGAGGAGTCCAAGACGATATTGCGTCCAGCTTGTTACCATATTTTTGTTAATGTCGAAATGCGACGATGGTGGCGTCTTTCAAGGCCTCGTGACAAACCTGTTCCAATCTGGAACCAAATCCATTGGTCTATTACTTGTCGCTCCGTAACATGTTATTCACAGTGCTTCAACTTGACACTCAACTGCCGTGATTCTCGTGCGTCAAAGTTGAACCGTGGCGCGCATATCGAAATATTCCCGACGTGGCGGCCTGGTGGAGAACCTAGGTAAGTAGGTGGCACCAACTCTTGGGAAGAGTCAAAACCTTAGACTTTGCTCTGCCTACGGTACCTGATGCTGAGTTTTTCCCTTGTCATCTTCAAAACCAGCAGCTTTATTTTGAATTTTCCTACTTTCCGGAGATACCTCTGAGCTCATATCTATATACGGTGTTCTTTTCCCTCCTTCACCACCTCGATTTCCTCCCCAACACGTCACTCTCGGACTCTTCATTTCCTGTGAACAACAACACACCATGACCGCCAAAGAATTCCACCTCTTTCCTCTCCTTCCCGGAGAGGTTCGAAACCTGATATGGGACCACTCAGTTCGTCCGCATGGAATCCGTGGTGTCCAATTCTTCTCCCTCTTCCGGTCTGAAAAGATCCCCCAGGCCTTTAGCCGAAATCTTATGCCGAGGATACAAGGATCTCAAGGCGACATCGTTGGCGCTCCAAAGGCAGAAAACGCAGGATCCCCGCCTTCTTGGAATCACAATCGGTCCGCCTATGCCATCGACGGGGGCCTCTGGATTGCTTCCAAGGAGTCCCGTGCCGCGATGCATCGGCGGTATGAATCTGAGAAATGGAACGGATTTTACCACCTTCAACACAACTTCTCGGCAAGTTATGCGAGTTCCTACTTGTCATCGTACCAAGAGGCGCAGCAGGTCACAAAGTGTGACGATCTGCCAGTCACGTTTTTGGTGAACAGCGACGAGGGCCACCAATATTTCACCTTGCTGCCAGCACAAGACCTCTTCTACATACAAGGATATCCTTCTTGGCCCGAACTGGGGCATCTACGCGAATTTATGCCCTCTGCATCACCGCGGCATCGTTTGGGCGGTTTCCGTCATGTAGCCATGGAGTTCGACCCTTCGTGGACGCTCTACGAGCTCGGTGAATACTGGTGGTCCTGGGATCAACGTAGATCCAGTGCTAACCGAACCCAAGATCATGCGACAATTTACGACACACTGGCATATTACCTAAAACACGAGGCTAACAAACCGGAATATCATATTACGGCCTGGCTGGTAGATCCCCGTCTCCGAAGCAGAAAGACGGAAACCCAAGCAGCCAAGCAAAGCTCGGCGAAGGAAGCATCTGAGCGGATTGTATTCGAGGGAATCGGCTGCAAGTACTATGAGGTGTCGAGTGAGGATGAGTTCTGTGAATATGACCAAGAGATAGCAGATCAACGGGGCTTTCTCTCGGTCTGGGATTTTGCGGATGAGTTACAGAGCATAGTAGCTGGGCTGGAAGCTGACAGGTCAAACATAAGGGAGGAGGACGTTGGACTGGGCCAGATCAAGTTTTTAGTCTGTGATAGAGATGAATAAACTGAGGGTTCGCCGGGAACTCGAATGGCAAGTACCAAGCTAGCCTTACTCTGACTGAGGCCCCAAGTCTCCTTGCCGCCCGATGTGATGTTATTAAGACAATCAGTAGAGCTCAATGGACAGTTGGAAACATTCATAGGTATGGTGCACGATCTGATGATCATCCGAATCGTCTTCTTCGCCGAGTTTGCTCCAGGTCATCCAGTGTTATAGGTGACGTGGCTGTATATTGCGGATAGCGATATGCCACGCCCAGCCCGGCCACCTCGTGGACAAAGCAGCAGTAAGTTTCCCTATGATCTTCCCCAGTAGAAGCCAACGCAGTTGTCTTCGTTTCTTCCGAGGCATAAAATGAAGCGTTGAACGAGAAGAAGGACCCGAGGAGGTTGTAAGCTTTTGCAAATCTGGCGGCCCGCAAGATGAGGCAGGGGCCAGAAGAGGTAGGTACTGCCTGCCTACCTACCTACCTACCTACTCAGTCAATTAGCCACACCTGCGGCCTAGAATCTTTCATCCACCCGCGAACCTCTCCTTCCGCGCTTTCTTCTTCGCCAACGAGGCGCAACTTTCCTTCAAACAAGAAACCAAAGGACGCGGTGGAACTTACCCGACGGCGGAGCAACTAGCCCACATCTCAAAGGAGGATGGCAACCTGACGAAGGGTGTTTCTGGAGTCGATTGCTTTGGCCTTTCATCACTTTCTTCCTTCCTTTCTTTGTGAGTGGTTCCCCCAAATCTAATTATGGCAGCTTCACCTGCCTTCCAGGAATATTGGGCTCCTGCCTTGTTGTTGCAAGTCTCGTCGCCGACCATGATGTCATGACGTGTCCTCCACTGCACCGTCCTCCACATCTGTATCCCGAGGAGGCAATCCCCTTTGTGCCTGGCTATCAGCAGCACACCCCCATCCCCCCAGCCCATTAATTTGTCCAGTGGTCAGTCATCGATCCTAACTCGGACAATAGTTACCATGAATATCACGGATATAGCTTTCAATACTTGGGTTATCACTTGAACAACATCAACCCTTACGGACAGGTCGATTTCTAGCCCTACAGACAACTGGTGCCATCGATGCTTGGGTTCCCCTCTGCCGAACATCACCCAGTCTGTACTAATTACTATCCGGAGCATTGGATCTACTACTACAACCCATTGGCGCCCGTTTATCCGCAAAGCTACGTCATGCCCATGGACTTCCAGTTCAGCAACGATCCTCCCCAGGCCCATGATCCATCAGGTCCGCCGAGGTCTTTGAGTTTCTTTCCAGAAAAGAAAGCCGTAAGTCCTCTTCTGAATACACCCGATAACATTTGCTGACCTTTGTGTTTTGTCATCCAGAGCATCGTCCGAGCTATGGCCGTATGTTTATTCCTTGAGACTGGACTTAAGTACAGACGGATATCACCAAGGTGGCAGGATACCCCTTGACAGACATGGATGTGCGAATGGAATCAGGAGGGGCAATACAAGCGTTACAGAGAATAGATGGAAAGATGGATGGAAATATGTTTCAAAGGATAGAGGGAAAGAAGAAGGGGTTCAAGGCCCCCAACGGATAACAACAGCAATACTAGCCTGACACATTGTCAGTATTAATTAATCGTAGATTGCCCATGGCGGATGGGAACTTGGGATACTATTCTGCTGGTGATTCTAACAAACGAATGGAACAAAATGGTCATTGGACGTAATCGGCACCAAGCATCAAACAATTGGAAAAGAAGCTCGACGCAGGTCTGGTAGCCAATTGATTTGTAATTATAGCAGGCCTTGCCGAGATATCATAAGAAATCAAACCTCCCAGTCTTATATAAGTGGTTTCATTATGTTTCTGCCGCAGGGTCGGATAGAATAATAGCTCGCTACTTGGACAGGCCTTGGTTGTGGGGAACTGCGGTTCGAAACACCAGATTCTTTACTCGGCAGGGCATCCGCGATGGGGCCGTGCCAGGTCGGAGGCGGCGAGATTTTTTGGCCGATAGATGGAGGCCCGACAAGCCCGAGACCCCGATGGTGGGGGGAGGACGAAAACGGTTTCATACGTGAGACGAATGACGCATTGGACCTGGTGCCTCAGACCACAGAGCTTTCTTTCCTTCATACCTACCTACGGTAGCTCAGCTTGCTTAGTTAATAGCTGTGCTCGACCCGGCCGCTTGGTCTGCTTGCCAGCTCCCACACTTGGGTCGATCACACCACCCAATTCTTTCATGAGGCAACAGTCAATGACGAGCTCAATACGGCCTCAGAACGGATGGACTCAGCCTAGGCTCCCCTTCCCATCTCTCGCATCGAACGGATTTCTACTGCGCGGTTCCCCAACCGTTTTGTATTGGATCTGCCCCGGCTTGTCCGAGGACCGGGGGGGGGGGGGGGAGGGATTGGAGTTCCATTGAGCGGGATTGAGCGGGGGAAAGTTTCACTCGGCCGCTCATTGTCCGTTCACGTTGACGTCAGCTGACGTGTCGATTGACAAGCTGTTAGCGCAAGCTTCAGAGGCTGCCCGTTCCGCGTATGGTAGCGTTTGCCTCCGACCCCTCCGAGCCGTAGAGCAAAAAGGACATGGCTCCTTCCCATCTCCTTTAGTTGCGTTTTTCTTGTTGTCCTTCTCCATCTTCTTGTTCCTAGAGCAAGATTATTTCTGTTATCCGGCATACTGAATCAAAATGAAAGCCATTGCAGCCCTGTCGTGCGTGGCCGTGGCCAACGCATTCATCCTCCCCGACCCCAAGATCTTCGAGCAGTCCGCCATCAAGAACGGTGATCGCCGCTCGTGGTGGGACCGCGTCCCTTCCAAGGACTCCATCGTGAACACGGTCGAGGATGGCGTCGACTCCCTGTCGGCACACATTGAGGGCGCTCTGCACACCCTCGAGGACACCGTCGAGAACAAATTCGAGGACGTCTTCCAAGAGCACTTCCTCAACGAACACGACAGTTCCGATAAGTCTATTTACGAGTTGATCTCCGAGAGCGAGCACACCACCGAGTTTGCCAAGCTGGTGAACGACTACAAAGATATCGTCGAGGTCCTGAAGAGCTCCAAGGCGAACCACACCCTCTTCGTGCCCACAAACAGCGCTTTCGAGCACATCCCCAAGCACCACAAGAAGCCCAGCAAGGACGTGATTGAGGCGATCCTGAAGTACCACGTCGGAATCGGCGAGTACGACGCCAAGAGGGTCTTGCGCACCCACACGCTCCCCACGCTGCTGGACGAGCCGCTTCTAGGTGGTAAGCCCCAGCGCCTTCGTATCAGCGTCGGCCTCGGTGGCGTTCGTGTCAACTTTTACGCCAAGGTTGTCGCCGTCAACATCGTAAGTTGTTTGTATTCCCCGAGAATTTTGTCAATTTAGAGAACTGATGGGAGTGCGTGTGCACAGCGTGCCAACAACGGAATCATCCACGCCGTTGACAGCCTGATCATCCCGCCTCCCTTTGTAGGCCGTGAGCTCACTCTGCTCCCTACCAAATTCTCGACGCTGCTTCTCGCATACGAGAAGACCGACTTTGTCAAGTACATCCACGGCGTCAAGTCGACGGGCACCACCGTATTTGCCCCTTCGAACCGCGCCTTCGACAGCCTCGGACTCAAGGCCAACGCCTTCCTCTTCAACACCGACTGCGGCCTGAAGTACCTCAAGGCGCTGCTCAAGTACCAGATCGTCGCCAATACCACCCTCTACAGCGACGCCTACTACCGCCCAGATGACAAGGACGATGCCAAGGTCACGGAGCACTACCACATCGACCTTCCCACTCTGCTCGACGGCAAGAACATCGCCGTCGACGTGGCCACCTGGGGCGGCTGGACCAAGGTCAAGCTCAACGGCTACATCCCCATCTCTGTCGGTGACGTTGTCGCCAAGAACGGCGTCATTCACGTTCCCGCCCGCGTTCCCATTCCTCCCCACAAGCACAAGACCGGGTCCGTCGACGGAGAGATTTCTGTCGAGGAACTGAAGGAGAGGTTGGCTGACTACGTTGACAAGGAGAAGGACGCTGGTTGGCTCGATGCCGAGCTGTGAATAGATATTCACTCCAGATAGTACCGCTTTTTTCGGCTCAGCCCTCTATACATAACCCTATGTAGATCATTTCAATGGCAATGAGCAAGATTTATGATAATTCCAAGGTTATCTCAATAGTCGCCACCTGGAAAGCCTAAGCGCCAGATGTTCGATCACTTCTTTCATTCAGCCTCGAAGCTTCTCAGGCAGTAGCATACTGCCAATTTCATCGTGCGGAAATGAAATGGGCAACACGGCGTGAGTGAAGTTGCTTCCAATACCAATTCCGGCTCCCCGAAGCCACAGCAATTGTTTTGAGTCACTCCCCGCGACGGCGAGCCTAACCGGGCCAAGGTGCTGACGGTCAACTTCGGAATCCAACCCGACAGGCTTTTTCCAAGCCAATCCCGCAGAGCCACGGTCGAGCAAAAGGCTTTGTTTGACAAGGGAGACTGGAGGACATAAGACAGATGGATGGACGGCAGAGGTTCAAAACTTCGTCCCCTGGAGACACCAAGAAAATGATATCACACAGGTGGCAAACATAGATCACGCCTTGCTTCTCCCTCTTACCTCCACCGGGTCTTGAAGGACACTCATAAACCAGTACAGACATGAATCCCGTCAACTCCGAACCGTACACCCTTCCGTCCGATGCGACCTGGCTAAGTTTGTCTCCAGTTTTTAGCTCTGATGGAAATAAAAATATAAAAATCACAAGTTTGACGCTAACCACCCCACCCAGTCACCGGGTGCTCTTCCGGAATCGGCAAAGTCTTGAGCACATTGATCGCCAGCAAGCCCGGGCACCGCCTGATCGCCACGGCCCGGAACCCCACCGATCTCGCGAACCTCCCCGACGACGACAGGGGGAAGAACATCCTGAAGCTGCCCCTTGACGTGACCTCAGCGGCGTCCGTCAACGACGCCTTCGCCGCGGCCGAGGACCACTTCGGCCCGGGCTTCCACCTCGACGTCGTGGTCAACAACGCCGGGTACTCGCTCTCGGGCGACATCGAGTCGGCGACCGAGGAGGAGACGCACCGGGAGCTCGAGACCCTCTTCTTCGGCACGGCGCGCGTGACGACGCGCGCCGTCGAGAACATGCGCCAGTCCGCCGACCGCCGCCGCGGCGGCGTCGTCTTCAACGTCTCGTCCCTCGCCGGCCAGTGCGGCTTTGCCGGCCACGCGTACTACCACGCCGGGAAGTGGGCCGTCGAAGGCTGGACCGAGTCCGTCGCGAGAGAGGTGCATCCACAGTGGAACAAAGAGGCCCCCCCTCCTTCTTTCGAGTGTGTGCATCCCCGGCCTTTGATTGACCCGAGAAACAGTCAACTTTTGCATCCTGGAGCCGAGCGGCGTCAGGACAAATTTCGAAGGGCACAGCAAGGCTCGCACCGTGCCTCATCCGGCATGCCGGGTCGCGTGCTCGAGAAGTATGTCGAGATGGTGATCAAGTCAGGCAGGCTGACGGAGCCGTCGGCCATCGCCGAGGCCATCTACGGCATCGCCAGCCGCGGCGAGCGCGTCCCGTTGCGCGTTCCTCTCGGCTGACCTGCTTGGAACTTCATCAGGCTGAAGTTCGAGGCCGGCCTGGTGGATCTTGGCAAGGTTAAAGAGCTCAGCATGAGTGTCCAGAGGAGCTCGGGTGCGGGTGAATAACAAAAGAGCCTGGCGCCGAGCTATTCAGAGGCGAAAATTCAGTTATCAGTGTATAAGGATCGTAGAACTTGATTGTGCCAGCTCAGCTTGGTATAATTAGCAGTTTGTAGGTGTAGCTTGCAAAACTATACGTTTTGGTCACGACGAATGGCGTGTTATTATGGCTCGTTGCTAAACAGTCTTATGTCCTAATTTCCCTCCCATGTTTCTGTTCATTGTCCCATCCGCTTTTCCATTCATTCTTCTACTCATCCTTCTGTCTACATTTTGTCCCTGATTTCGTTCTTGTTTCCATCCTTGTTTTAACCCCAATAGCCAGGTCCGAATTTCCACTGGATTCTTACATGCAACACTTGATTGACTGAAAAGTCTGACAAAGGGCACTATGTTAGCAAGATCGAGAACTCGGTCAATAGAGGCAAACTCATTCTCCGGCTGGTCGGCATTTGGGAAGAGAGCTTCAACAAGATTGGGGGCTCGCGACTTCTTCGTTGGGGATGGCCGAATCACTTCACCGAGCATTCATCCAGTTCCCAAACGCGACATAACTGCAATCATAACTCTTCTTAATAAATTTACATGGAGCATTTCACAAGCAATCCATGTCCAACTCAACATGCTTGCGCCGACGAACTCTCACTCTCGCCGTGGGATTACTGGCATTAGTAAATCCCAGAACCATCGGCGATACATCGGTAGCGGGCAATGCTTCCCACTCGTACTTGAGCAGCAGATGGCACATGATGATCTTGATCTCGTAAGCGGCAAAGAACCTTCCGGGGCATGCGTGATCCCCGTGTCCAAACGCAAGGTGGTCGGGGCTCGTTACAACCAGCTGCGCATAGTTGGCCTTGCCGGGCTGCTCGGCCATCCTGATAAACCTGTAGGGGTCCCACGTCTCCGGGTCTTGGTGCAGCTCCGGATCTCCCATCCGGTATGTGTCGATGGCGATCCTGTCGCCTATTTTGAGGTTCAAGCCATTCGACAGAGTGAGGGGTTTCTCGACGCGTCTTCGTAATGATGCTGAATTTGTGTCAATTCCACCAGACGATACACCATTGCTGTTCAGGGGCTCACTAACCAACTCCGGGTGGCTTGTGACGTTGAGCCTCTTTCAGTGCACTGTCCAAAAGCTTCATGTTGTGAAGAGATGACTTCTTCAAACCCTCGGAGCGTAAGATATGAAGGACTTCCCCTCTGAGGGGCCCAAAATGCTCCGGATGCAGAGCCAACTGCAGCACGATCTCCGTGACCAAATCAGCGGTCGTATGTATGGCAGCAACAGCGAGCATAAGCTGCAGTATGGCGGGATCGTAGGTCACGCCCCTCGCGGCGGCCTCCTGGTCAGCCCAATCGATCGCATCGTGGAACTCGGGAATTTTCTTGCCGGCTGCAAGAGCGGCCGCTCGAGCCGCACGACGCTTCTCGATGTAGGGCAAGATGATGCGGCGTGCCTCGTCAAAGCTCGCACGTAGTTCTCGACACTTGGGCACGAACCAGTGGAGAACCCGGCGCAGCGGGCGAGGGATCATACGGAGATGTGTTCCCGCAACGAAGAAGTTCACAGTGTACTCCTTCGTCGCTCGCAGCCAGTCCTCATTGCGGCACAGCTCCTCCCCTAAGAACACGCGCGCTGACAATCGAGCAACCGTATCAAGAACGACGGACTTTACTTCCATCTCTCGCCAGTCTGTTTCACACGGGTCAGCGGTTTGAACTTGTTGATCATTGGGTTCGACCTGTACCTTCAGAGTCTCCAAACTTGTCGGCTAGAGCTTGAGCGGCCTCAGCTGAGACGGGCTCAATTATCTGAGCTACTTCTTGTAAGCAACTAGAAACTTTCATACCGGCAGGGTACTGCTGAGAGGCATACCGATGCACTTGGTGAGCTGCTTTCGCACCAAGGTTTGTAGAACTGCATCATCATAGCTGTCTACCGCAGCGCCCTGAAACCCAGGTAAATGTCCGTGGAAGTCCTTCAACACAAGCGTCAGCATCGAGTCCGCCTTCGTCAGTTGTTGTCATCACATACTTCACCAAAGGCTGAGCCGAAGCTGAGTCTTGGATCGTTACGGATCTCATCAGTCTGTTCAACTGGCAAGAACACGATCTCGCCAAGGTCGGTGATCATGCGGTAAGGGCTTTTTGGAAATAGCTTGCGTCCCTTCGCCAGGAGCTCTTTGCTGTTAAATACAAACTCGCGCTAGAAAAAAGATGCAAGATCAGCTTAAATGGTGCCAACGGGCCCGTTAACATGAGAAAGCTTACTTTGGATTCAATGTTAAACAAAGGGAGACCTTTGCTAGGGTTGAGAAGGGGTAGGTGTTTGAGATGTGCTCGTTGAGATGGGAAAGACAAATACAGAGCGGCTACAGCCAATAGTGCAAGGGCAGCAGCCGTGACATTCGGTGGGATGTAAAGTTGATCCCACATGTTCAGTAGCGAGAAAAGAAATGAGGGCGACATGAGCACGGAGGTTCGTCTCTGGGGAGCCTAGGAATGACGCATCAAGAGGGCAATGTGAAATGCTGGAAAATCGACACAACTATTACCATAAGCCATACCGAGATTTAAACCGTCTGCCGTGCCGTTGTTAATATGCCGTGTTTCCTTTCCCACAACGTGGCACCGTGTTCCATGTTTACTTGCATGATCATAAGATCAACGTAACTGTTGGTATTACCACTCGGTACCAAACATCCGACGAACAACGTGCATAGATGTCTACTCTGCCGGGTCTCGCTTGACCCTTGACGTTGCCACGGCTCTGTTTCTGGTGAATACATGGCCCGGCACTTTTCACGAAACTGCCCATAGGTGGGTCAAAGTGAGCCGTTGCACAGGGCTTAGAGCGGTTGACCCATCCATGGATGGATTCCCGAAAATGTCCCATCAGTCAACTTCTGGTCCGATCGAATCTGCGCTATGAATCCGACTGCAGCTGACTGAGTCGCGCAACCCATGATTCTTTAATCCACCAAGAACTAAGCGAACGAAAGCGCCATGGTGAAGCGAATAACCTCTGGGAAGATGTGCAGCCTGGCAGTTAACCATGATTGTGGTAAGATGGTTACTAAGAGCCACTCGGAGCATCCAGCAACATGAATCGCGCTGTTACTCGTTAGTCTTGAATGGCGCCATGCTTCAGCGAGATCTCAAATCCCAAGGCAACGGATCAGTAGATATCGGTCGGTACTCGCCTAAGCCTGGGGCTTTTGTGCAGGTAATCCACCGATGCAACTTCGTTCGGTGAATTTGAGGAGTTCAGCAGACGAGCTAAGCGCTCAACCAACCATGGCTGAAGAATTGACGGGCTCATCGCAGCATGGGTAACGGTCCCTACCGTAGTCCACCACAAGAGTTCACCGCTGTCGGTTCCAACGGTTCACAGATCGCTTGCAACTTTGACGCATCGTCGGCGTTCGTATCACGCATGGCGTGGGCTGACATCTGCCATACTTCGTGAAAGGTCCATAGCTGATACGCAGGCTAGAAGTCTAGAATGTAGACATGGAGAATTTTGAGCTTCAACAGGCGATTCCATGACTCGGCCTCATCGCAGCATTTCGCGGACCCGGTCGCACGATGAAGGGGGAGGTTTGAGCCAGGTTCGACCAGCATCAATCGTGAAGTAGTCATGAAGGGCGCCATCATGATTTGATGTTAAATAAACACCAACGTCGCTTCGGCGAATGCGGTGGCTATTCAAACCATCTCACCTTCATCTCATCTAATTAAGTAATACTGCTCGCATAAACAGACGCTCAACCGTCGAAATATCCAACCTCTTTTTCTGGACTCTTCATCATCACGAGTCACAACCGCCGGCATCATGGGAGAATACATCCAGTCGTCTTCAGAGCCCTTCCTCGTCGCCGTGTGCGGCCTTGGACTTCGTGCTCCCGGTGGCATCCGGAATGCTACTGACTACTGGGACCTCCTTGTGAATGGTAGGGATGCCAGGGGACCGATTCCAGACACCCGCTACAACATTGATGGCTTCAACGACTCTCTTGGCGGTAAGAACACGATCAAGACCAGGTTTGGATACTTCCTCACCGACGATCTCACCCGCATCGACACCTCACTCTTTTCAATGTCTCGCAAGGAGGTTGAGAGGTGTGATCCCCAGCAACGACTTCTCCTCGAGGTTGCCAGAGAGGCTCTCGAAGATGCCGGCGAAACCAAATATCGCGGGGAGCGCATCGGCTGCTACGTTGGCACTTTTGGAGACGATTGGGCGCAGATCGCTGGTAAGGAGACTCAGCATCAAGGTGGACTAGGCTACGTTGCCACTGGAAATGGCGACCTCATGCTCTCGAACCGTGTTTCGTACGAGTACGATCTCAGGGGCCCTAGGTATGTCGAATAGCCCCAGACCCATCCACCACTCGCTGACGACCCTAGTATGACAATCAAGACTGGATGTTCCGCTTCACTCGCTGCGCTTCATGAAGCATTCCGGTCGATTCAAAACGGCGATGCAACCGGTGCTATCATCGGGGGGACCAGCTTGATCATGACCCCAACCACCACCGCTGCCTTTACGTCTGAAGGAATCTTGTCCCCTGATGGTTCATGTAAGTCATTTGATGCCAAGGCTGACGGCTTCGCTCGGGCGGAAGCAATCAACGCCATCTACATCAAGCCTCTTTCATCAGCCATTCGTGACGGCAACGCCATCCGAGCTGTGATCAGAGCAACAGGAGCCAACAGCGACGGCCACAGCCAGGGACTATTCACACCCAACCAGGTAGCTCAGGAGGCCTTGATGCGGAAGGTCTACCGGGATGCCGGCTTGGACCCATCTCAGACTGCTTACGTTGAGGTACCCTCGTCGACCTTGCGCACTCCTACCTGTTGCTGACCTTGGATGTAGTGCCACGGAACCGGAACTGCGACCGGTGACCCGATTGAGACATCAGCGGTAGGCGAGGTCTTTGGCGAGAAGGGCGTCTACATCGGCTCCGTCAAGCCCAACGTGGGTCACTCCGAGGGTGCTTCGGGATTGAACAGCTTGATTAAGGCGGTTCTTGCCCTGGAGCACAAGACCATCCCGCCAAACATCAAGTTCAACGAGCCGAACCCCAAGAGTATGTCGCTTGACCGTTTTGTGATTCTTATAGCTTGGGATTGACTTCCTCTCCAGTACCATTCGCCGAGAAGAAACTTGTTGTTCCTACTCAGCCAACACCCTGGCCAGCTGACCGAGCTGAGCGGATCAGCATCAACTCCTTTGGTATTGGTGGCACAAATGCCCACGTAAGACGATGTCCCTCAACTGGTTTCGATGAAGCTAACAACTTGAAGGTTATCCTCGAGTCCTACGGTAAGGAGAGGCCTGTCGCAAATGGACATGGGACATCTCGCCCCGAGTTGCTGCTTGTGTCCGCGAACACCGCTGCTTCGCTGAAGGAGCAGGTGGAGCGATACCAGGAGTTCATCACTTTGCATCCGGATGTCGTCCAGCGAGACGTCGCCTACACACTGGCAACGAAGCGAGAGGCTCTGCCCCACAGAGCCTTCACCATTGCCCATGGCGAGAATATTATCGAAACGTCAGCTCCTGTGAAAGCGCCCAGCAAAGCCCCCGATGTTTACTTTATCTTCAGTGGACAGGGTGCCCAGTGGCCTGAGATGGCCAAGCAGCTGGTCGCTACTGATCCTCTGTTTGAAGCTGGTCTGAAGAAAATGGATGAAGTTCTCAAGGGCCTTGCACATCCGCCAAGATGGTCTATCATTGGTAAGCAGAAGCCGTTGATATTGAAAGACACACCACTCACACTGCGTTCCAGATGAACTTCTCAAGCCTGCCGCCACGAGTCTAATCGGCACAGCGGAGCTATCTCAACCTCTGTGCACGGCCATCCAACTTGCGCTTGTCAACAGGCTTCGGGAAGCGGGTGTCAAGCCAACCGCAGTCGTCGGACACTCCAGCGGTGAGATCGCAGCTGCATACGCCGCAGGTGCCATCACTCTGGAAGCAGCCATCATCTGCGCATACTACCGCGGTTATGTCACCAAGCAACAGACACTTGCTGGCGCCATGGCTGCTGTTGGTTTGGGCCCAGAGGGTGTTTCCAAATTCCTCGCCGATGGCGTCGTCGTGGCATGCGAGAACAGCCCTCAAAGCAGCACCATCTCTGGTGATAAGGAGAAGGTCATGGAGGTCGTCTCACGAATCAAGGCTGAAATGCCTGACGTGCTGGCTCGTCCCTTGAAGGTTGACATGGCATACCACTCACGTATGTATCCTCCAACTCTGAAGAAACGTAGTACTAACAGGTTTCCAGATCACATGGCTGCTCTGGGGAAGACTTATACCGCACTTCTGGAGGCTGAACTTCAGAACATTGGAGCATGGTCCAGATGTGCTACTTCATTGTTCTTCTCGAGCGTGGAAGGCCAGGTGCTAGAACAGGACTTTTGTTTCAGTCCCGAATATTGGCGAACCAACCTGGTTTCTCCGGTCCGGTTTTCCACGGCGGTCTCCCACCTCATCGAAAGCCAAGGTGATGGCTTCTTCTTGGAAATCGGCCCCCATTCAGCGCTCGCCGGACCACTGCGACAGATTTGCTCCCAAGCCTCTCGTCCATGCAACTATGCATCTTGTCTCATCAGAGGAGATGATGGCGTCAAGACGTTACTCTCCTGCTACGGCAGGCTCTTCCAAGAAGGCGTCCAACTCAACCTCGGCGCCCTCTACTCCGGTGGCAAGACTCTCAACGATCTACCCACCTATGCATTTGACCACATTCTCTCATTGTGGTATGAAAGCAGAGTCTCCCAGGCATGGCGACAGCGCAAGTATCCTCACCATGCCCTCCTGGGAGCCCGTGTTCCCGAGTCGCCTGACACTGCGCCCCAGTGGCGCAACATTCTGTCTCTGGAAGACGAGCCATGGATCGTTGACCACAAGGTCAAACAAGACATCGTATATCCCTTTGCCGGCTACGTTGCAATCGCTGGTGAAGCAGTCCGCCAGATGACTGGGGTCAATGCGGGCTACAGCATCAGGCACACTGTAGCTCATTCGGCCCTGGTTTTGAACCACGAGAAGGCAGCTGAGTTGATGACGACTTTGCGCCGCCACCGTCTGACGGACTCCGATCACTCAGAGTGGTTCGAGTTTACCATTGCATCGTACAGCGGAGCCACCTGGACGAAGCATTGCGAAGGACAGGTCAAGGTTCTTTATGATGAACTCCCAAGCACTCTTGTCCGCAAAGATTACCCCCGCAAGGTGGTCTCTTCCCGGTTCTACGATTACATGGGAGAGGTCGGCATCAACTTTGGTCCCGAGTTCCGCCGCCTGGAGAATGTCACGTCATCAACCACCGAGGCTCTTGCTTCGGCGGATATCATTGTGCCCGACGAAGAGATGAGAAAGCCGTATGTGATGCATCCGGTGGCCATCGATGCTTGTTTCCAGCTCCTGATACTCTCCTACGCCAAGGGTCTCGGACGCAACGTCACGCAGTTGTCGGTCCCGACTCTCGTCGGAAGTCTGGATATCCGCCGTGGCGAGGGCTCGTTGACCGCGAGGGCATGGGGAGCTTCCGCCACCGAGTCAGAAGGAGTTGAGTGCGCTTCCGACGGAAAGACAGCCCTGCGCCTCAGCGGCTTCAAGCTCACTGCTCTTGAGGAGTGCGACGACGCTGACCATGATGAGTACGCGGCCGCCAGACTCGAATGGCTTCCGGACTTTGACTTCGTTGACGTCGCCCCTCTGTTTAAGCCACCGCCTTCCGATCGCGAAGAGGCTCGAATGATCGAGGCACTGACCCTGCTCTGTATCATCGAGAGTTGCGAGAGGCTTCGCGGACTGAGCCCCACACAACCTCACTTTGCGAAGCTGAGAGACTGGATCGAAAGGGAGGTTCACGGGGCGAGGGAGGGAGGGAACGTGCTGGTCCCAGACTCTGCGAAGTACCTGGAGCTCACCCGTGAAGAGCGCCGCGCCAAGTTGGAAGATCTTCACAGGAGACTCTTGAACGGCAACAAGTCCGGCCTTGTCGAAGGTCTCAAGCGTGTCGTCGACAACACCGAGCGCATCTTCAAGGGCGAAGCCGAGACCATTGACATATTGATGGAGGGCGGCGTTCTAGCTGAGCTGTACAATGCTGTCAGCTTTGGCTACAGTGACTTCGTCAAGCTGATGTCCAGCACCAAGCCGAAGCTTCGCATTCTGGAAGTCGGCGCTGGCACCGGTGGTACGACAGAGCTCATCTTGCGCGACCTCATGCACGAGGGTGGGCTTCCCCGGTATTCCAGCTATACTTTCACCGACGTTTCCGCAGGCTTCTTCCCGCAAGCCAAGGAGCGCTTCGCATATGCTCCAAACATGGAGTACAAGGTGTTCGACATCTCCAAGGACCCTCTCGAGCAGGGCTTTGTTGAGTCTTCTTACGATGTCATCTTCGCGGCCAACGTCGTCCACGCGACACCATCGCTGAAAGACACCTTGAGCAACCTAAGCAAGGTCCTCAAGCCGGGCGGTGCTCTCGTTCTGACCGAGATCTGCACTGAGCTCCGCTCTCCGACGTACATCTTTGGCAACTTCGTCGGGTGGTGGCTCGGTGAGGATGATGGTCGTCTGTATGCCCCTTACGTCCCTCCTTCGCGTTGGCACGACGAGCTTCTCGCTTCTGGCTTCACCGGTGTCGAGACGGCCGTCTATGATGAAGATGCGCCGTATATGTGCTGCACCACCATCATGTCAAGGAAATGCCGAGATTTGCCTCCGCGAACAACATCGGTAACTCTGGTTACTACTGATGCTGAAGGTGATGTCGCACGGTCGCTTTCTAGTTCCTTGAAGGACGCCGGATTCTCAGTCACCCGTATCGGCCTTGGCGACCCCCTCCCCAAGGACCAAGACATCATCTCCTGCGTCGACATCGAGAGAAACCTCTTTGAAAACATCAACCAAGACGACTTCTACTCCTTCCGAGACCTAATCCGCGGACAAGGCGTTGACCAGAATCTTCTCTGGCTCACGAACCCCGTCCAGGTCAAGTGCAAGGATCCTCGCTCGGCGCAAACCATCGGTGCTGCCAGAACCATCCGCACCGAGCTGGCTGTTCCCTTCCATACGTTGGAGATCAGCAAAGATGAGCCCCAATTCAACGATCTCGTCCTGAAGGTTTTCGGGAAGATTCGCCGCGAGGAGGATGATGATAATCTGGTGTCCGACAAGGAATTCGTCGTCGACAATGGCACGATCTGCATCGGCAGGTACCATCCGTTCTCGCTACAGGAGGAGTTGTCGCAGCGGAGCATCGCTGGCCAAGAGACCATCCATTCTCTGCAGATTGGCAAGATTGGCAGCATTGAGTCTCTGTCCTGGGCTGAGCAAGCATTGCCTCAGTCCATCCCCGCCGACACCATCGAAGTCGAGCCCAAGTCCATCGGTCTCAACTTGAAGGATGTTCTCACGGCCAGTACGTGTACCCTTACCCGTTTCTCGTTTCCATTTACTAACTTTATGTTTCTTAGTGGGTGTCATAAACCCTGTTGGCAGCGTCCAGATGGAGCTCGGCATTGAACTCGGCGGAGTCGTCACTCGCGTCGGCTCAGACGTGAACGAGTTCAAAGTCGGCGATCGCGTCTTCGCCTTTGCACCCGAGGGGTGTCTGGCCACCAAGGCCGTTCTCCAACGCTACCACGCCGCCAAGCTTCCTGACAACCTCAGCTTCCAAGACGCAGCAGGTGTTCCGGTTGTGTTCGCGACCGTGATCCATGGCCTCATCAACATCAGCCACCTCCAGAAAGATCAGTCGGTCCTGATTCACGCTGGATGTGGTGGTGTCGGTCTATCTGCCATCCAGATCTGCCGCATGATCGGAGCAGAGATCTTCGTTACAGTTGGAAGTCCCGATAAGGTTGAGTACCTCGTGAGCACCTACGGTATCCCGCGCAACCGCATCTTCAACTCCCGAGACGAGTCCTTCTTGGACGGCGTCATGAGAGAGACTGGCGGTCGCGGTGTCGACCTCGTGCTCAACTCTCTGACGGGGCCACTGCTTCATGCTTCATGGAAGTGCGTCGCAGAATTCGGCACAATGATCGAGATTGGAAAGCGTGATCTTCTAGGCTACGGCAAGCTAGATCTCAACCCCTTCATCGGCAGCCGGCAGTATGTCGGCTTTGACGGCGTGCAGTTTGCCAGAAAGAGACCTAGGTACTTCCGCCAGCTGTTGGAACAGTTCCTCGGCTATTGGGAGCAAGGACATATCCGTCCCATTCCCGAGCAGACTCACTTCCATGCAAGTGATATTGTCAATGCATTCCGTCACTTGCAGCATGGCAGCCACATTGGCAAGGTCATCGTGTCGATGGACGACCTCTCTGCTCAGGTCGATACCAAGCCGCTTGCAAAGTCGATCAAGTTCGACCCGGAGGCTACCTATCTCTTGACGGGAGGTCTCGGAGGTCTGGGCAAGTCCATGTCAACATGGTTGGTTGAGCACGGCGCCCGCCATTTGACAATCATTTCCCGGAGTGCGGGCGTCAGCGATGAGAGCAAGACTGCCATAGAGGAGATTGAGTCTCTGGGGGCCAAGGTTGTAACGGTTGCTGGTGGAGTTGAAAACATGGAGGATGTGAAGGCTGCTGTCAGCGCATCATCCAAGCCGATCAAGGGCGTGTTCCATCTGGCAATGGTGTTGAGAGACAGTCCGATGGTCGAAATGACTTGGGAACAATGGGACCAAGTGGCAAAGCCAAAGGTCACCGGCGCTTGGAACCTGCACCACGCGCTCGAGAGCCAGCCTTTGGACTTCTTCTGGCTTGCCAGCTCCGTCGTCACCGTCGTCGACCAGCCGGGTCAAGGCAACTACAGCGCCGCAAGCACATACCTTGAAGCCTTCACCCAGTACCGTCTCGGGCTCGGCCTGCCGACTGCCATCTTGAACATCTGCCCCATCAAGGGCGTAGGCTTCGTCGCTGAAAGTGCCGTTGCCCAGCGCAACACCAAAGCTCAGGGCATCTACTTCCTCGGCGAGAAGGAGTACCTTGATTACGTGGAACACTCCATCCTTGCCGCCAAGGGAAACCTGGCTGCGTATGAGGCGAGCCCGTCGAGCCGCCCGCCCAAGGCCTGGAAGAACGAGAGCCAGGTTGTGATGGGTCTTCGATCCGAACTTCATCTGGAGGATCCCAACAACCGCTGCAACTGGCGACGCGACCGCCGCATGGGTGCCTATCACAACATCCGCAACAGGCAGGCCGACGAGTCGGGCGGTGATTCTAGTGCTCTCAAGACATTCTTGAACCAAGCCTCGGAGACCCCGGATCTTCTTTCAGACAAAGCGAACATCGAATTCCTGGCGCAGGAGATTGGTGCAAAGGTGTACGACTTTATGCTCAAGCCTGGCGAAGATGTCGACACGAGCTTGAGTTTGGCGCAGATTGGCCTTGATTCGCTGATGGCGACTGAGCTGAGGCGGTGGTTTAGACAGCTGCTGGGCTTGCAGGTGAGCGTGCTAGAGATCATGGCGTCGGGGTCTTTATTCCAACTAGCAGAAACGGCTTCCACAGCATTGAAGAACAAGGCGTTGGGTTCATCATGAAATAATGGGAAGAAGATAGAGTAGTCGACGTTGTAACCAGCATTATGAGTTAGGCTCTTTCTTGCGAACTCGTCCTGATTACCTGCAATGTGTACGTTCGAACCGGTAAAGCACCTCCACTTGTCCATGCTTTGAAGGCGAGACTGCCCAGAGGTCGGATGAGACCTTGCAAGCCAGACTCATTGCGCGCAGCAACAAAGGCCAATATCGGCGCATACGCCCAACGTCCCTATTCCTCTCCTTCGTTCATCCTGCACACCAGACCATACACAGCCGGAATCGCACTTACCGCGATCAAGGTCGCACCCAAAGAACTCTTAGTACCAAAGAGTGTGGTAGCGAAGAGCGCTCCACCCATGAAGATGTCGCGCACCCCGTAGATGACCATGACGCGGTCAAGGAGTCCTCAAGAGTACGGGTCATCTGGATACTCCCATTGGAAGAAATACAAAGCAGACTCGGGCCTGGCTATGGCGCTGATACCGAAGGCAACGTAGATGGCACTGTAGAATCATGGTTGATATTGTGATCCACTTCATATCTCATCATCTGTTGATAAGGCCTACGGTGATTAGGCAGATGGTTGTATAGTGGTCTCCCTCTTTGTATGTGATTGTTCCTAGTTAAAGTTAGCTAGTAAGATCTATGTTGTCTATAAGGTCTAGGAGTTTAGTTACTTTGCAGTCTACTGTATGGATATCACTACATCCTTATACCTTATAGTAGAGGTTAAATAAAAAGTTTTGCTAGGGTTTAGGCGCTTAATTACAAAAATGTGTTCTCAGTCACCAAAAGTCTAATTTCAGTAGACGCAGCGACAGAGCACGTGGCAACCGATATTACGGACCCTTGAGCGAGCCGACGTTACGGACCAGCCGGTTGGTGCATAGGAGCTTGGGAGGACTGTCGCAGGTATGAAAAGTCTACAGAGCAAACCCGTCTGTTTGGGACCCTTTGCTTTTTGCCATGTCTCAGTCTGCTCACATCTCGCCACCAACGTGCCATAACATTTTGTTGGTGTATCTTGTTTTATTAGGATATCTAGGCGAAACCTCTGTTGTACAAATGAGTTCTTTCATATTAGGTTAGCTGCTAGAAGCATTCTTTTTAGGGGGGTGGATATCACAAAGGAAATAGCAATAACGTCTCGGAACAACATCCTTTCCGGGTGTGGGGGGTCTTTTCCTTAATATTGGCCAGCAACCTTCTTCAGTTCCTGGTGGTGGTGGTTCTTGGTTTCGACTTTCTTGATGTGGTGCAGGACGCGGGGGAACACATCCTTGTGAGCAGTAGGGCTCATCCACGCATCCAAGTGGCCGCGGTCCGGGAACACCTGCCTCTCGTAGCATACCCCGCCGTTGGCCTCGCTGAGAGTGGTGAACGAGGTATCGGTGTTATCGGGGGCGTATACGTCGTTCTCGGTTCCGGAGAAGAAGAAGATGTCCAGGCCCTTGAGGCGGGCAATGTTCTGGGGCGTAACGAGGTTCTCGTTCTGAGAGTCCGTCGCAATTCCGTGGGTACCCTGGTACATGAGGTGGTTCAGGCTGGCCATCGAGGTGCCTCCCAAGAAGTTCTCCAGCTGGGAGTGAGTGGCCTCATTGAGACCCTTGTGTGACCAAAGACTGTATGGTTTATTGTCAGCGATTGGAATGGCGATCAAAGTGCATCTGGACAACTTACCGGCCAAATACAAGAGAGCTGCGATGGCAGACAACCGAGTTGCAAATCTCATTGCGGTGGCCGACCGGGTAAAATCGCAGGACTTGGTTGAGAGCCTGCTGGATGTAGCCGTCGTTGGGAGTGCTGGAACAGTCGAACCACTTGCCTTGAACCAGGTTGTAGATGTTGGCCATGGAGATAGGGAGGCTGGCCTTCATGGTGTTGACCTTGGCGAACCTGGGGTTCATGAAAACCTGCGACGCTGTGACACCGCTGAGCCATTGGCGTGGGATTGTGCCGTCGAGGAGGCCGGAAGCCAGGGCAACGGATCCCGCGCAGTGGGCCACCACGTAGGTCATGTGAGACGGGCCGGAGCCGTCCATCTTGTCGATGATGGTATGTCTCTTGCGGATCTCCTTCAGCGCCGCGTGGATATCGCGGCGAGCGTCGTACGTGGTCCAGTTCTGTTGTGCCACCACGGTCTTGCCCACCCGGTGCACCATCGAGTAAACACGGTAGCCCTTCTCACGGAAGTACTTGACTGCGTTCTCCTTGATGGTTGGCAGGGCGAAGATCTGATGGTCGACAGCGGCACCGGGGATAAAGAGCACAATCGGGGCATTGTCTGACTGCTGCCCGCCATTGCCTTGCGGCTCCCACATGTACAACTTCGTCCTGACGCGGTCGTTGGCCACGACGGTGCATTCCTCCGACCACGGCGTTGGGTTCTCGTAGCTATGGAAAGGAAGAGAAGGCCACATCTGCGGGATGAACGGTGTGAGGAATGCGCTAGCCGCCTTGGCAGTGAAGTACCCCAAGAAGTTGGCGGTCGATGTGACCTTGGCGTAAAGGCTCGAACCGGTCGCCTCCATGGTGGTGCACTCCTGGAGGAAAGCACTCGGCCGAATGTGAATGACGCCCTTGCCCCGGACCTCGCTTGGGATGGACTGGTCGTGTTCGTCGACCTCGGTGATGGTGCAGTACAGAGTTGTAGTCGCCTTCCAGAGGTTCCAAGGGTTGAAGACCACGTCCGAGTTGACCACCTTGTATCCGTTGAAGTGCAACTTCTTGCCGTCTTTCTGAGACACAAGGAAGTTGTAGGTGAGGTTCATGGTGTCCGGAGACCTGGGATCGTCGTTGAATAACTGGAACTTGCCCCCCTGCACCATGCAGGTTCCGCCAAGAGCTGGACAGGTAAAAGTCCCAGTGAGATTGGCCTCGTGTTCTTTGTCGTTGACCACTAACAACACAGTCAGAATGCATGTATATCGCTGCGGGGGCCAGCGCTTACGGTTATGTGTGTTCCACGATCGGGCGCTGAGGAAGAACCTGGCGTATTCGCCCCGGCTCCTGGCAGTCTCAGTGGCCCTCTCGAAGTCGAGTGACTTCGAATCGGATCCAAAATGAATCCATCCGTCCATCATTTCCGAGAAGGCGATGCCAGGGGTCTTGTCATCCCGTGCAGTCTTGATGATCTCCTTGACTTTGGCCACTTGGAGGCTATCATCATCGCCCTCGAACTGATTGTGCGCCGGCTCAGCGAAGAGGTTCAGAGAGCCTAATGGCCATTAGTATTTGGCAACAATCCATAAAGCATCCTCACTAGGGATGGCCTACCGTTCTTCTCTTCCAAATTGATCTCGATTCCGAACTCCTCGGCAACCATCTCGACAGACCTTTCAGCAAGGGCGGTGATGGTCGCGAACGGGTTGACTCCGAGAGCAGCAGGGACGATGGTGCCGTCACAAACAACCAGTCCCTTGTGCACTTTGTCAGTGTTGTCGACGAAGAGCTGGCCCTTATCGTTGACACCGCCGCTAGCACCTGTGCCGTCGGCGCTGATACGAGCGCCACCGCTGTATGTGTGTCAGATACATTGCATAACTCAACGACCAAGAATACTCACATTGCGTGAACAGTAATCTCCTTCTCTCCAAAAGCGGCGTAGAAAGGGCTGTCAACGTAGGTGCCCCCAATCAGGTTGGTAAGCTTGGCCAAGTAGCCCGCAAGCTTCTTGGCTCTGTGAGACTTGCCAACGCCGGAATAGTTTATCATAGGTCGATCATTGTGCAGTTGCATAGTTGCTTGGCTGCCTAGAAGAAGTTTTGGTCAGAAGCGCTCAGAATGCGCGGCAGAATTAATCAAGACTTACTGTCATGGGACATAATCAGGTAACACTGAGTCTTTTCAGTACTGCCTTTGGGGTAATAGGGTCCAAATACCCGGCTACCGGCGGCCGCAGCCACGTGGTCAATGGCTCCCTTGATGGAGATGTTATGAGGAAACACCTTTCCAGGAAGGAGAGTAAGCATTCTCTGGTAAAAGGGGGCCAAGGCTGCGGGAATGGCGCCCTCCTCAATCACAAAACCATCCAGGGGGTTGTCCAGACCGTGACGACAGTCGATCACGCCCGTGATGCAAGGACCAACCGGACGATTTGGCGGGGGATCCGGGCGGCCCATGCCGTTGATGTACTCGCTGGTGTTGTATCTGAACCGATTAGCTTGTGCGAAGGAGTCTTGAAGTGCGGAGTGCAAGGTGGCCTACCCGAACGCCAAAATGTCACCGTTGCCGCTCATCCCATGACCAACGTCTTCGCTCATGTTGAGTCCAAACTTCTTGCTGCGAAGAAGAATCTCTGTGGTGCCAATACTGCCAGCCCCGAAGAAGACCAGCTCCTTAGCATGGACCCACATGAGGTCCTCGTGGAAGATGCCCTTGAAGTTGGCACGCTTGCCTCCGTGCCAGGCAAAGTGCACGATGTATCCACCCCGTTCCTTGGGGGCCTCGGTGACATAGCGAACCTCGCACTGGCAGAACATCTCAGCCCCCCAGTTCCAGGCATCACTGAGGTAGTTGACTAGGGTCGTGGATTTACTGCCGTCGTTGAGACCGGTAGTGTCTTGGCCAGAAAGGGTGGACGCGCGCATGTAAACACCGGTGCTGTTTTCTCCGTCCTCAAACCGAGTAGTCTGGGGCACGCGGTAAAACTTGTCCCCCCAGCCCATGAGGTTGGCCTGCTTCTCGAGAGTCTCGAGCTTGTGAAGCTTCGGGAAGTCCTTGGGGTACCTCTCAGGCTCCAACACATCTGCAGCCCTTTCGTAATCTGTGAGGGAACTTGTTAGTCTAAATTTGAGAACATTGATGGCGTAACCTACACTTTCTGAAGTTCTCGGCACCCCTCAGCTTATCGGGCCAGATGGGAAGGTCAAGAACTCCGTTGTCGGCTTCCAGGAAAACGTTGGCATTGAGCAAGCTTGTACCACCAAGACCGTTGCCGACGAAGGCGTTCTGTCCGTCACCGACGATGAGATGGTACAGTCCAGTCGGGTCTCCCTGTGTTCCGTACTTGCCCAAGCGGCCCATGATACCATCCGTAGTGGCATTTGAAGAGTGAAGTTCTCCCATGGCTTGCAGGATATTCGACGGGAATTCTCCCGGCCACTTCTCCTTACCGCGCTCGAGGAGGCAAACCTTCTTGTTGCCTCTGGCCATGCGACTGGCAGCGACAGCACCGCCGTAGCCCGATCCGATGACAACGGCATCGTATGACGGGCGGATCAGCTCAACGGGGCGAGAAATGCGAGGGTAGGTGCCTGTGACAGGGTCGAACATCCCGTCACTCTTGTCGTAACCTTCGTATGGCTCCGTCGTCGAACCTCCATACGGAGTTTCGAATGAGTCTTGATAGGTGCGGGGAGCTCCTCTATAACCGTTGGCTTCGCCGTTAGCGCCGTTGGCGCCACTGGTCTTGGTCTGGCCATTGCCGTTGACCTCCCCGTTGTACTCAGCCATGGTCAGTTAGGAAAGGGTAAGCTTCCCGAGGTAAAAGATAAAAAGACGTGGGAGCCTTCGAATATCACCCCAGTAAAGAGGTCTTGCGGATAGGGAAAAAGCTCTTGACACAGGTTCAGAATGACATGGGTTACCTGGGGCTTTTATAACAGCAATCCACTACTCACTTGTAAGTCCCAGGATTCAACCAGATTGGCAGATAGAATTTGCATTCTCTCTATGAAGACGTTGTGCTGTCCAGTCTCCATTGAGGTAAGACCAAATACTTTATCACATGCTCGTGAAGAATACCATTCGAATGATGGGGGAAATTGCGGATTCTTTGCATCACCGGATGCGGAGGTTTCGGTTGAGCATTAGCCCCTGAATGCTCGCAGCTGTTTTGGAGTTTGTTAATGCACAAATTAGGTTGGGGTCTCGAGGATCAAATCTCTAACCCGGCAATATGAACCATTTTCTTGAAGATGAACGCTGCTGTCTCGCATGGCTCGTCAGATGCATGTTGCTGCAAGACAGTCCCGTCCTGCCTTGAATGTATGTTAAGATATTGCCCTCCAGCCCTGTAGATAGCAAGTTTGTTCCACTTACTTCGCAAACCTGCATCAGAAAAGACCCAAACGCTTGGGTACAGAGTTCCAGTCTGCGTCGGGAGAGGACAACACCCCTGCTGTAGAAGTTGGTCCAAGTCTGGGTTCCCAGTAAACATCTGCATTAGTTGGCTGCAGGACGCGCGGTTGCGAACCAACCCGGTCGTGAACATTCACACACGCGTACATGCCGTCTCATGGACGGCAATCTCCACACCGGAGGCGCCGCTCGAACAGGAATAACGCGGACGATCGAACTCCGAAAAAGGGCTAGGCCATAGAACTACCGCCTCGCTCTAACGAACATGCACCCCCTCCTGAAGGCTGACGGCTGTTATCAGTTCCTCAACGAGATAGAAGTCTTACTATCTGCCGACTGAGCATGCTGAACGTGGAGCTACTGACACGCGGGCAAACTCTCAATCCCACCCTCTGCACCCAGGAAGCTCGACCGATTGGTTCTTTGGCGCCATCGTGTGTGCACTTGCTAGGCGGGAATGTGGCTAGCTGAAAGCGGGAAGACTAGCGGGCCGCAACCAGACGGAAAGGGGTATTGGGGTAATAGCCCACCTCAGAACGCACGTATGCGCCATGCGCGGCAAGCTCGCAGAACGCTTCAAGACTCCAAGACATGGGGCGCACGATAATCAGACTAGCAGTCACCTGGTTGACGTTAAATTCGTTGATGTCTTGCAGCGGGGCATGATGGGGAAGACGAGGCATGCAAATTCCAGTGTCTAGTCAGTGTGTTGTTCAAGCCGTTGATTATGTTACATGTTTGCAAACCCGTCTCCCCTCTCGAGGGCCGCATCGGAGCCGAGCACCCGAGGTCTCTGTTGAATGCCAACTAGATGTGGTTGAAAACACTCGTCTGAGCGCCACCATACAGGAGTCGGCTGTTTCTGCTCGTGGTGGGCGTTTTTATGCCTCGAGCTATCACGCCAGGGAGGCAGTTCGACATGTGATCTTGAGACAGCAAGGTCTCCTTGACATGCTTCAATGACACGCTACACGTTGGCATGCCAAGGGAAACCACCAGAAGAGAGCAGCACGGCAAAGGGGAACAGAACGACGCACCGAACTCATTCCAGTCTTCCTCAGCTGAGAGGGAGATATAAACCGTCAGTATTTATTTGGTTGCGTCCCCATATCATCTCACTTGCAATCTACCTCATTATTCATCTTATTCTACCAACCCAGACTCGCAAATATGGAGGTGGTCGATGTTACATATTCCCTCCCAAAGGATGTGACCGATAAGAAGATTGTGGTCCACCCCGGTTCCGAGTTTCAAATCAGCACCTTCAGCAAAGGCGGCAGCCAGGGGCTCGGAGTCTCCCGGAGGTCCAAAGACCCCTCTCTCAGGCCAGCATACTTCTACACTGGCCCGCCATGGAGTTTGCTCTGGAGTGACACGAAGTTGTTTGTTCAGAATATTCTCTACCTCCCTTGCATTGTCTTCCCGCTCTGGGCGCAGCCCCCAGCGCGGTCCTTTCGTCTTGGAGTCGACAACAGGTTCATGGAGCAGCCTCGTTTCCTTGTCAGCCAGTTCTATCGCCAGTTCCAAGCATGGGCCCAGACCTACTTCCACTCCGGTCCTATGGACGAGCTCTACCCGTCCTGGAATAACTTCTGGGACATTACTTTCCACATGGTTCTCATGGCCGCCCAATCGGCCTTCCTCCTGTCGCTCCCCTTCCTGACCATCTTCTCTTTCAACGTCTTCGTAGCTTGGGTTGGTATTTTCGTCACCACCAACTACATCGCGTGCTTCGCGCTCAATGGCTGGATGCCCGAGGGATTCATCTGGTCGAAGGAATTTCCAGACACCGCGCGATGGAGGGATGAGCACGCGGATGAAGAATGGATCTTCCTAAACGGAGTTGCGGTTGGGTAAGTTCTCTATCGCATTACAGTCTTCGTCTCAGGTGGAGCTAATCATTCAACAGCAAGAATTGGCTGCAGAGCAATATTGACCGCATTTCATTGACTTTCCACCGTGAAGTCAAGGGCGTGCACAACAGAACGTGAGTAATTAGGAACTAACGTGGGAACCTCCATCTTGACCTAATATACTGACACTACGATTAGCGCCGGAATAATCTTCGACGTCATCCAATGCCTTCTGGAGCGCTGCATGTACTTCGGCACCGCGGACACCAGAATCTGCTTCTCTCACATCTCTGACGCGCTCCTCTCGGACAAGAAAAAGGTCATTCTCATCCTTCACTCGCAGGGCGGCCTCGAGGGCAGCATCATCCTCGACTGGCTCATCAACCAGCACCCGCGCGAGGTTCTGCAGAAGCTCGAGATCTACACATTCGGCAACGCCGCAAACCACTTCAACAACCCCCGCGTCAAGAAGGAGCAGAGCGTTCCTAGAGTCAAGGACCGCGCCATTCGCCACATCGAGCACTACGCCAACTCGATGGATTTCGTCTCCCGATGGGGCGTTCTTCACTTCAAGAAGCAGACGGCGAGAAAGGATGGCCGCTTCCTCCATCTCGGCGAGATTTCCGCCCTTATCTCCAGAAAGGTGCAGATCATCAGAGCGACATCCAAGACGGCGTCCAAGCAGGCCAACAAGCTGGACTCGGAGTGGAATGCCTACGAGGGCGTGCTGATTGAGCGCAACGGCTCGGGTCACCAGTTCAACCAGCACTACCTCGACAACATGTTCCCGCTTGATGACAGCCTCAGCAGAGTCCAGACCAACGGGGATGGCTCCCCTGTCCCGGGCACCTTTATGGCGTCGCTGACGAACGTCCGTAACGACCCCTGGAAGATTGACGAGCAGCGGAAGATCACAAACGGAGTCGATGGTGTTGCCCATCATAACGAGGTGAACGGTTACTCTGAAGAGCAGAAGGTTTACCAGGTCAGCCGCCTCTGGAAGTACGTGAATGGCGGCAAGCCTAAAGACAAGTAGGCCACATGGTATGCTTCCCGGGTCGATTCAAGAGGCACGAGGATAGTGTAGAACATGTAACTGCGCTTTATAACGCACTGCAAAACGATGTTTCGAATTCGTAGAAAGAAGAAATAAAAAAAAGGAGAAAGAACTTTCGAGACACGCAACTCTTAGTTTGGCTCGGTTCTGCTCTGCTGGGGACTGCCGGGGTGGTCCGTCTCAGACAGGTAATAAATAATAGTCAATACACCTCTTGCAGTGAAAGTTGTTGACCAGAACTCCAAGGTAGTGATAGAGTCCGTGGGTAAAAGCTCCAGTCAACTTGTTAAGCTGGTGTGTGGTTGAGTGCAGTTGACAGCGGGGTTCCTCTAGAGACTCCTCTTTACAAAATGCAACCCTACTCTCTTCTGGAGTCAAGGTCCACTTCCCACCGGCAAGTCTTCCGCGACCCTCGTCATCTCCACAACAGTGGGTTCCTGGTGTCGATGTCAACGATGGATCGAGGCTCCTTCAAAGACGTCTGAGTCGGTGCGTATCAACACGTAGAAGTATGGCTGGCAAGCTCTTTTCCTTATCACCTATACTAGCAAGATTTCTAGTAGATTTAAACCCAGCTTTTCCCATGATGGAATGGAACCGGGGTTGTAATAATAGTTCTGCAGTGGCAGATATGATCTCCACCGGTCAATTCGTTGCCTCGGCCGTCCGATTGCGTTATGCAGCGTTCCGATGTCGACATAAATCCAAGAGATGCCGAGCCAAGCGAGATTTCGCTTTCTTTCTCGCCCGTTTCAGAAAGGCAGTTTGCTCTCGGAGAGATCGATATGCAAAGACTTGGGCTCCGGCAAGTGGCGCCGTTTCTTTTTCTTTCTTTGTCGACGGCAGTCCCGCGTCTCGCAGCCGCCCGGCGCATGGCATGGATGGACGTTGTCATTAACATCTGCTGCGCGCGCGGCCAAGCATCCTTGCGAGGCCTCGACCCGAAGGGCTTGCCGCACCTTGGGGTGATACGAGCTTTCTTGTAATGAGAATATGGGCTCATGGGTGTACCCTGGTTGGTGCACTCGGCTGCCCATTCTCGGATTGTGTTTCCCGGGTGGACATGAGTTACCAGTCACAATGTTTTCATCCAAAGTCGAAGAAGCATCCCGTCCTAATTCGGTCCAGGGATCCGGTGCGTCGATGGATTCAAACCTGTAAGTCCGCGACACTGACGGCATATGCCTACAACAACCGTAGTCCTCGCTCTCATCTAATGAACTCATCCTGCATGACAACCCGCCCATATGGCTGCCCCGTCGCAGGTTATAAATGTCCGCAGAGCATCCCGTATGCTTGGAACCATCTGGTTATTGCCATGAGGGCCTGTGTCACCTCAATATGCGAGCTGATGTATGAATTCAGGTAGAACCGAGCCAAGAGGCAGGGGGCACACGGCTTTCCCACCACGACCTGTCCCTAGTACCCATCCGTTTCCTGTTTCCTTGGAACTGTATGGATGGTGGTTGAAATCCCCCATCTACTAGTGTTTCTACCCGCGCTCGGGAACCCACCCCCGCGCGGCGAGCCCACTTGCTGATTGGGGCGTGCTGGGAGGCTGCGATAGAGTAAGGCCGAGGGTGAATGGCGACATACGCCACCAGTGGTTATGCGGCCGCGGCGGGGGACGCTGGTGGCGGGATCTGCGACGACTGATAATAGGTATGTCTTCTTGGCAAAGAAAAAACTTGTAGGGCTTAGGAAGCACGCAATAGGCGCCCTTGGATCTTGGTATTTCGCCCGACGAACCAAGTGGCCTGCTTTCCGTCCCCTGTCGTGAACCATACCCTGACGTCGCCAGGTCGATTGTAACGTCTCACCGTGGACGAGCTGCAAAGTGGCAGATAAGGGGATAGGTCCAACGCGCTCCCCGGAGACGGGGTCGATTGTGTGCTTTTACTCCATAGTATCGAACAGGACCCATGGGTCGGGGGTGCCGTGACTATGTAACGACAGCTGGCAGACTCGTCTTTCGTGGAAAGTCTATATATCTATCAGCTCTGTCGTGTAACGCCGCATGTCTTGATTTGATGGTTCACCACCCCTTCGGCTCTACCGAATAAACAGGCTTTCAACCTGCATCTCCCGCGGGACTCTTCCCAATTCCTCAGGCCGCCGCCAACAACTCTTGTCTGCTGGCGCATTTGTGTGATCAACAAGCAATGGGGTTCTTTGCGAAGCTCTTCCCGAGCGGCCACGCATCGGGCGGCAGCCGTGGCTCCGCTGTCAACGCCGACACCGAGGCCAGCGACTCGGAGCCCTCCATCATCCACGACGGCGGCCTCGCCTACACTAGAGTGAAGGGCGGCAACGGCTCCAAGCCGTCCTACCAGGAGGCCGTCGGCGCGCCCGTCGAGTCCGACTCGCCGCTGGGCTACCACGTTAACTGGATCGCCATCATCTTCCTGAACGTCAACATGATGATCGGGACCGGTATTTTCTCTACTCGTACGTTAGACCGCCGAGCGGGGGTGGTGGCTCCCTTTTCTAGATGGCTGTGATTCCTGACGCAGTGCCATAGCCGCCAGTATCCTGAACAGAACCGGCTCCATCGGCCTGGCCCTGATGTACTGGGTCATCGGATTCCTCATGGCCTCCGCCGGCTTCAGCGTCTACCTCGAGCTGGCCAGCTACTTCCCCAACCGAAGCGGCTCCGAGGTCGTCTTCCTGGAGCAGGCGTACCCCCGGCCGAAGCACTTCTTTCCAGTGGCCTTTGCCGTCCAGTCGGTGATCCTGTCGTTCAGTAGCAGCAACGCCGTCGGTGAGTGGCCTCAGAGGCCGGGAAAAGAAAAAAACGCCCCGAGGCATGTTTGCTGACCTCGGCAGTCCTATCCAGATACCTCTGGAGGATGGCGGACATCACGCCCTCCGAGTGGCAGATGCGCGGCGTCGCCATCGCGGCGTATACCCTCGCCGTCATCTGCGTCATCGCGCATAACCGATACTCCCTCTGGCTCGTCAACTTCATCGGTGTCCTGAAGATCCTCACCCTAGTCTTGTAAGCCGGACCCACGAATGCGATTACGATCCCCCCCCATTCTCCCAACCGGGCCAAAAAGAGAAAAGAAGAAGGCTAACAACCCCGAAGCATCAGCATCGCGGGCTTCGTCGTCCTCGGCGGCAACATCAAGCACATCCCCGACCCCCAGGCCAACTTCCGCAACGCCTTCGACGGCACGACCAGCAACGGCAACGACCTGTCGAGCGCCCTCGTCAGCATCGTCTTCTCATACGCCGGCTACTACAACGCCTTCAACATGACCAACGAGATCCGGAACCCGATCCCGACCCTGCGCCGGAACGGCGTCATCTCGCTGCTCACCGTCGCCGTCCTCTACATGCTCTGCAACATCGCCTACTTCGCCGCCGTGCCCAAGGCCGAGTTCGAGGGCGCCAGCGAGATCGCTGCCGCCGTCTTCTTCTCCAAGCTCTTCGGGAGCAGCCGCGCCGCTGCCAACGTCCTCAACTTCCTCGTCCTGCTGAGCGCCTTTGGCAACCTTCTCGCCGTGCTGATTGGGTCGTCCCGCATGATCCGCGAGATCGGCCGGTATGTTATTACCCCCACCCCCCTTCAGCCGTCCGATTCAAGGCTTGCCGTGTCGAATACTGACCCTGACGCCCTTCGTCGCAGACAAGGTGTGCTCCCGTTCACCAACTTCTGGGTATCGACCAAGCCCTTCGGGACCCCCCTGGGCCCGTACTTGCTCAAGTGGATCATGACCTTCATCATGATTGTCGCGCCACCCGCCGGCGACGCCTTCTCTTTCGGTACGTTCCCGTTCTCCTGTTCCATGACTGCGTTACGACAAGGCTACTGACACGCCACCACCAGTCGTCGACCTGGCCAGCTACCCGAGCGCCATGTTCAACTTCGCCATGACGCTCGGCGTCTTCATCCTGCGCCGCCGCCGCCAGCGCTCCGGCATCGGCCGCTCCGAGTTCCGCGCCTGGGACGTCGTCGTCGTCTTCTTCCTCGCCGTCCAGGTCTTCATCCTCGCCATGCCGTGGTGGCCGCCCAAGGGCGGCCCGTACGCCGGCAGCGTAAGCTTCTGGTACGCGACCTACTGCGTCGTCGGCATCGGGATGTGAGTTCTTCCCCTCTCTTCTTCTTCACTCCCCCCCCATCCTTTTCTGCGCGGCGCGAAATAAACATGCTAACGTGCCGCTCCTCTCGCCTTTATATAGCATCCTGCTCTGCATCCTCTACTACGTCGCCTGGATGTACGTGCTCCCGCGCTGGCTGGACTACGAGATCCGCACCGAGATCGCCAACGTCGACGCCAACGGCGCCAACACGCACCGCATCGTCAGGGTCCCCAAGGCCGAGGTCGCCCGGTGGGACGAGGAGCACGACGAGGCCGGCAACCTGCGCCGGAGGCACGCCACCACCACCACCACCACCACCGTCACCGAGCTCGAGTCCAGTAACTCAAACGAAAAGGAGCTCTGAGCGAGCGGTTTGGTCGGACGGGGAGTGCGAGGGGTTTGTTGGACAAGACACAAGACGGTGGTAGAAAGGGGGTAAACTACCAGAGGGGGAGGGTTGAACAAAAGTGATGATGGGTGCAGCTGTTAGTCCAGTGTCCTGGCCTACTGTTTCACCCATCGTCTCCTCAACCCAAGAAAATAGATGGGAGCCGTTCAGCCTGTTATATAGACCCGGGACATTAATGCTCACATTTGGGGATGACTCACCTCAGGTCCACCATGGCATCACTCGGCACGGTGACACCTCCGCCTACAGACTGACTCTTCTCTAAAGTCGTAGGTGGAACCAACGTCATATACGAACAACGAAGCAAATGAGAAGGGGGGGCGGAGACGGAGACGGAGTGAGTGTGAAAGTATACCCATCAGCCACAACGTCTCGAAGTCATTAGGCACATTCTCCGCAAAGGTTGGCCATTGCAACGAGAATAGGGAGAGAGTGAGTATTGATGTACACTAGCCAGCCGTCGAATGGATTTTCCTGCAGACCACTGAGCAGCGTTGAAGGTTCGATTTAAAAACAGCAAGAAAAATAAAGAGGAACATCCATCCCACGTCCCTATAGTCTCAACGCCGGTTCCCAACCAACCCTAGGGTTGGCATTCCCAATGACGCGCCGTTTTGATGCCGTGTACCCCGTGTCCTATTAGAAAGAAAAAAGAGATGAGAAGAGACGGTAGCAACAATCAAAAGTCAAACGGGATGAAGATGTCGTTAAACAGCCGGTTATCCATCATATCGAACCCGAACTGCACGAGATCCGCCTCTCCGACCCCGGCCTCCGTCATCCCTCCGGCTCCCAGCCCAGCCGGCCCGCCGTCGACGCCCGCGCCCGCTGTCGCCGTTGACGTCAAGGAATCCGTCTTGGGAAAGGGCGCCAACGCCGCCTCCCAGGTGTTCTTGAGCCCCCGGATGGTCTTGATGGCCCTGTCGAACGAGGTGCCCTCGCCCGTGTCGTCGCAGAGCCCGGCGCCGTCGCGGACAAGCAAGAAGCGGTTGCCGATCTCGTCGAGCGTCGCGATGAGGTCGATCGTCGTCCGCACGCTCGCACGGTCCCAGACGGGGTCCTCGAGGACCGAGAGGTGGTAGAGCGCGACGACGCAGTGGGACAGCTGCTCGAAAGTAATGAAGCCCATGTAGAAGTACGAGGTCGGGTGCAGCGTGAAAAAGTGGTCGAACCAGGCCTTGATGGCGTGCAGGCACGCGTACAGTATGTCGAGGCGGGCGACGTCCGGGAGGTTCGTAGGCGACAAAGCACCCTTATGGGAGGCGATGGCGACCTCCTGGATGGAGAGCTCCGTGCAGTGGAGCTGGGAGATGATGGCGTCTATACCCATAGAGGTGAGGTTTCAGTCTTGCAGCTCTTCATTCGGATAGGATAAGGGGGATGAGGGTAGAGAGACAAACCCGTGCTTCGCAAGTCTGCAGGTAGGTCCTGGATGATGCGCTGCAGCTGCGCCTGCAGCATCTTGACGTACATGGACGCCGCCGGCTTCGAGCTGTTAGCACCCTCCCGCGATAATTTGTCGAACCGGGATGACAGCTTGCTGGATTCACCCTTGAGCAGCTGCATCTTGACTATCGCGACGAGGCTGCGGTCCAAGGGGCTCTCGGGCTTGTCGTCTAGCATCTCGAGGCACTCGTCCATGTACGGCGTCCAGCGCAGGGGAACCATTTTGCCCAGAAAACCAGCGACGCTGCGAGAAAAGGTCAGCCGTGGAGTTCTGCGAAACATATGGCTTTTCGCGATTGAGGGGAAAAGAGAGGAGTGCTTACGACGCCGTTACAAGATAGCAGGCAACAACCGCTCTCCGCTGCTCCATTGTACGCGGTGTTTGCGACTTGACGAAGAAGGTCTGGGCGACGGAGGTCTCGTCCCTGTCGGCCCTCTCCTGGGCGGCCTTGAAGCATATGAATGGATTTAGGGCGTCCAACGGGTCGCGGGCCAGTTCTAGGTCGAACACGAGGCCGATAGCGACCTGGCTGAACATGCACTTGAAAGGCTTGGTCCCGAGCTGGTGGTTCGCCCTGGGCGCGGAGTCAGCATACATTGAAACCCTAAAGTGGTGGATAAACACGAAAGAAAAGAACAAAAGAGGGGATAGACCAAAACGAAACACGACAAACTCACCATCCCAAGATAACCAAGATCCCGAGGAGGTAGTCCATGCTCCTCTCGTTCTCAAAGATGACCTTCTGGCTCACGACCTGCCGCACCCGCTGCCCTAGCGCCAACTGCTGGCTCGTTACCCGAGAGGCCACCGTCATGACGCAGAGCCATAGGAACGGCCGCTCCGCCCGCAACGCCCGCTGCGTCGTCGCTTCCCCGAAGCACATGAAGGGGAAGGCCTTCATGTTCCGGTCGCGGAACCCCTCGAACATGGTCTCCGCCTCGGCCGGCGACGGCAGGTCGAGTCCATCCCCGAACTCGTACCCGGTCCCAGTCCCCTCGGGGCTGTTGTCCGTATGCGTCGTCGGTGTCAGGAATGGGGTCTGACGCGTCCGCGCATCGTCCGCCGAGGCCACCGACCCGAACCCACTGCGCGCGTCTCCCAACTCGGAGGACGGCGTCCTGGCAGCGGTCGCAGACGGAGGAATGGCGGCGGTGGGTCTGGCGGTAACAGGCCCGGGACCGAATCCGTTGGAGAGGTCTGACCGGCCCGATTGTCGCAGCATCGTCACGAGCCCGTCGAGCTTCTCCTCCAGCTGCGCGGTCCTGCTGGACCGCGGCTTCCTGGAGCGCCTGCGGACGGGGTTGCTCGGCTGGCATAGCTTGCTGAGGCGGTGGCAACGCTCGCAGGGGCCGCCGACGGGGCGGAGGATGCATTTACACTTGGCCCGGGAGCAGTTGGTACATGCCCTCCCGTACGGCGCCGCGATGCCCCCGCTGTCACTAACGACTGAAGGGGCTGGGCCCGAGTCGTGGCTTCCAACTCCGGTTGACATCCGGGGTTCGGAGCGAGCCTCTGAGAGAAGAGGGCAAAAGTTAAACAAACGTCCGATCCCCTTCCCCAACCCTGTTCGAAGGAAGGCGGGCCGAAAGATGGACTCAAAGACTCCTCTCCTGGTTCGCGGCAAACTTTCCTAACTCTTGCGGGATGTACGGGATCGCTGCCTGGCTTTCCGGGTGCGACCGCTCGAGTAACTTTGTTCGCGGCACGCCGAGCTTCGATTGTCGATTATGAAGCCGCTTAGTCAGTTCTATGTGCAACAGCAGAATCAAATGAGGGCTCGACAGAGAGTGTTGTTGGTCGAGACAAACGAGACGAACGAGACAAACGAAACCCGGCGGATTTGAGTATGTGTGGTGGAGGTATTGGCGCATATGGTCGAACTCCGTCGTCCGTCCATTGCTAACACATACGCTACTATGGCTGGATGCTGTGCACGGACCCATGAGCGCACGTGAGCGGACTTGACTTGAGTCCGAACACCGATCGTGGCGTTCATGCGCAGCGGCACTGGTTGGCTAGGACGCCCCATCGCATGTCAGCATGATATGTGATGCCCGAGGAGAGCGCACACTAGCTAGCCGTCACCGTCAAGGAGGAGAAATCACGCAGTAAATCAAGTGAAGCGTTTTGTTGCCACGGGTATTCGATTAAAACTTATCAAGCAACACATCCACAACGCCCGCCGCCGCCGCTGCTGCTGCTATGACTGTATGCAGCAAACCGTGTCAAGGGAAGCAATTCCAGGGTTCTCGGATGTTGCCCTGATCATAAAAAGACATAAAAAAAGAGAAAGAAAAAAAAATTAGAGGAAAGAGAAAAAAAAGATGCAACCGCCGACTTCTCCGTAGAGCCCGGCCAGAGTCATTAGTCGACTGGGCCATCAACGCCTTGATGATAAAAACTCATTAACACTCACTACACGCGCGCACACCACTTGCTCCCAACAGGGAGCCGCGAGAAGAGCCCCCCTTCAGTCCAATGCCCGCTGATCCGCGTATACCACAAAGACACCACACTCCTCCCCATGAAACAAAGCAAGAATGACCCCCACTCACGGGATGACATCAAACGATCGCAAACTCAGTCGCGGGGTATTTTTTCGGTAGTCGTACTGTACAATATACCGGTCCGATGTGGCATCAGGACGTCGGAACATTGGTTGGATGAAATGCCCTGTTCATCAAAAGGCCGATCAAGAGGTGAGTCAAACGCCACCACCCATAAATGCAGCAAGGTCATCCAGCTCGAGCAGCTGTCGCTCGAATGCAGAGCACAACTCGCTGGCCGTCATGTCCTGGGGCACGGCAGCCGCCGGCTCAGATGAAGAAACGCCGTTGCCAATGGGGGGCTGGGGCAGCATTTCGGTAGACTGCTTGACCTCGGCCTGTGGCTGAGGGGGAGGGCTCGTCGAGGCCGGTGTGCCGACGCCACCGGAGCCACCGTTGATAGTGGTGACACCGGGACGACGAGGCAGAGGGGCAGGCGGCTCACTGTCACGTCCGCTCTCGCTCACAGACGCCGTGTGGTTGTGGACAGGGCCCTGAGGGGCGGTGGCGTTGGAAGCCTGGTCGTAGTCCATGGCATCCGGGTTGGTGTCGGGGTTAGAGGCGGCCTCGTCCTTAACCGACGCCTGGTCAGCTGGCGCCGTGGTGGGAGGCACAGACGTGCCTCCAACGCTGGGGCTGGAAGCGCCAGCATCGTTGCCCAGCACTCTATGCATCACAGCGAGATGACGGAGCCACGAGCTGATGAGCGGCCAGGTGTCGACTCCATCCTGCATGAAGTGAAGGCCATCGCGCACGATATGACCGGCAGTCTCAACAGCGTTGGGAGGGGTGAGACCCTTGAGAGAAAGATAGGCGACGGTCGCGCTGGCCGTGAAGGAAGAGAAGAGCATGAAGATGGGGAAGCAGATGATGCCCTCCTTGTCGAAACCGGCCTCGAGCGCCGTCAACATTGCAATAGTGCTGTGGCACGAGGTAAAGAGGCGGTCAATGATCTCATGGCACTGGGGGGTGAGGCGCCAGCTCTCGAGGTTGAAACCAGGGGCCGTGACATACTGCAAGAGACGACGGCGGTTGATGAAGATGGAGGCGCAGTGAAGCATGCAGTGGAGCATGGCGTAGGTAAAGCCAGACCCCATGGTGATGTGAAGGTTGATCTGGCCGGGCTTGTCGACATACTGCATCGACAGAGAGGCACGGAGGCGCTCAATCTCTCCCATCAGTCCGGAGCAGACGTTGTCGTTGAAGGTCTCAGTGGTTGTCGTCATCAGCATCTGCACCACGTCGCGCCAGATGCGTGTAGCCATGACGATCTGGCCAAACTCACCAACCTCGTCTGTGCGGGTGCCGGCAGGCATACGAGACGGGTCAGTCAGATTGATGGTCTGGACAAAAACAGCATTGCCAAATGCAAAGTTCATGTCGGAGCAGGGCAGCGAGACATCAGAGGTGTCGTTGACAGACAAAGCCGGCTGCCGGCCCGGTGTGCTGGTGAGCAGGCAGTCAAGGATGTACAGCAGCCAGAGAACGCGGCGGAAGGACTCGTCCTGCAGGAAGCGGTCGGCATCACTGACAGCAGCATGATGGCTGTGGAGGATACGATACATCTGGACCATGCGGCTAGCCTGGCCCAGGTAGATGTAGGCGCGAACAGCATTGCGGGAGCCCCACTCGTGAATGATGATCAAGCAGATGGCCTGGATCTCAGCAAGGCTGGGAGTGTCGAGGTTCTGATTGATGATGCCCATAGCCTTGGCAGCGAAGTGCTCGGCAGCGCCGGTAGCGCCGGACTGGCCACCATAGCGCCTGATGAGTGTGGGGGAGCTCCTATAGGGATACAAGGTTAGCGTTGGTGGTTATTGACTAATCTACGAGGGGCGGCAGCATAGCAGTGAGTCGGCCGAAAGTCAACCCATAGAAGAACCAGTGGAGCATCTTTTCGGCCTAAGTCCGGACATTTAGGGCGAGGTGAACCGATACGACACATCCGACCGGAAGGCCGTGCCACCCGCAAGATTCGGACATTGCGGGGGAAAGGTGGTGAAACACGAGGCCAATAAGAGAATTGGGATCGTAAATCAGGTTGCCCGACGAGGGTGGCAGACTCCGGGGGAAGAGAATGAAAATGATTAGTACGTACCTGGCAGCGCAGGTGAGCAGCGCATAAATGAGGGCCGGGTCAAGAGAGGCGTTCTTGAGCTGCTGAATGAACGACGGCTTGTGGAAGGCGACACAAGCAGGGAACGTCTTGGAAATGACGCGTTCGCATTCCTGGATCAGCTCCGGAGTAAGTCTGAAGGGGGCGTCAAGTCAGCTTTCTGTGCATGCACCTGGGTAGACCAAGGAGCCGGCGACTGGCCCGGAAGCAAAGAGTGGAGTCTGGAGTGGAGGAGACGGGATGCGACTCGGGAAATGAGAATGGGGATGGCACACGAGAATGACTGAATGGGAGGGGGGAATAATGGATGGGATGGGTAGCGCCGCCAGCACACGGCTCCGAGGTCCAGGCTAGCGGCGGTGGGAGATGCGGTCGGTTTGAGAGATGGGGTGCCTGCTTCGGATCGAGGCAATGGCCGACGGATCTTGGGGAGAGGGGAACAAGGGGGGTGCAGAAGGGGGAGTGAGCAGATGAATCAGAAGGGGAACAAGCAATGACTGCAACAAGCAATGACCGCGCATGTGTGATGAGAAGAGGGACAAGCCACCGCGCCCAGGCCGCATGCAGAAAGGGCCGAGCTCTCCCTCCCTGTTCGGCGGAGGTGGGCGGCGGCGACACAGCCGAGAGACGAGAATAGCACACCGGCCACACACGGCGCGCGCGCGCGCGCGTGAGAGAGCTGGCCGCCCGCTAGGCGCGAAAAGTGTGCGGTGCGCGTTAGTGGGCTCCACAGCCGCCGAAGGGGCACAAAGTGGGAAGGATGATGACGATGATGGTGATGGAGGGAGTTATCGTGGAGATGGGGTAAAGGAAAGACATATCAACTTACTTCTCTGGAGTCTGAATGTGACGAGAGGTGGTGGAAGCCGGGTTGGCGGCGCGAACATCGCCGGCCGGGACAGAGGCAGGCAGGCTCTCGCGCGCAGGGCGATGGGCGGCAGTGTGGCGGGCGGGGGACTGGCCGTGGTGATGAGCCATGGATTCGGAGGGCAGATAGCATTCGTGCATTCCCTTTGCACAGTTCTTGCAGGGAGCGCGACCGTTCTCGTAGACGCACTTGGTCTTGCCCTTGCGGCAGCGCACGCAGGCGCCGCCGGCTCGAAGGGCGGTAGACCGCACAACGCTGGCAGACATGTTGGGCGAAGCGGACGAAGGACGCGGCGATTTTGTCGCAGAGACGCGAGGTTCAGACATGCGCCGACAAGCAGATGATGCAATGGTTTTGGGGAGGGATTTTTGGGTCTCCTTTTCTTCCTGTGTGCGCGAGACCCGGAGGAGGGCGGTGACGGCGCGCGTCGGCGTTGGTGACGGCAGACGGACGCGACGCTATCAGGTATGTTTTGGGGTGGTGAAGTGTGAGTTTGAAGTTGGCGACAAGGAGGAGGATTGGGAGGGGAGAAGGCCACGGAGGTGTTCGGAGTCAAGGAGCCGAGGAATTGACGAGGCGAAGTTGGAAAAGGGGAAGAAGAGAAGGAAAGGTTTCGGGGGTGGAAGGGGAGCGGGAGGAGGAGTGTTTTGTTGAGGGGGTTCCGGAAGAGAAGAGAGTTTTGGGGCCGGGTGACGCAGAGGAAAGAAGACCCGTCGCGCCGAGATTATGGAGAAGGGTGGCTCCAGAAAAAGGCGAGACCCCCAGGCAGGAGCAGGAGGTGAAGCGGACGGGCGGGCGCGGCGACGGCGGCGCAAGGTCAGGACGCCTAGAAGGGGCAATAACGTTGGAGGGAAGGAAGGGGTGGGGGCGGACGGGCGGGGGGGGAGGACGGAGAGGGCAAGAGAGGGCAGGAGAGGGCAGGAGAGAGAGAAGAGTGAGTGCGTGTGTGTGAGAGAGAGAGGGAAGGATGCGAAAGGCCGCCTTGCCCTTTCCCCCACAATAACGACGGCGAGGGGGAAAGCACAAAGCGAGTCGGAGCAAGACTAGTAGACTCCGGGACGGCGCCGGAGCAGAAAGATATAAACGGATCGTTTGAGAAAGGGAAAGTGGCTTCGCCCTTTGCTCTGTGCTGCGTGCCTGTGTCCTGGTGGAAGAAGGGCAGAGAATCGGAGCACACGGTCGGCCGCGATTTCTCGGTGGTGGGCGACGAAATCCGGGCGGTGGTCCTTAGGCTTTCGGTGGTTTGGAAAGAAGGGGGGGTGAGTGACGTGAGACGAAAGAACCTGGAAGGCAGAAGAAAGAAAGAAAACGGCACGGGTTACGGAGTAGAATACGGTACAGAATACGGAGGACAGGACCAGTAATTAATCAAGGTCAGGGAAGGAACGAGGACGGGGCAGGAGAGACGACGCGCAAGACAGAAGAGCAGTTGTCAGTCGGTGTGTGCTGTAGCCAGGCAGGCAGGCGGGCAGGCAATGACTCTGGCTTGGCAGACCAACGGCGACACGGCACCAACACGGAACACGGGGAAGTCGCACACGGTCGGCGGCCCCTGCACTAGATCCTCTCACTTTCCCCCTCCACCCCTTTTCCTGTCCTGCATACAGATACTCCGTACTGTATTTGCATTTCTTCGATTTTGTTTCTAGAAAAAGAGCGACATTGCTCCCTCTTCGCACCCACCAATGTCGATTACTCTAGGCGACTCACTGGATGGAATGGGTAGGGTGTACGTCTGCCTTGGGGGAGGTAATTGGGTTGTGTGTGTGAGTGCGTGTGTGTGTGTGTGGATGCAATGCCGAGGCGGCTGCTCTTTTTGTCTTGCTTCCCCTCCGAGGCGGACGGGTGTCGCCAGACGTCCATATCCACTCAGGGCTGGGCGCGGGTCGCGGACACGGGAGCAAGCAATCGGCGGCTCTTTTTGGGTAGGAAAAGGAGAGAAGGGAAGGGGGAGGGGGAGAGGAGGGGGGAGGGGGTGAGTGGAAAAGGCCGGGGGGGAGGTGCCCTAGGACAATGGAAGAATTTCCCACGATTCCACGCGTGGAAGGAACCTTGCCTAGGGAGGTACCTACCTGGGTACTACCTGCATGGTGGTACGGTAAACGCCAATCCGGAGGCAAACGGGCAAACATAAAGAAGCAAATGAGAAGGAACAAATGAAAAAGAGCGCACGAAAAGAAAGAACCCCCAAAAAGGTGGCAAAAAAAGGGATGGGGGATACGGCAAGAAGGACAAGGACGGCCGGGTGACGAGTGGCTGGGCTGAGGCAGGTAGACACGGACGGGCCTGAGGTTCTGCTGAGGTTTTACGGGAGGATCGGCTGGTGGTGCCGGAGCTGAGTGAGGAGGGAACGGAGGGGAGTCAGGAGCGAAGGGGCCCACTCTGGCCCTGTTCTGTCCTCCGCAGGTCCCCCTCACGGTGGCTTATGTATTCGATACTTGAAATTGCCATCTCTCCACACCTTGCATGCGAGTACTCGCCCCTCATCTGCAACCTTCCACACATTTGGTACCTGCCTCGGCGCGACCGCGCTTGCCTTGCCTGACACGATGGGACTCAGCCGTCACCTTAGGCGCCTGCCTCCCAGATGTGCAGATGCAAACGCTGCTGCTTTTTCTATCGGTAACCAACGACATATTCCTAAGTATCTATGTACGGTGAGGCACCAGCGTCGCTTTCATGTCTTGTCTATACCAATCTTTTCTTTTCTTTTCTTTTTTTTTCCTTCCTCTCCTTATTGACCAACGCAACTCATTTTCAGCAAACGCCTGCCTGACCAATCCTCTCCCTCCATCGTGTTTCTGCCCAATTCCCGAGTCCCGACTCGACACCGAAGGAAAGGAGGAGGGGGAAAACAACAGAGAGGAACCCCACCACCCGCAAAGGCCGGCTGTGGCCCGAAAGCCAAAAGAAAAAAATCATACAGTACCGTCACAGTGCCTGTCGGTAACCCTCGCCGATACGTCTTGTGTCTCGCATCCGTCCGTCCTTTTGCCCACCATCGCCGGCGGATGCGCAACTCATCCCGCTCGCCAGGCGAAATCGCCGTCGTATGGGGAACCCGTCGCTCCGTTTCCTCACCTTGCGCCGTGTGCCCCCTTATTCACGAGCTTGGCTTCACGCCGCCCTTCTCGCATACCCCTAGACAAAGTCCCTTGATCGACATTCATTCCGACGCATTTCCTGCCTTCTCGACATGTTCATGCGCGGATCCAACGGGCATCTTCAAGCCAACCTGCTCTCCAATACCGTTCGGGTCCGATCGGCTCTTTCTGCCACTCTCCTGCGACGTTGCCGGGCCCGTCGTTCAATACCCTATACTACACTACTAGGTACAGCGCTTTACGTCGCGGCATCAGAGAGTCACAAACCCTGCCGTGCACGCGGCACGCTGGCTTTGGTCCACCTACGACCTTGAGGGGGCCGGCATCGACCGGTCGTTCTGCCCGTCCCCCCTTACCAAACAGTCCTGAAAAGACACTGACTTGGGCGACTCGACGACATTGGCACACACTCGGGTACTGGGTAGGGACTGGCCAGCAGCAGCCACGTCCGAGCCAAAGCCAGAGCCAGGCGGCGGCCATGACATTGGGGGCGTGGATGGCAAACGCCTCCGGGCGAGCCTAGAAGTGCCGCACCCTGGTCGTCATCGCAGCGCAACCCAACCTTTTTGGTCCCTTCGGAAAGTGCCTTCTGTCTTCCTCTCATCTGCGGATACGGATACTCTCTCTGTATCCGTATCTCTTCCCCTCTCCTCTCTCCTCCTCTCTCCTCTGCCACTCTCCTTCCCCGAGTTCCACTGAGCACCCAAGCGACGGTAACAAGGTTATCCCCCCTTTCCGCTTGCCAGGTCCAGCAGTCAAGGTCACGTCAGAAAGAGCACTCTCCCCTTGCCCCCCACTCCACGGCGCACTGTACCACACTGTACACCTCGCCCGCTTCCCTGGTGGCCTCATTGTACTTACGGCATAGCCTTTATGGACCGAGATCAAAGTAGGCCCGGACACCGAGGCAACACATTGTGCCCTCCGCTTTTGGTCGTCCCTTTCCCACCTGCTTCACCGGCGTTTGCCGGAGGCGCTGTTGCTCAACACAAAGTGCATCCATCACGACTGCTTTCGGCTTGAACATGGCCAGTGGCGGTAAGCTTGGCTCCTCCGTTCAAATCTCGGCCACCATGCTTTCTCTCCGTCAGCCACCGCAAGCCGCTATATCCCGAACCCTCTACGTGTCCCAGCGTGTCATCAAAATCAAATACGGCAGAAGCTGCCGCCTCGGCCGGGCAGACCATGCATCCTGCTGGTCCGTCTTCGCTCCGGTGACACCCCACCACCCTTGCCCAGTGCTCGAAATGGAGCGACAATCCCGAGAACGATCAGCGCCATTTCGTTCCGGCAACGCGCCAAATTTGCGTTTAATCAAACTCGACTTACCCTCGCGGCCTGGACCTTTCCTTTCACCCGCCCGTGCTGAAGCGGACTTGCGCTCCAGGTGCCCCACACCGGCAGTCCATTACGATTCACGAGCATGCGAATGACGAGAATATCGACTGGCCCAACGCTCTGTCACCACAGCATCCTCACATTGGGTTTCACGCCAGATTCCGCCCAAAGAGCGTGCGCGCGGCTGCTCTTCTGGCCACGTCGATGCAGGCGTATACGTTACCGGCATTGAGCTCTGAGGCCACCGGAGCGGGCGCGCATTGAAAAGTGGGAACATCGCAGTCTCTGCCCTGGGCCGCTCGGCTCGCAGCATTCGGAGCAAAGCCCCTCCGGGTTCTCGCCCTGTCGAATAGAATAAGGGGGCCAAGCCGGGTCTGCCGCCCATCCTCCCCCTTCACTCTCTCTCTCTCACTCTCTCTTTCAAAAGAAAAAAAGGTCTCCCCAAGAAAAACAAGAGACGGGGCAACTGCTTCAGCACGGTGGGCGGCACAATGCTGAAATTGCACGATGCGACGCTCGTCGTTCTCGTCGTCCGGCGCCAGAAACCGTTGATTGTCAAGTACACTTGTGTCCGCAGAGCTGCGATGATTGCCGCGATTGTTGCAATCAGGCTGCATCATACCACGTTGCCAAGTGTCTACGGCCTCGTCAGAATTTTCGCTTCATTCTGCTCCTTGGGCCGGAGAGGCTCGTTACGTCGCACCTATGATGCGGAACGTCCGAACGCTGTCCCGGCGACCGAGGAAAGCCTATTTCAGGGCTGCTCGGTAGCAGAACCCTCCCACCCCTAGACGGGGCTGGCTGCTGGCGGCGGTGTCTCATTCAGCGCGGTTTGTTCCGGTTTCTTCCTCGGCTGAAAAAGAATGGCGGGATTCTTTACCGGGTCCTCGTTCATTCTCTGGAGCGAGCGAGCACCTGTAGCCCCCGTTTCTTGGCGATACTCTTCATTCGTGCGATTTCGGACATGGCCTTTTGAAGCCCGCTGCCGGGCGCGCGAGCTGGCAAAATGTTTCCTCACTCCTGGCATAACGCTGCTGCAACCTGACCCCCATCCCGACACGACCGTGTCAGTGCAGCTGGGCTCAGCTCATCGGTCCGCAGCCCGAACAAAACGAATGAGACTCTCCTCTTCCGTTTTAGGTCTCTCCCATCATGCTACCGAGCAGCAGCAGCATCTGAAACCCAACATCCGACACAATGGGCGCAGTTGTGCAAGCCAAGGCCGTTCGCACAGCATCAAACGAACGACCAAGCACTGCTTGCACCGTCCGCCGGGCCCATCAGCGGCCAGAGCATCCCACTGTCGCTTCGTACATGGTACTCCTATGTTACCGACACAGCGGTGCGCCATTTTCGCCAGTTGCAGCGTCGTCGCCGGTGCGCTTCCTGTCAGCTGATGGCCGCTGACGACGCCACGCTGTTTTCTCCGTGTCTTCCGGAGGTGGCGCCCACTTTAATTGCCCCCCTGTTGCTTCCAGCCGGAACCTCTGCCCAGCGCTACCACGCCCGGAGTTGATGTCATTTTCCAATACACCTCCGTGTTGGTGTCGCTCTCATACCCCGTACTTGTCTTGGAGAGTTGCATTCTAGCCCGGCGCCTCTGACCTTCCCCCTCGTCTCCCTCCTCTCACCCCCACCAACGTAGAACGGGACGTTCCCGACAACATTTGTGACCAACCTCGTAGAATAGCGAAGAGAGAAAAGAAAAGGACAGGTTGGAGAGGATGGATCAACCGACAGGATCGTTGGTGGGAACGGGTGAATCAAACCAGCCGAAACAATGGAATTTCTCACACAGCCGGCGATCAGTACGACCACGGCCGGGGTAAGGTAGTGAGTGTAGGTATCCGTAGTGTTTTTTGCTTTGGGCCTTGCGGCCTCAGGCGTTGAATTGTCAAGAAGTGGGTCCCAGTCCGGAACCACATCTGCCGGGTCCCGGACGACCGGCGGGTGGCATGGTCCACTCGGTCAAGGGCGCTAGAGAAGGCACACCGATAACCCCACACCCGACAATCAGATTCGCTCAAGTCCGCGGCGTATGACCTGCCTGCCGCGATCCAGCATCTGTATCCCGCCACCACGGTTCTGGTCTGACGTACTATGTATCTCACGAGCTTGCTGTGCTGTTCTGTGCTGTGATGTGCTGTGCTGCGCTGTCCGCCTTCCCCGTCGAGCCCCCATCCAAGCTTGTATTTTCCTGAACCCCCTGCAAGCCGCGTGCTGTTGCCGAAGCCGTAACCTACTTTTCACTTGGCTGTTCTTTCACGTAGGAAGTCTGTGCCCCCCGCAACTTGGATTAACCACCCGGAAACCCAGAATCCCGTTGGCCGTTACGCCTGCCGATCTGAGGCCTGCCGCGTCCAAACTGCAACGAACTGACGATCCGTGTGGCCGGACCTGGGGAAGCTGGTCTCTCCCAGCAGCCTCAATTTTATGACAAACCTGAACACGATGCCGCCAAAACCACAGTGTGGATTGGTCCGTCCACGGGCGGGGGGCGGGGGTTGAACCGCGGAATACTCGGCCCCACCGCGCATACTTCTCCATGTAGGTCAGGCCAGCGGAGTGTTCTGAACCCTCGCGTGGCCGACGATGCCGGACAACCCTTTTTTCTCTTTTTTTTTCTGGAGGCTATCCAGTACAGTAGAGCTTAGTAACCAGACTCTAGAAAGTTACTTCGAATGCCTACATGAACGGTCTTGTCTGTGTGCGGCTGTCTGTGAACCGACAGTGTATGATTGGGTCGTATTCGAAGAACGAGATATCTGCCCTATATCCTTTGTCGCGTTGGTCATCTAGACAACCCCGAAGAGGCGCGTAAACGCGGACTGAAATATGGCACTCTGCGTAGCCCGCCCCCGCTTTGCGGGTTGCCTTTCCCGCCGTCCTCCCCACACTCATTGTGTCCGTTCCCTTGTGCCAGCCACATTTTCGGATTGCAGAGCATCACGTTGTGGAAGTCGGCACAAGGAGCAGGCCGGGTTAGCAGAACCGAAGAACGCTTCCCAGTTTAGGTTGAAGCGACTCTTTGAATCCCCCACATGCCCATTATTAAGATGCCTCTGCGCTTCGCTTTATTGAGGGAGACTTTGCGTAAAGTCGGGGACAGTCCGGGTCGGAGTAGCAAGTGAAATATTACTCGGGTTGCGCCAACCTTTTAGGATAACGACCAGTTTTCTTTTTATCTTGCACGGCCTTCCGTTTCGTTGTCTCGACATTATACAGCTACTGGCTACGTAAATCCGGCATTGAAAGTGGTTTCCTGGCAGTCAAACCCAGCAGGCTTTCTGTGCGGGGTTGCAAGGTATATCAAGTGATATATGATATATTCAGAGCGCTGCTTTCTGTCTGCAAGTAACCGCGTCCAATCCTTTTGCAGCAGACACGAGCCCAATAGAACCGCAGCTGTTGTGCTCTTAACAACATGAAAGCAGCTAATAAAGCGCCAAGCCTCATAAATCCTGTGGGTTTGGATCCCATTCATACCCGTGGCCTTGGTTATAATCAGACCACTTGACGGTTGGCAGAATACTGCCACTGGATAAGTCGGACCACAGCCACCTGGAATTTGGCTACTAGCGCCAGGGCACTCGAATGGACGGGAGACGACGTTCATGCTGTCGTAGGCTTTGGCGATTGTCCGAGTAGGCCCTGGTAGGACTGGCATTGGCTGTAGCCTATTGAATGGGCTGTTTGCTGAGCTCCATGTGAGAAACGACGAAAGTAGAATCATTCGAAGGGACGACTGGATGCAGTGGAAGCAAACTTGATCGTTATGATGTCAATGGATCGTTGCGTTAGTCACCCTATCTATTTGGGCTAGGGTGATCTGGAGTCTGGGGTGATCTAGAGCTGGGCGTAGGCATGGCGTAGCCAAGCATGAAACTGGAAGGTTAGGGAGGGTTGTTTGGACGTCTTTTGAATCAGGCCACGGGATATCATTGCAAGCTTCAAGTCGATGCTGCTATCACCAAAAATGATGATGCAATTCGGTGAGGGGCGAGTGATGTGCCAAAGAAAATAAGGCTAGCGGAGCGGCCTTGTGCGAGTTCCAAGATCGCAGTCCCCCAGACTAGGCTAACGTTGGGGAAGTGAGGCGGAAGCTTAATCATTAAATAGTCTCGGTGGGCATTGTACCCATTATCGACCGGCGACGGGAACGACGATGTCTCGTCCCGCGAGTCCCTATCCCAACCACGAGAAACCGGGTCGAATGACGTGGGCTGCATAATGAACCGGTCGTCAGCATCCGCATCCTCGATGAAGATGTGCCGATTATCCTGGCCAAGTTGCCCGTCAACCGACTTCTCTACCGTCCGCTCGTATATCCTCCAATAGAATGCAAGGGTTAGTGCTGGTCCGGGGTCTTCAGATTCATTGATACTGGCCAATCTTCCGATCACAGGGCTACAATGTGTCTTGGCCGATGCGTTTATCAAGTCACGCAGCTTGGCCTTTACCCCCCTTATTCTTAGCAGAAACATACATGTTTTGGGCCCGTCATCGCTACCGTGCGGCTTCGGCTCCAGGCGCCGCCTCGTTCAAGCGGCAAAGACCTCGAATGTGAACCGCAATACCTGCGGCTTCTGAGCTCGGGATACTGCGAAAAATGTCAGTACTGCTTCGGGCTCAACGTCTGCGAAGAGAGTGCAGCATACCATCCTCGTCGCCTGAGCCTTTATCCGGCTTGTAACCTGCGTTTGATAGTTGTACGGCCAGGTCTATGCTGTTGCGGTCTGCCTTCAAACCACCTGCAGGACAAGCTACGGAGGGGACTTATCTGTTAACAGTGCGGGATCGAGGGATCGAGAATACGGTGGTCACCCCGGATTACTTACACGCAACCCCAAGGTGGGGGCCTAAACGAAGAACAGGTTTGTTGACAAAGATTCCCCCAATGATAAGCATAAAAAAGTAGGAGCAAAATAAACAACGGAGAATAAAGTGCAGTCACGCGTTGGGTAGCATATAACCTGGCAGTAAGATGCCGTAATTAGACCAGAACTTCAAAGCATGCGGTTGCGGCTGCGGCTCTTCTAGGTTGACTTATTCGAGAGGAAATGGACCCATTTCAAAGCAATCTACGCTCGTTGCTGACCCGACGGGCGGGCGGAATTTAAGAATGTCCGTCACCCAAACCCTGGCCGACATTGGAATCCTCCGTCTTACTGAATGATGAAACCCGCCAATTTGCACAGCGCGAACAAGAAGGTAGCCCCAAAGGATCAGCAGCTAACTCCCCCACCCTATATCCAAGCCACCCCCGCATCCGAGCCTCCCGAAAATGCCGGATTTCCCCTCCTTCATCAACACCACTACTTTTTATAAAACATCACAACAATTACTATTTATAACTAAGCAACGCTATTTATTTAAGATACCTTTTTTAGTCTATTATAAAGTAATGTTCTAAAGATAAGCTCTAACAGGCCCTTCTAGAGGTGTAGTCTAGAAAAGATATATAGGCTATTATTTATATATAAGGTATACCTTATTAAATACTTTAAAATTAATACTATAGTAAGTAAAGTAAGAATACTATCTTTAAAAATAGATAGTATTTATTCTAGACCTAAGAAAATAATCTAGCTATATATATATCTCTTTAAGCTTCTCTTAGTAAGTAGATTACTTATTAATAAGTAAAAGGCTAAGTAAAGTAAATAATAAGTAATAAGTATCTTCTTATAAAAAGAAAGTAAATAGTCTAATTTCTATAGTAAAACGTATTAATTAGAATAATATTATAATCTAAAGTAATAAATACCTAGTAATAGGTAGCTTATTCTCTAGAAGTTATTTATTATTTTTATTATTCTTTAGCTAGTATTCTTACTACTTAAGAGATTTACTTATTTAGAAAATAAAGAATAAATAAGACTAGTATTATAGAGGGTAAAGAATTTAAGAGATTAGTATTAGACTTTATAGTATTATAATTAAAGACTTAATAAAATAGTTTAAATTTAATATAAGTGTTAAGAACTTTTAAATATAACTAAAGTGTATATATATATATATATATATATATATATATATATACTTAAATATAAAAGCTTTAATAACTATAACTTTATATTTAACCTTATATATTACTTTAAAATAATACTAATATCTATATATAAGATATCTAATATAATATTTACTTCTAGATATAGACCTATAGAGATTTACTCTCTATAGTACTTTATCTCTAAGAGTATAAGAAGTAGATATATATAAATAGTAACTAGATCTACTCTAGAGTACTAAAAACAGAAATATTTACTTAAATAAAACTAGATATTAAACAGGCTGTAACAATCTATAATAGGTTATATAACAGGCTGTAACAAGCTGTAACAAGCTATAATAGTATAAGCTTTTAAATCTATATAACAGTATAATATAATATAAAGATTAATATATATATTATTAGAAATATAGAAGTTAGTTAATTATATATAGAAGATAGATCCCCTTAAGAGATTCTAGCTCTTTATGTTTTCTAAAAACAATAGAACTATATCTATCTTTTTATCTATCTATCTGCCTATTTAACTAGTTAACCTACTATTCTATTTACTGTTTATTATTCTTATAAATATACTTTTTAATTATAAGATCTTTATTAAGCTATTAGTATTAAGTATCTAAGCTTAAAATAGTAGCTCTAAGTAAATTACTATAATTATTAAACTTAAGGTATAATATATATATATTAATATAAAATTACCTAAAGTCCTATAGTCTAAAGTTATAACTATAGCTATATATCTTTATAATTAAATACTATTAGTAGCTAGAGGGTAGAAATCTTTATACTAACTATTTTACTTATATTTTATACTTTATAAGTATACTAAGTCTTTACACTAAGAAATGCAACCATACAAAAGAGTACGCAGGTCACCTGTTTTGTTACTGCAATTAAATAGTTACACACTTATAAGGGCAATTAATATCTAACTCACCCCCTTAAGGGCTTACGAAGCTTATAGGCCTTGGACACGTTATGTGAGGTAGAAACCCTAGATTCCTAGGTAAAGACCCTCTATTATGTGTGTCGCGACCGTGTATCGAACTCAGTTAATTGACTGGGAGCTGGGCTTATAACCACTAAGAAATACGACTGTACAAAAGAGTACGCAGGTCACCTGTTTTGTTACTATAATTAAATAGTTACACACTTATAAGGGCAATTAATATCTAACTTTTACTAATAGTAAAAACTTACTGCTTATATATAAATTAGATTCTATTACAGGACAAGGTAGTAAGTGCCTATAGTTAGAAGACAGATAGATAGCAGGGACTAGATACCTAACACACATATAATATGTTATATATACCCTAAGTATATATCCCTTTAGTAGGTAACCCTTTATAGAAGGAGGGTTAACTATAAATATACCTACTATCTGTTACCTATCTTATCTTATGTTACTTATTTAGCTCCTTATTATTATTTATCTTGCTTTACTGCTCTGCTGTTACGCTTTGCTTTTATACTATATCTCTTTATAACACTACTACAGCCTAGCTTTATTTTATTAGAACTATAACAGCTGCTAGGAAGGCTATATTAGATTCCTTATAAGATATATATATATTAATATATATTATAGTTAGTCTTTAATATAAAATAAGGGTTTTACTATATATAATATAGTATTTAATAAGAAGTAACTATTTAATAAATAAATAAATAGATTACTTAATAGGCTTTATAAAGCTAAATTTATAGTAATTTAATAATAAACTAAATAACTAATTATAGCTAGTAGCTAGTCTCTTATATATAAAGAAGCTAATAAAGAATAAATAAAGTAATTAAATATACTAATATTACTTTACTAAATGTTTTATAATTAGGTAATATACTAGAATATTAATATAAGTAAGTAGAATTTATACTTCTTTTTACTTTACTACTATTACTACTTAGCGTCTTTCTTATAGTCTTTATAGACTTTAATATAAAATTAGTAAAATAAGAACTATTAGTTTAAAATTAATAAGTAATAGTTAAATAACTACTAATAGTAAAATAATTAATATTAAAATACCTAAACTAATAGCTAATAGTCTATTAATTAATTTTATTAATAGCTAATAGCCTTTAAGCTAGTAACTTACTAAGAACTAATAGCTTTAAAGTAATAATAATAGTAATCTTTTATACTTTATTTATCTTTATATAATAAACTTATAAGATATTACTAAGTATAAAAAGATATTAAATTTCTAAGTAACTATAACTAGCCTATTAGGTAATCTCTAGCTAGTAGTAATCTTATTTAAAGACGTTATAAATAGATATTATTTTACTATATATATAAGTAGTTAAATTATACTAAGGACTTTATTTAAGGCTATAGTCCTTATAAAGCTTACTTTATAATAAAGAATTATAAACTATATATAAAGTAGCTTATAAGGAATATTATTATTTAGTATATTATATAGTTAAGTAATAAGTAAAGATTACTACTTATAGCTAAACTATACTTAAGGCTACTTAATTAACTATATAACACCTAGTAAGTATAATAATTATAAAGATATTACTAGTAAATTACTAGTGTATAATAAAAGAGTTACTAGACCTTATAAACTAATAAGTTTAAGCTAGAAGCTACTATATTTTTTACTAATTTATAAATAGTTAGAAAACTACTTATATAAAAAGTAATTTAAAGTTATTAAGAAAGCGTATTAATATTAGTATAAAGTATTAAAATCTTAACTAATAGTATAATAAGTAGTAGCTAAAAAGTATTATATCTTTAGCTACTATTAAGTAAATAACTATAAGTTTAATAAATATAGTTAATTAACTAAGTTAGAATTATTATTTATAGTAACTAATAAGTAAAAGATCTATAAGATACTTATATAGCTATATTAGTAAGTATATTATTAAAATTACTAATTATAATAACTACTTAGTTTAACTTAGAATTACTTTAATATAATATAGTAAATATATTTATTTATACTACTATTAATAAAGTAGTATTTATAAAAATACCTTTAGGCTACTAAATTACTAGCTATATCCTTTAGCTTTAAAGACACTATATAGGCTTTAGTAATTATAATTACTATAGTAAAAACACCTTATAAGAGAACTTACTACATAAGGCTTTTACTAGGTGTCTAGTAAGAATTACTACTAAAAAAGAATTATATTATATTCTTTTTTTATATTAATAACTATATATTAGCTTACTACTATATAAATAAAACATAAGTAAGTAATAAAATATTACCCCTTTAGTAGTAATACTACCTTAAAAATAGAGGTTTACTATAATAGTTTCTTAATCTTAAGGTAATTTATAACTAAGTAAGCTACTATTTCTAGCTTTTATAAGTAATTTACTATAATTATTACAAGACAAAGTAGTAAGTACCTATAGTTAGGAGATAAATAAATAGTAAGGACTAAATACCTAATATATACGTAATATGTTATATATACCTAAGTATATATCCCTTTAGTAGGTAACCCTTTACAGAAGAAAGGTTAATAATAAATACACCCTCTATCTATTACCTATCTTATCTTATGTTATTTATTTAGCTCCTTGTTATTATTTGTCTTACTTTACTGCTCTGCTGTTACGCTTTGCCTTTACACTACGTTACTTTATAACACTACTGCAGCCTAGCTCTATCCTATTAGAACTATAACAGCTGCTAGGAAGGCTATGTTAATAATAAAGTAATTAAACTATTATTACTATATAAGAAAATATAATAAGTTATTACTTATAGTAAAAGCTAAGCTATTACTTAGTATATATATAGCTTTATTATAAAAAATTAATAAGTATTAAAAAAAGTAGAAATAATCTTATATATAGTAGTAATAACTTAGCTAAATATTACTTTTATAGCTAGCTAGCTTACTTACTTTAACTATAACCTAAATCTAGATTACTAAAAGACTATAAATTATATACTTAAATATCTTTATTAAGTATAATACTTTTACTTATAATATAAAGTAATACTAAATAGTAAGAATAATACTTTAAATATTACTTTAGATACTTTTTTTACTAATAACCTACTAGATTATTATAGCTTATAAGTATATTTACTAAAGCTATTTATAAAGCTTATCTCTTAGTAAGCTAATAAGTAAGATACTATAATAATATTAACTACTAAGACTAAAGTACTAGTACTATTATTTACTATAATAAAGATACTTTTTACTAGTAAAGTAGTTACTAATACAGCCTTCCTAGCAGCTGTTATAGTTCTAATAGGATAAAGCTAGGCTATAGTAGTGTTATAAAGTAACGTAGTATAAAAGCAAAACGTAATAGCAGAGCAGTAAAGCAAGACAAATAATAATAAGGAGCTAAACAAATAACATAGGACAAGATAGGTAACAGATAGTAGGTGTATTTATAGTTAACCCTCCTTCTATAAAAGGTTACTTACTAAAAGAATATATACCTAGGGCACACGTAACGTATTACGTGTGTGTTAGGTATCTAGTCCCTGCTATCTATCTGTCTCCTAACTACAGGCACTTGCCACCTTGTCTTATGACAGTTACTATACTAGGTATTTAACTATTAACTTAAATAGAAAATAAATTATTACTTAATAAGTAAGTAGCTACTAAATAGCTACTAACTATTTATATTAGTTATAATAATACTTAGACTATTAAGCTTATTACTAAAGAGCTTATTTAACTATAAATAAGGCTATAATATATAACTACTTATAACTACTAGCTATATTAAGAAGTAGTAGTAAATTAAATTACTATTAAATATAAAAAGTCTACTAAGTTAATAACTAATAGATTAATAAAAGCACTTAGTGTATTATAATTTACTACTTTTATAGCTTAATTAAATATAAGTAACTAATATATATACCTTAAAGTAAATTAATAATAAGAATTAGCTAATAATAAAGTAAAGCTTTACTACTAGGTAAAAAAGAAAATATATAATATATTAAAAGATAATTAATAAATAAATAGGCTATATATAGAGGATATTTAGTATAGGCTTTATAGTAGTTAATTATAATACTAGTACTAAGGGGGTATATTAAATATAGTAAAAGTATATATAAATTTACTAGTAGATATATAGTTAGCTTATAGAAAGTAGTTAGGAAATAAGTAGTAAAATTACCTTACTTTACTAGTAATTATACTAATTATATAGCTAGGATTAGCCTAGGATTTCTTAATTAAGAAATAGGGGTTTTTCTCTGTTTCTATAAGATTTTACTATAGTTATATATATAATAATTGATTAATTAACTATTATAATCCCTACTATTTGATAACTATCCCCACTAGTGACATAAAGCTGGCGCAGACATGCCTATATAAAGTAAGTTCCTCTCTCCTACCCCACCGGAATTCTTGCCGCAGGCGAATTCCGGATGTGCACCAGCCCTGCGGGATTGGTCATGTGGGAAGGGGATAGGTGGTGTTGCCTGATACCATAGCTGTTTCTACGGGGTTGAGCCGAAGGACTGCGGTGATGGGTTGCCGTGGACCGGATTTTGAGATGATGAGACTTTGTTATATTTACAATGGCCCGCGGGACTGAAATGCTTGTTCAGACGACCAGCCATCAAAGTTCATCTGGAAACCGTCTCGAGGCGACACATACCTTAACAAGCACACCCAGGCTTAGCCGTGTAACATGGCCAGGTTCCTTTCGCGGGGCTCCAAGCAGACACCCCAGCCCGGCACGTTGACATCCAGCCACGGTCCAGAATCGCCACCATCAATGACACCCGTAACCGACCACCCGCTCTCCGAGAAGCCGCCGTCGTCCGCGACTGGCACCGACCCTGAAGCATCCGATAAGCCTACGGAGAACGGGAGCCACGGGGCGACCGGGGACGCCAGTGCATTGGCTACGGAGCAAGGGGATGCAGAAGAAGAAGAGTACATGACTGGCGTCAAGTTAAATCTCGTCCTCGCCGGCTTGACGCTCGTGGTGTTTCTCATGCTCCTCGACGGTTCCATCATCACAACGGTAAAGACGCACCTCTACCCTACAGCTGTGAAGATGTACGCATGGCTGACAATGGGCACAGGCTGTTCCCGAGATCACAACAGCCTTCAACTCGCTGTCCGACGTGGGCTGGTACGGCGCTGCCTACAGTTTGTGCGGGTACGTATCCCCTATCCACGACTTTGGAGGGAGGGGGGTGGGAAGCCCCGTGAGGGAATAGGCATCAGGAGCGCCGGTTGAACTAACCATTCTGTGCCGACAGTGCCGCTCTTCAGCCCTTTGCAGGGAAGCTGTACACATACCTCAGCTCCAAGCAGACGTTCCTGGCATTTCTGTTCCTGTTCGAGCTGGGTTCGCTGATCTGCGGCGTCGCGAAGTCCTCTGATATGTTCATCGTCGGGCGCGCCGTTGCGGGCATGGGGACGGCCGGCCTGTTCAACGGCGCCCTGACGATCATAGGCACGACGGTGCCGCTGCAGAAGAGGCCGCTCATCATAGGGATTGTCGTTGGGATCTCGAATATGGGACTCGTGGTCGGGCCACTCATCGGAGGGGCCTTTACGCAATACGTAAACTGGAGATGGTGTAAGTGCTTGGCGGGCTGTCCTTCATCTGGATCTTTTGACTTTTTGTAATGAACCTTGCGATATGCTAATCAAAAAAAAATCACCAACCCAGGCTTTTACATCAACCTCCCGATCGGCGGCGTGGTCGCAGTCCTCCTGCTGCTCATCCAAATTCCCTCCAAGATCGCAAACCCCCTCCCCCTTCTTCAAATACCCGCCCACCTTGACCTCCCAGGCTTTGTGCTCTTCGCCCCGGCCGCCGTCATGTTCCTGCTGGCTCTCCAGTTCGGCGGCAACGACTACTCGTGGGACTCATCGGTCGTCATCGGCTTGTTCGTCGGCGCGGGCGTCACGACCGTGCTCTTCTTCTACTGGGAACACAGGCTGGGCGACGACGAGGCCATGATGCCCCTAGACCTGTTCAAGAACAGAATCATCTGGACCAGCTGCGTCACCGGGGCCGCGAGCTACAGTATGACCATGGTCTCGAGCTATTACCTGCCGTTGTACTTCCAGAGTGTCAAGGGGGCCACGCCGTTCGAGGGTGGAAGGGACTTTCTGCCGACCATACTGAGCCAGCTGATTTTCGCCGTGCTCTCCGGCGCCTTGGGTAGGTTTGAACTTGATTACCCTCCGCTCCTTAGATGGGTGGGGGGGTATCTTCCTTGTTTTCAACGCTCGGTTTGATTAATCATGGGTTGAGGTCGCTAACCTTTTTGCAGTCGGGAGAATGGGGTATTACATCCCTTGGGTAGTCTTCGGCTCTATTGTAGCGACGATCGGAAACGGGCTCATTTCGACGTGGACTCCGCATACGAGCTCGGCCGCCTGGATAGGCCACCAAGTCCTTCTAGGCGCGGGCCGCGGGTCCAACATGCAGATGGTAAGCTGCTCCCCAACCCCGTTCATTGGAAAGCCGGCATATACTCATTCACTCAGCACATCATCGCCGTCCAGGCAAACTCTGCGCCGTCCCGTCTCCCCGTGGTCATGGCGACCGTCATCTTCCTGCAAACCTTTGGAGGCGCCATCTTCCTGACAGTGGCTTCGGTCATCTTCAGCGAGGGGCTCGGCACCAACTTGGCAAGGTACGCCCCGTCCGTGGATGCCAGGACCATTCTGGCCGCCGGCGGAACGGGATTCAGAACGGTCGTGCCGCAGGCGGACCTCCCCGGAGTTCTCATGGCGTACTCCAGGAGCATCGGCGAGGTGTTCTATCTCCTGGTCGCCTTGAGCGGTGTGATCTTTGTGCTGGCGTGGGGTATGGGCTGGGTTGATATCCGGAAGAAGGATGACAAGAAGAAGAACAATAAGGGCGAGGTTTAGAAAGGCGTCGGGTAGGCAGGCACTGGTTGCTTGACCGGAAGTTTTTGTTACGCAATGTTCGGGGTCAAGCATGTAAATATATATAGCAGAACGCTCAACTACACGGACGGAGTACGGCTTCTGAGAATATCTACCATCACTTTGTGGATATATCAGGTTCGCAAACGGAGGACGTGAGATGTGATGATGTGAGTCCGAGCCCGTATTCTCCGGCGAGCTCTCGGTCACCGGACAACTCGGGATCCGGTAGTAGAGCAACAATCTGACGGTTTTCTTAGGCCCTGAAAGAAACAACCAGACAGTATGTTCGTGCTTACGTCGGACCCGAATACGACGCAGGGTGCAATCTCGCTAGGTCAGCCAACTCACCTCTGTAGCCAATGGGACAACCGCGCTGCTTCAGACTTGGCAAATGTCCCCCAGCAATACATGAATGGGCTGATGCGGATGTTGAGTCTGCCGTACCCACCCAAGCGGGGCGGAAATATGGGAGAGGGAGGACATATTTGCATGTAATAGATGTTATAAAGCTCACTCGTGAGAGCACCTTTGCTGTCCATCCATATTCGCCAGCACCGTCAACCACGATCAACTTATACCTAACGGACCGCACCCGAACGACCTCGAAATGGCTGCCAAGATCATGATGAACGCCTCCATCCCCATCCACCCGTACTCCCCCGGGGGTGCAATGCTCCCTGGCTACGTCGCCAACACCCTTAGTGCCAATGAACTGCGAGCCATCTTTGCTGTTGGCGCCGCAGTCATTCTCGGGTCGACGTACCGCATCGTCAAGAAGACGCGACCCGACCTGCCCGGCGGCGAGATGGCGACGACGTTGTGGTTCACTCTGAGTGCCTTTATCCACTTCTTCTTCGAAGGTGAGTCGTCTTTCCGGCATGGCGGGGGAGCGTATCGTACCGAGAGCCAAACCCCCTGACTGACACGAAAACCCCAGGCTACTTCTCGTACAACCAGGCCGACATGCCGACCAGCCTCCACATCTTCGGCCAGCTGTGGAAGGAGTACTCGCTGTCCGACTCCCGCTACCTGACGCAGGACTCCTTCATCGTCTGCATGGAGACCATCACGGCCGTCTTCTGGGGCCCGCTGTCCTTCGCCTGCGCCTGCTGCATCGTCGCCGGCCACCCGCTCCGCCACCCGCTGCAGCTCGTCGTGAGCCTCGGCCAGCTCTACGGCGACGTCTTGTACTTCGCGACGTGCTCCTTCGACGAGCTCGTCTACAGCGTCATCTACTGCCGGCCCGAAGACTTTTACTACTGGTGGTACTACGTCTTCTGCAACGCCTTCTGGATCGTCATCCCGTTTTGCCTCATCCTCAAGAGCTGCGCGGAAACGAAGCGGGCTTTTGAAAAGGTCGCGGCGATGGAGAAGGCATCGCATTCGAAGAAGAACGCGTGATTATTTTTTTGGGGGGGTCGAAGGAAAGGACTCTCTCCTCCTGCTGCCGTCGGGCATGCATGCGCTCACCAAATGTTCAAAACTATGTGGAGGGGGGACAGTTGAAGTGAATGCTAGTCGTTTCGCCTGCATTTGGTCTCAATTTGAAGCAGATTTATCTTCAAGCGATTTGAGTCGTGGGTTATCAAAGCACAAGCTGTTAGCGGACATGGGTTTTGAAAGGCTCTGTGATAACTTTTGGATGGTAAAAAAAAATCAATGATATTTCTATTAGGGTGTCTTATTTATTCATTATCTCATGATTCGGGGAGGGGGCATTCATTCATTATCTCCAAGGCGCATACTTGAACAGCGTCTCGAGCTGGGTAGAGCTGTACCCGGCGTACAGCCCGAGCTGCAGCATGATGCGGGCCTTCTCCGGGTTCAGGGACCAGCCGCCGTAGGTGTTTGGCATCCCGCTGGCCTCGACGAAGCCGCCCATGGTCCTGCTGGAGAGGACGATCTGGGTGTTGTTCTCCAGCGCGAGCTTCTTCAGAGTGTCTTGGCCGGGGGTGGTCCACGAGCCGGCGCCCATGCCGGCCAGCACGAGGCCCTTTGCGCCGCCCTCTACGGCGGCGCTCGCGAGGGCCGGGTTGAGGCTTTGGTGGCCGAAGAGGATGTCGACCTGGGGCAGCGCGGCGGCCGCGGAGACGTTGAAGTAGTGTTGGCCGAGGGGCAGGACGGCGTGGTAGTAGAAGAAGGGCTTGATGTCGAGGAAGTAGCCGAGGTAGCCCTGCTCGACGGCCTTGAAGGTGTCGAGGGAGTTGGAGTGCGTCTTGGTGGTGTAGAAGGCGCTGCCGATGCGGTCGTTGAGGACGACCATGGCGCCGCGGCCCCTGGCTTCGGGACTGCCGGCGAGGGTAACAGCCTCGAGCAGGTTGATGGGGCCGTCGGCGCTGATGGCGGTGGCGGGGCGCATGGCGCCGACGAAGACGACAGGCTTGTCACTGCGGACGGCGAGCTGGAGGAAGAAGGCGCTCTCCTCGAGGGAGTCGGTGCCGTGGGTGATGACGGCGCCCTGGCAGTAGGGGTCGTCGAGGGCCTCCTGAACGAGGCGGGTCAGGTTGAGGAGGATCTCGGTGGTGATGTCGTTCGAGCCGACGTTGGCGACCTGGACGCCGCGGACGTTGGAGACGTTCCAGAGCTCGGGGACGGCGTCGATGAGGATGTCGACACCGAGGGCGCCGGCCTGGTAGCCCGTCGTCTGGGCATTGGAGGCGGCGGAGCCAGCGATGGTGCCGCCGGTGGCAAAGATGGTGACGTTTGGCAGGCTGGCGTTGTAGTGCGTCTCCCGTGTCGAGAGGAGGTTGTAGGCCGGGAGCGGGGCCGGGGCGGCGAGGCCGAGGGCCAGGTGGGAGGCCGCGAGGAGGACGTTGCGCATCTGCATCTTGGCTTGTCCGTCACACCGACGGTGGTCTTGAAAGAGAAGCGGCGACACGGGGAGAGGGCAGTAGGGTTATTTTTGCTCTTTGCATCAAAGAGACGTAGGACAGGATGCTGGCCATGCTTTATACTGATGGGCGCTTGAGGGATATTGTCTCCACAGACTGGGCAAAGAGGGCCGAAAGCAGGAGCCATGGAGACAAGACCGAAATGGCATTGGATCTTTCCAGTGTTCAATACTATCCAACGGGGCGCGACGGATTGATGCTGGAAAGCATGGAACACAGTCGCAGCAGCCAAGGCAAACAATTGCAAACAGACTCCGGTCCCGGGCCCGCCCAAGTTGTGTCTTATCAGCAACTCGGTGACGAAAGAAGAAATTAGAACCAGTGGGGAAGCGCTGCCCCCCTCCCCAGCAGAGATATCGACTTTGAGCCCGCAGCCCCAGCTCCGTGTTGGGGTAGTGTCGCTGGGTGTGGTGGTGGTGTTGTTTGGCGTTGGGGAAGTCTTATCTGCGCTTACCTATCTCTGATATCCAGGCTATGCAAGTCGGATAAGCTTACCAAGTATACGGACGGCATTGCAACCCCCCCCCCCGGCCTGGGGAGCAGGCTTGTCTACCAAGTACGGATACCTATGCGGTTTATTGAAGAATTCGATTGATTGAAAGGCGACCCCCGACTAGTATGTATAGGTAACCCACCGGGGGGGACATGTTTCTGCGGGGCAGAGATGGGCCCAAGGACGTGGGATCGACCCGGCGGTAATCGAAGCCAGTTGATAACGAACGGGAAACACGTCCCCAGAGCAACAGAGTTCCGGTCCCGGCGATCTGCCAATTGATATGGAGCTGGGAGGAGGGGCCAACTTGGGGTAAAAGGATTGACATGCAAGATAAATAGCTCATACAAGTCTGCAAGCAAAATGGAACTGATTGCAACTCTCTAACAACAGGATCATGTCGTGTTCTCTCGCGGGCTCACGGCACCTTATAGATTGAGCTGGTCTCTCCTTGTGTGCTGTTGGGCAAACATATGTGCAACGTTGCTTAGTTTGTGTTGCATGCATCTATCAATGACTCGCTGCTTGCTTCTGTGTTGAGTTTGGTGCGGTCCCCAAGGCCGAGGCAAACAAAATCAGTAAGTAGGCAGACGATTGATCTACAGCATGGCATGCCATCTATAGACAGAACGCTCATGTAGCATCAAATGGATCGTAAAAGGGTACAATAAGAGAGAAGCATACAGCTTTACTATACTCATAGCTATGATTCGTTATGAGTGGATTGGTAGTTCTGGCCTAAATCCACTTGAATGTCCACAACAACTGCATATAAACACCCGGCCAACATAACCTCACCAGGTATTGACGTTTCTATTGAGAGCTTCTTTATTTACAATGTGAGAATAATTGTATGAATGACACGCCACCGCTGTCTGGGCAATATGGGCAAGCCGTGTGCATGGACAGCCCTTGCCACGGAGTTCCATTGTTGATTTATACCCCTTGCATGTTGCTAGACCCCGTGGTGCATCATCGCCGTCTTTTTGTTTTTGGAAAATGACTGTAAATCAGCTAGACATAAATCCCTAGCATCAAATCGAGGGGTCACGCCTTGGAGATGAGCGGCAGCGACATGTAGTTGGGCCTGCAGCAAACATCAAACAGTCATGTCACCTTGGGTTTCGTGGTGGACTACATCGCTATTGAAGGCACAGTACATGCATATAGATGCAACCGCCACTGTTACAGAGACGGAAGAGAAGCATATGGCAATTGTCATATATGGCCGTACAAGTCATCAAGGAGTTCAATCATGTGCTGTACCTGGTCCAAGTGATTTGGAGTTCGCTTGCTCTGTTTTCTGGGTGGAATTCTTCATCATCATTCACCACATGTCTTTTGTATGACCGATTAGCAACCAGTCAAAAAGCAGCTGGTGTAAAAGCACATTAGGAGCAGCCAACATGGTCTTGATTCCCTGAATCTGGCTTTGGCCTTCGGTACACACCGCACACCGCCACAACCGCACGAGGAAGGCGTTTCCCACCAAGCAGCTCCTTCCTTTTCTTTTGTCCAGTCACTGGATTATATAAGCAATCCAACTTCACCTTGACCTTTCTTGCCCAAAAGGGAAACAGAGGCAAGTAGATCCCGTGACTTGATCACTCGACGCCGCCAGATCCCGAAGAACTGGTTTCTTTTTCTTCTCTTTTATTCCTCACGTGCCAGACCTCGCATCTCTCCCTCCCTCTCGTCTCGTCTCATCTGTTCTCTTCACCAGAGACGGCTTTCTTGTTCCTTCTAATTGCCTGAACTGCTTCACTGCTTCACTACTACCTACCCTCTCAACAAAAACAACACAAACAACACAGATCAGCACTGTCCCGAAAACACGTCACAGATTACACAATGCGCAGATTCATCGCGTCCACGATTGCCCTTGCGGCCTTCGCCTTTGGCCGTGCTGTTCCCGACCCTGGCGTCCTCGATGCTGTTGCCTTGCCCCAAGGGGATGTCACCTTCAAGGCTTCCAATGGCTCCAACGTCGTCTTAGCCGCTGCCGCCCGCTTGAACACCATCGGCGATGTCCACAAGCTTCCCTGGCCCGTCAGCAAGCACATCAAGACTGTTACAGCCGACGACGATGTCGAGCTTTGCACTGTCCGCGCCAGCAAGCAATATGCCAGCGTCAAAAGCCCCCGTCGCGACGACTGTCAAGCCCTCTTCGACTTCCTCAAGGGTCACCCGGCTCTGATTAACCCCCATAAACTTGGCTTTGATACCAATCCCTGGGTCGAAACAGCCTGGGTCGGTAGCTGTAGCTTCCAGATTCTCACCCACACCCGCGATGCTGTTCTGTCTACTGGAGATATCGCCAGCTTCCTCGGCAGGTCTCTGAGTCGTCCCGGATGGACCATCGATGGATCTGTCTCATCTACCGAAGAGGCGGCAGACTGCGCTGTTCGTAACAGCCCATCGGGCAACGCCACAGTCTCCTGGAGACTACAACAGCGCGGGCCTCTGAGCCTCGCTGACGCCAAAGATGCCAGTCTCTTCAAAGCCTCCCTTTCTGGAAAAGAAACTGCCCGAGCTGTCGAGATGTTCCAGGTCGAATACAAGGGACCCCTTATCGTCAAGTCTCTTTCTCAGATCCCCAAGAACACTTCCGCCTACGTCTTCAACGGCACAGTGCAACAGGCCCCCGACAGCGTCGAATCTGTCAACCTCACCATCGCCAAACGCTACGAGATGTACACCGGCGGCAATCCCGAGGGTCCCTTCTGCACTCCCATCTGGCTTTCGTCCGACTGGGACCAGCCACATACACCGCTCAAGTCCGACTGCGAGCAGCTCTTGAGGTTCTGCCAACAAAACACCGCAAAGGTCGTCTTTAAGGAACGCGATCTGAACTTCTGGGCCAAGTTTGCTGCGCACGAGTCCTGCGGCCTCAGTTTCAAGACGACAAAAGCCAAGATCGCCCTCACCAACCGTGACATGGCCGGCTTCCTCGAGAGAGCCATCAACTACGAGCCCTCCACTTACCAAGGCATCGGTGTTCGTGCCAAGATGGGAGTTCGCTGCGGCCTCGAAAAGAGTAACCAATACGATGGCGAGTTCAGACTCTTCTATCGCGACCCAAGTCTTCCTCAGGGACAGATCGAGCAGCGCGAAACCGGTATCGACGCTCCCGTCATGGATGCGACCGAACAACGCGACGCCGCTTCTGAGGAGCCAGACTATGAAGCACTGTCCCAGGTCGACTCTGCCGTGAACTGGCTCGACTTTGAGTTTACCGACGGCGATGGCAGCAACTTCACTGCTCAGGTCAACCCAAACACCTTGTACACACCGTTCAACGACGGAAAGAAGGTCGCAGGCAGGCTTGAAAGATACGAAACCCCGCTAGGCCCCTCGAAGCGATGCAACGGCAAAACCACCTACATGGGCGGCGCCGGGCCCGACTCGGCTCTCGTCGAAGACTGCAAGAAGCTCCGCAACTTCATGTCCGTCCGTCGTTTCTATTTCCGATGGAACGACGAGAACGAACGCGGGCCCGGTCAGCCGCTCGCCAAAGTCGACACCTGCCACATTGCGTGGTCCGTCGCCAGGGACGCCGTCGTCGGCAACATGGACATTGAGATCGTCTTGACGAACGCCATTGAAATTCTCGACAACACCAAGGGCCGCATGCGTGGCTGGGGCTGGGAGTGGTGCGACCTCGCTGAGCAGTACGGCGAGAAAACCTGGACAAAGTGGCTCATCTTCCCTTGAATGGAACGATGGTTGATTTCGGCAATGGTGCAAGGGGAAGAGCTCGGAATCACTGTTGATTAGCTTGAGCACCCTCATATATGTTCCAGGGAGTGACTGGAGGCTTGATGATTGGGGGCTCTATGGCCATGTGTTCACATGGAAGGCCTATAAATGAGGCAGTATAATAATGCACTGAACGCTCTTATCGAAAAGTCATTCACGCGTGTGTCGCCTCCATGTGTTTGACGTGGTTCACCACGCACCCTTGGCTTAACTCGTAGTCTTTACCCACGTAGTACAACACCCGAATCCTATAGGATAACCGAAGCCCACCGCGACCCAGCCGTGTGAATATCCGCCCAACTAGAGAGAGAGAGAGAGAGAGAGAGAGACGTCTCATCCCACAAGAATGGTTCCTTGACATCCTAACCAATTGGGCCAGGCTGTGAGTTAAAACTCATAGCATCCGGCATCTAGACCCTTCTATAGGACATTGAGACATTGGCAGGGCGCTGAGCATCCTGGCCGTCGCTTCCGTACCACCTCGTCCTCTCCGCCTCCACGATCGACACGGCCGCCGCAGTCGTCCCGCAGCGGTAGTGGCGGTAGTCCTGTCCCTCCCGGGGCTCGCCGCACGGACGACCGTCTTCGCCCCCTCGTGGGGATCTCGTCGATGGCGCGCGTCAACTACCTATCCCCCCCCCCCTTACCTGTCCTCATGGGTGAAGTGGTACCGGTTGATCGGCTGGTGGGCTGGCCGGTGGCGAGCAACGGGCTCCTCGCGTCGGTGCAGGGGTCGTTGCCGCTGTTCGTGCTGCCGCGATGGCGCGGGAGACGAAGGTTGCGCGGTGCCAGCGCTTAGTTTGCCAGCGCGTCCGAGAGGGCAAACGGAGGATGTTGCAAGAATAACAGACTGTGCAATACAAAATAAGTCTTACGGGTATGCGACACACACGTTTCACCGCCGAGAACACCCATCTTGGATTTGAGATCCCCCCCCCGGAACCGGGCCGGCTTTCACACATGGCCTTTGTTCCCCGCTGATTACGCACGGAAACTTTCGTCCGTTCTGCCAATGTGTTGGCTCGCAAAGGTCTTCTTCATGGAGAGAGAGAGAGAAAAACAAAAAGAGAATGATCATGGTAAATGAGCTTGGCGACTGGGTCCAAGTCACATTCCCCCGCGCGCAATCGTCTTGGCTCAAAGTCACCTTCCGGATGTAGTTGCTCTTGGCAATTGGCAGCAAGCCGATGAGAAGTCATCATTCGGTGTTTTTCTAGGTCCCGCGAGGTTACTACTTCTCTCGGAAAGCTTCGGCTCTGGCGTGATCCAAACCGCACGTCTGTTGCCATCTGCAAGTGAAGCCTTATTTGCTAATACCGAGGCCGGTCAATGGAACTTCCCAGATCGAATGACGAGGATGTCTGAATGATGGGTCATAAGCCAAGGGAATTGCCATGCACTAAAGATGGGAAGTGTCCAACCCCAACTCCATCATGTCATTTCTTTCATCCTTCGCCGCGGAGCCAAGATCAATACCTCTTGGCTATACATCACCGCCTGGGAGCCGGAAACAATCAGCCAACCCGCCCTGTGCCTTACACGCCGTCCCACCGGTCGTGCCCGGCGACTCTTTCTGCTAGCCTACCCTCGCCAACATAGAGCCTGGACTACTAGCGTCGTATCTGGGGTTCACCGCCCGGTTCCGCATGCCCAAAAGTTCCCACGTCGTGGCCAGTTTCCCGTTACAGCTCCCGGCGTACATGACCGTCTCCCTGGCGCCGGTGCGGCGTCATCCAACCCCCCTCACCTTGACGCGCCAAACTTGGATTAAAACCGGGGCCGGAAGATCTGTGAACACTCACCAGATACCACGTCCCTCCTGCGATGCGCCGCTGGTTGGCGCGTGTGGTGATGCAAGTCATGCAGGCGTCCGGTACCGTGGGTGATTCTGCCAGCATATAACAAGCCGGCCTCCCTAGAGAACGGCGCGTTGTGTGTCATGAGAACCGTAGCCGCAAGCCACTGTCGCCTCACAATCGCTCCGGTTCCCCCGTCAAACGTGGTCCATCATGCGCTTCACCCGTTTCCTCGCGGCTCTCGCCGTTTCCTCGGCCGCCGGCTCTTCCGTCGAGCCCCGCGACCCGAAAAGGCTCTTCACCCTCGAGATCGCGCCCGGACAGACCGTCACCGTCACTGAGGAGGAAAAGTGGGAGATGATGGATGTAGGCTCCAACCTCCCTGTCATCCCATTGGAGCCCCTCCCTTTCACGAACGGCTAGCAACTGACTTACATGTCCCTAGAACCGTGTTCACTTCTTTGACATCACCGAGTGGTCCGACGTCTCCGCCGTCACACCCTCCCCGGACTTTAAGCTCCTCGCGGCGCTGCCCTTCCCGACGGCCATGAACCAGACGTGCCACGTCAACGCCCTGATCCCCAAGCTCAGCAAGGATAACATGCGCACCCACCTCGAGCGCTTCTCGTCCTTCCACAACCGGTACTACCTCTCCTGGACGGGCGTCGAGTCCGCCGAGTGGCTGCACGGCCAGGTCAGCGCCGTCCTCGACGCCGCGGGCCACCCGACAGCCAACGTCCGCTACGTCCGCCACGTCGCCTGGTCGCAGCCCAGCATCATCGTGACGATCCCCGGACAGAACCAGCGGACCGTCGTTGTCGGCGCCCACCTCGACTCCGTCATCTCCGGAGACCGCGGCGCCGGCCGTGCACCTGGTGCTGGTGAGTCGCCGTCCCTGCCCCCCCATAGTATTTTCTCCTGCTTGAGTTTGGCTTTCGTTAACATGGAAATACTGACTAAAAATAGATGACAACGGCTCCGGCTCCGTCATGATTCTCGAGGTCCTCCGCGTCCTCCTCTCCGACAAGCGCATCGCCTCGGGCGACCTCCTCAACACCGTCGAGTTCCACTGGTACGGCGCTGAGGAGGCCGGCCTGCTGGGCAGCCAGGACATCTTCACGCAGTACCGCGCGCTCAACCGCCAGGTCGTCTCCATGCTGAACCAGGACATGGTCGGCTACGTCGGCCGCGACGGTGTCGAGCGCTTCGGCGTCGTCACCGACTGGACCGACCCCGACCAGGTCGCCTACATGAAGCGCGTCATCGATGCCGTAAGTGGAAGAACCCCCCCCCCCGCCTTGCAAGTTGCGCGTTATCTCTCGCCGGGCGAGACCCCCGTAAATGAGTTCTTGGTGGGACTGACTTGACGGGCCGCGCCGGGGGTAATCATAGTATACCGACATTCCCTACGAGGAGACTGTCTGCGGGTACGCCTGCTCCGACCACGCCTCGGCGAACCGCAACGGCTTCCCATCGACCTTCATCTTTGAGACGCCGTTTGGGAACCACAACCCGTACATTCACACGCCCAACGACACCATGGAGCACGTCTCGTTCGATCATGCCCTGCAGCACGCCAAGATGACGACGGGATACGTCTACGAGTTGGCTTACTGGCCCTTTGCGTAGACGTAGAGTTATAGTTTGCGAGACACCCGAGAAGGTGCCCCCCTCATCATAAAAGATGTCTTAAAGACGTAGAAGACAGGGCCCAAGATTAGAACGAAGGTTGGATTATTGATCCCCGAAGACCACTTGCCTCGGCACCAGCATGCGACTCTTCCTGGATTTGTGTGCGTGGTATGAGCAAAGCGTATAAATTTGGCCAGCAAGAAGAAGACTATAGTGGATATCAATATGAACTGCAAAAGATGCCTGGTGCCCAGAAGGCTCCAGGCATCCCAAGAAGGGGCTGAAATGTTCTCATTACATTCGGACTCGAACTCTCGTACGGAAGATGACGTGGCTAATCTGTAGACCTTCACTGGCCCTTCTTGGCACAATGACTATATTTTGACCAACTTATCATTGATGTGACATCGGAGCAACAAGTGGAGTCTCCTTCGCATATTACGGAGCGCGGTATACTACCTACTATTATCCTGTCGCATGCTAACTTTCAGGTCCTTGTCCCAGTATTATCATGATTGAGACAACAGTATAGGTGGCGCTGTAGGTGCCAGTCCTTCTTGTAAAAAAGGGATTTAGATTGGATTGTGAAGCTGAGGGAGCTATTCAGTCTGGTTGTCAGCAAATCAGATATCCAGAATGCTTTGAGGCGACGTACTTCTGCATGATAGATATATGCGTGAGAAGTGTGGCTTTCCATGTGCCGAACCTCAGAGTGGGTGGTCGACTATTTTGAGTGGTGTCGTTGAGTGAGCAAAGAATATCTAAAACAAAGTCATTTGCAACATTCGATAATATCTGATCCTGATTATTTGGTTAATGAACCTGATATGATTTACCTGGATGCTTAGACGAGCGTGCGATCCAGCCGCTCATTGACTCCAAAAAGTCAAGAGTGAGACAAACTAGGTACCACCACACCGTCCAATCTGCAACGAGCCCAACTATTATCCAAATATAATATTAGTTAACAAGAAGACCGAGCTTAGTTTGTACCTGTGACTAAAAGTATTGACCGAGAATAATAGACACGAAAAGGAGGCACGGGGCCTGTTGACCAATCGTACTGCATACGGGAGGTAAGCCCCATCACGTCTAATGTGACTCTGGACGAAAGGTCCGAGGTTGATATTGGCGCAGCTAGGTTAGTCACACAGCCGTGCCAATCTGCTCGTCAGTCCAAGCGACGATTTCAGGGTTTAGACTATGCATGGATTTCCATGTTCGCCCATCGACGTGGGGGGTTGCTTTGTTCCTATCATTGACCACTCAGGATCAAGATATCCGGCTCGTTTGTGCGCAACAGGTCTACCCCGCATGGCTAAAGTAAGATGCGTGTAGCCACTGTCCAGGTTGCACCAGATCTTACTAGGGGTATTTCGGCGGCTGCTCCCGAGCGGAGCTTTCGTCTAAGGATTCCCAGGTTTCCAGTGGCGACCGGGAAGATAAGGGTATCGTTGATACTCGAAAAGCAAATTCGATGCGACCAGGCGCATGTCCTGCTGTCCATGACGAATCAGTTACAGAAAATTCAAGGTCGACAGCGTCTATACCTTCAACGTAGAGCAGAGTACAGTCCCTTGGCTCCGAAATCAGACGACGAATAGGCAATAACCTGTCCATGAGGTGTATATGCCGGGTTCGGCGATCTCGATAGTCGGGTAAAAGCCCGGAGGGATGTGATTCGATTATCAGCCATGCGCCCTTTCCTGACACACCCTAAGTTCACCGAGTGCGGGGCGTCGATGTTGGCCAGGCCAACAATCAGTTCCCACGTACCTTGCTGGCTGAACTAAGAGAGCGGGAGTCCCGTTTCGGTTGGATGCCGCAGTTCCTCCTCCCGGAAGTGATAAGATGGCGAGGAAATGGTGTAATACGGCGCCCTGAGTGAGCCGGATCATGTCCGATTGAGTGGTTCAGGACACGGGAGACGGCTGCCCGTCACGAACCGGAACCAAGCAAGCCAAGGCAAATGTCCACTTTTGATATGACAATGGCATTGAGCTTCCAACGAAACAACAATGGGTAGCGTCTTTGGTGTAGTATGCATGTGATATGAACGACGGTGCCGATTGGTCCGAGACCCCGCATACTCGCATGAAACCTTGCGTCTCGCTCAACGGCACATTGTCTGTGACAAGAATCTGGAAGGAGGATAAGGACCCAGAGTGCGGGCAGATGGATTGGCGCCGCTTACGACGGTGAGGGGCAATGTTGTTGGCGCAGCTATGAGCAACTCTCATATGTATAAATAGGAAGGGTCGACTGCTCGAGGATGGTACGGGGAGAGAAGAGGAGTGAGAGGAGCTTGTCAAACCCAATTTGAACCCAATTCAAACCCGGGCCATCACTTGTGCTCCACTGATCTTTTGATCATCTGCATTATTATCTCAAGTACACAGATCCCCTTACACAACACGCACAATGGGCGTCTCCACCGAAGTCCCGCAGACCGTCGAGTGGGCGGGGAAGAGGGTCCCCATCTACCCCATGGAGACTGTTGACTTCGGACGAGTCCTGTCCCAGGAGCCAGCTGAGCTTGAGATCATGCTTCGCTGCTGCCAGGAGCAGGGCTTCTTCTACCTGGACCTGAACGGCCTTGACGGCAGCAGGTTCCTGGATGACCAACAGAAGACGCTCGAGCTCATGCACCGCTACTTTGAGTCCCCAATAGAGGCCAAGAACGAGTTTGGTCTCATCACCGCACATCTCGGGTATGTCGACGAACCACCACCGGCTCAACGTCTATGTATCACTAACAATGTCTCTCAGCTACGAGCCCGTAGGTTCACGCACAGGCGGCCTCCCCAATACCAGGGACGGCTATGAGATGTTCAAGGTGAGATGCTCTAGAAAGGTCCGTAGTATCTGCGAGAGCCAAGACTGATTCCTCTCCGCAATAGGTCTCTCGTGACGAGATCCAGAGAAAGGACCCCAAGTTCCCCCAGATTCTTCAGAACGACACCGACAAGGGCATCCTGAAGAACGCCATCTCCGGCTCCAACATCGTCACCAAGGCCGTCCTGTCCGGTCTCTCCAGTGCCATGGGCCTCGTCGGCGCCGCTCGCTACGAGAACGCCCACCGCAACGACCGTCCCTCGACCTCCACACTGGCCATGATGCACTACGTGCCCGCGGACCCCGTCAAGGACAAAGAGATCGGCCACCAGAAGCACACCGACATCAGCTCCCTCACCCTCCTCTTTGCCGAGGAGTGGGGACTTCAGATCCGGCCCCCCGGCACCAAGGAGTTCGGCTTCGTCGCACCCAAGAAGGGCTGCGCCATCATCAACGTCGGTGACTCGCTGCGTTTCGCCAGCGGGCACACTATGATGTCGTGCATCCACCGCGTCGTCCCGTTCAACCCCGAGGAGCACCGCTACTCCATCGCCTACTTCCTCCGCGCGGAGAACGAGACCATGTTCACCGACAGCGAGGGGAGATACGTCACCGCCGGCCAGTGGCACGACGAGAAGTTCTTCCTGTTCAAGGCCACCCCCGACATCCAGGCTCTGGCACCCCCTTCCATGCTGTACGGCGGTATGACTGCCGACGAGGAGTGGACCCCCTACGCCCAGCCCGTTGCCAAGGCCCACGAATCTGAAGTACCAGTCGATGGGCCGAAGCAAGCGCCTGTTGTGAAGGAGACTTTGGTTGAGGCTCACTAAGCGGCAAACCCCGAATGGAAGGGAGAGCACAACTTGTTATTCCCGTATCTGACGGTCCACTCTGAGACCTGATTGTGTGCTCTCATATCAATGTAAAGCATAGCCTATGAATTGAGAAATATTTGTGCCAATTGTAAATGAAAAGCAACGCATGATTTTTGTCAATTTGAACGCTTAATACTTATCGCTCGGCGACTGTGCTTGGAAACAGGGTGGAGTTTGAGACATTATGATTAAAAACCTGAAGCCCTCTACTTTGCTTTGATGAAGAATGTGGCGAACCGCATACAACTCCAACCAACGTTTTGATTCCAGACGCAAGACGGGAACAAAAGCGATTCTTCATACGCTTCTTCCATGTTTGTGTTGCCGGTAACATCATACTGAGCAAAGAGAAACGTATCAGGGACCTTGATGAACTCGAGCATCGGCATGAGCCTTGGGAGGTTTCTGAGCTTCAAATTTAGCTTTTCGGGACCATTTTAGGCGAACGCGGCCCTGTTCGGACCCCCTGTCCTGATCAGCAGCAACCCCTCAGTGCTCCCAGACAAGGGAGAGCAGACAAGGACATCGTCCGGAAGATGCTGGGGGAGGACTCGGTGCTTTGCGGTCTTTTCTCATCGGCTTTGAACCAGACAACCCGGCTTCAATCTCACTCTCGACTGTTGAACCTGATAGCAGAGTCATGGGCCGACTTACGCATGTGAAGAAGGATGACCTTCCCCCGTACACCCCTACCCCATCTGAAGAAGCCCTGCCCCCTGTGCGGATACCAGCTTTCCAACTATTACCCCGCAGATCGCGAACACTGCGCGTTTTCGGGCTATTGTGCCTCGCGTTCATCGTCTACGCGCAGTGGAGGCAGCTTACCCCTAAGGCCGCGATACCCGGGACAGGCTTCACGACTCACGGACTCTCCGTTGGAAAGTTGGAGGAGGATCTTGCAACATGCAGGAAGCTGCGCGACAAGCCTGTTGATCCGCCCGGTTATGGCAGGGCACGGAGTTCTCGGTATGTAGATGGCCACCGATCTACCATCATCAGAAACGCGAGCGTCTGGGTTGGGGAGCCAGTCGACGGCGCTGCAAGCTATACATGGGTCCAGGCCGATGTGTTCATTGAGCATGGCCTCATCAAACGTGTCACCAAAGACATCCCGATGTTTACCCTTCCGAGCGATGTCTTGGTCTACAACGCCGCCGGACGGCCGCTCACCAGTGGTATCATCGACATGCATAGCCATGCCGCGGTGCACTCGTTGCCGACACTGCACGGAAACGAGGACGTCAGCGAGCTGTCCGCAGACATCACACCTTATGTTCGGTCAATTGACGGTATCCAGCCGACAGATCATCAGCTCCAAGTGATCAAGTCCGGAGGCGTGACTACATCGTTGATACTGCCAGGGTCGAGCAACAATATCGGGGGCGAAGCCTACGTAATCAAGCACGCAATTGGTACCGCCGATGGACGAAACGAGACGAGCGTAATCGACATGCTGGCCGATCCGGACCGTTCCTGGCGTCACATGAAGATGGCTTGTGGTGAAAACTCCAAGCAGATCCATGGCAAAGCCGGCGAGCGTGGTCCTTACAGCCGCCTAGGAGAAAGCTGGGAATTCCGCCAGGCCTTTGAGCATGCCGCCAACATCGTGCGTGAGCAAGACGACTGGTGCAGTACGGCAGCCACGGGCCTGGAAAACGTTCAGGGATATCTGTCCAACGAGCTCAAGTGGGAGGCATTGGTCGCTGTGCTCAGGGGCCAAGTCCATGTCCATGCTCACTGCTACACCATTGCCGACCTTGAGGCGTTCGTCGACCATAGCAACGAGTTCAAATTTCCCATTCGTGCCTTTCATCATGCTCATCAGACGCACTTGGTCCCGGAGGTAACTCAACCAGATTGGCCCAGATTCATATGGATTCAAAAGATGGAAAGAATTGAGTTCATTCTGCTAACACGTCACATCCAGATTCTAAAACGGGCTTGGGGCAATAGCCCGCCTGCATCGGCTCTCTTCGCTGATAACATGTGGTACAAGGCCGAAGCCGCACTCGGCTCAGAGTATGCGGGCAAGCATCTGTACGATGCAGGCCTCACCCCGATCTACGTCAGTGATAACCCGGTTCTCAACGCGCAACATGTGGTATTCGAAGCTACAAAGGCCTACAAGTACGGCTTGCCGTACCACGCGGCACTTGCAGCAGTGACAACGGCGCCAGCTGAGAGGCTGGGGCTTGGCCAACGCCTGGGTAAGGTAAAGACAGGCTTTGATGCCGATGTCGTGGTCTGGGACAGTGATCCACTGAGCGTTGGGGCCACACCAGTCCAGGTATGGATCGATGGAACTGCCCAATACGAGAAACCTATCGAGCTCAACAAGGCGTTCCAAGGCGCCATCGTGCCGGATGAAAGTCTTGGCAGCATCGTCGCGGAAACAGTTATCTCGAGAGACGACGTTGTTTTCACGGGTATCTCTAAAATCCTCCACGAAGCCGAGCCTGATGGGTTCGCAAGCGACGGTAGGACATACAATATAGCCATATCCGGCGGCAAGATCGTTTGTGCTGGAAGCTGCACTGCCCAGCTGGAAAAAGCATCAACTGCTGATGGTGCAGTGATTCCCATCAAGAACGGGTACCTTGCGCCACCACTCACTGCCTTTGGCTCGACCATCGGGCTCAACGCCATCGATACCGAGCGAGACACGGACAATGGTGCGGACGGAGGTAGGTTTAGCCGTGGGATTGACGGCCTCGCCCTCGATACCGAGAAGCTTCGAGTAGCTCGGCGCTACGGAGTCACTCGTGCCATATCGGCCCCCAAATTCTCCGCCCTCGGAACGCATCACGGCACAAGCGCGGCATTCCTCACTGGTGCACAATCCGTTCTTGACCCTGGCTCCGTGCTTGCCCGCGACGCCGCCTTGCACTATACGCTTGATTCCTCTGCCAAACGCGGCATCGACGGACTTTCGTCAATGTCTGCTGCCGTCGGAGAGCTGCGTTACAAACTCCTCAAAGCGGTCACATCATCGGTTGCCGACGAGAAACTGGCTGTGGAGGACAGTCATTCCGAGGCTGCGTTTCTTCAAAGGGTCATCAAGGGTGACATGGCACTCGCCGTGACAGTACATAGCGCGGACATAATTGCGGCCTTGCTGAATATCAAGGCGGGTGTTGAAGAGGCAATCTCGCAGATCGCCAATGTCGGGGTCAAGCTTCGGTTCGTAATCAACGGAGGAGCTGAGGCTCACTTGGTGGCCGATGCACTGGCGGCCGCTGGTGTGGGTGTTGTGCTGGCGCCGATGCAATCGTTTGCGATGTCGTGGGACCAGCGAAGGGCTCTTACAGGCCCGCCTTTGACCAATGGCACGGCGATCGATGTGCTCACGCGGGCAGGAGTTGTCACTGCCATCGGTCTGGAAGAAGATTGGATTGTCCGGGATCTATCGTTACTGGCGGGCGTTGCATACAGGAATAGCGAAGGGCGCCTCACCGAACGGGACGCATTAGACCTCGCTGGCAGCAACATCCACAGGATGCTAGGTTTGAAAGAGGGTTCCGGAGAATCCCACTTTGTACTCTACGAAGGAAACCCGCTTGAAATTGGTTCGAGAGTCAAGGCGGTTGGTGACGGGACGGGGAGGTTGTTGGTTAGTTGATCACGGGTCAGTCTTAACAACACAACTCTCAATTTCTCACCATAGGGGCCAGGAATAAGTAGTTAAAACGGTTCATAGCCTCGGAAAAGGGGCTATGAGGCGAATAGGGTATATAAGGTGAAGGGGTTATATGGGGTACCTTTGAGACCTACAGTCCTATCCGGCTTATGAACCATGATGGGTACTGATAAGGACCCTATTGTGCAACGCAATTACTCGCGAGAAGCGTTCCCTATGGAGACGAACCTTTGAGCCGCTGCCGCCTTTCAGTATACGTTTATATGCCTCCGCGGCAACATGACTCGCTCCACAAACCACAGATCTGGCCCGTAAGCCAATATCCCTACAGATCCCTCATTCTCCGTGATGTGCTTACAATCGAAGAATACCAGGCGGTCCGAAAGATTTGCAAAATGACAGGCCCCGAGATCGCTGCCCTGTCACTCATACTATCTACATTAGGCTCTTTAGGACAGTGAACGGGGCATTGGAACAACGAAACAGCAAAGCAATCTTGGATACGGGAAATGTTAGGAATCATGAACCCTCGAGGGCATTTTCCCTGCCATGAATGTTGCGAGACTTGGAGCATTCGGCTCAATACCATCAGCAGCTTTGTAGTTCTTCAGCTGGGAATGCGTTGCCGTCCTGAAGCAAGCTAATAATCATCGACACGGAAGTTATCTGCCGACTTGCTTGTTAACTGCGGTGAAGAGCTTAGGCGTCCTCCCGCTGGGACCGTCGAGGTTTTGAGCGGATTTGAGCAGATTTACGATTCCCAATGCTACGCACCACCAAATGCCTGCCCCATTAGCAATGGTCACCCAGACATGGTTTCAGTACAGATAACCCCGAAAACAAGCCTTTTGGATTGGCCAGCACTTTCCGATTTGCAGGCGCTTCACGTGGAGGATGGGTCACTTGCGCATTTCGGGACCCTTGTGTCCCACAATGTTTGCAACAACAGACGCCTAGTGCCGTGGTATCCGCCCGAGGGGAGAAACTTGCTCTTGTCAGGTATCTGAAACGCGTTAATATTTGTTGCCATGGTTGGTTTTTGTTGAAATGCGCATTCACTTCCGGATACTCGACTTATTAAACGGACGAGAAGCCCTTCATATCCTCCCCAAACACAGCGACACGCAAACACGAAGACAACATATCAAGACCTCGAGACCACCGCCATCGAGATAAATCACGACGCCCCTCAGAAGAAGAAAACGAAAACGCCAAACAACCAGCCGAGAAAATGATGGACATGAATATGGGCGGATCGACCATGACATCCATGGCGATGCCAATGGCAACTTCAGCCGGTGCAGCTTCGGGAGACATGTCGAGCAGCAGCATGTCCATGTCGATGGCTGACATGACCATGACATTCTTCCAATCCGTAACAACGCCGCTCTACTCGGACGCGTGGATGCCAGGAAACAAAGGCCAATACGCCGGCAGCTGCATCTTCCTCATCATCCTCGGCTCCATTCTCCGCATACTCCTTGCCCTTAAGCCCGTACTGGAGGAGCGTCTCTCGAGGAATACGACCACGCACACCACCCAAGTCACCGAAAGTGCCAAGGATGCAGAGAGTGGCGAGGCCGGGAAAGCCGGTGTAGTCGTCAGGACAGACGTCGTTCAAGGATGGAAGGGGTGGCGGGCTGGCCCCGCGGCGGCAAGGGCCACATTCGAAGTCATTGTTGGGGGTATTGGTTACCTGCTGTGAGTTGACAGGCACCCCAATTTCTTATCCTCCCACGTACTAATATGTTATAGGATGCTGGCTGTCATGACGATGAATGTCGGGTACTTTCTCTCTGTTCTGGCCGGCATATGGCTGGGAACATTCCTTATCGGCGGCTTAGCCAGCAATGCCCCGGTCATTCACTGCTAGTTGACTTGGAAGAAGGATACGTTTTTCAATTTTTGACACCTATAAGATCATGTAACTATTTGTTTTTCAATAATCTTCAAGTATCTTTTTTATTCGAAATCGCTACGATATGTACCGAGAGTTCTCATACCAGTCCCACCTCCCTATAATTCATCCTTTGCGCCCGTTCATGCCCAGTGTCGTGATCCGCCTCATGGCTCCCCAATTCATGTTCAGATGAACGTTCCTCGTCATCATACTCGTGATGAACCTCCTCTTGGTTCCCTTCAATTTGTGGCAAAAGCCAACGCACACCAGTATATGCCGTACATTCAACACTCTCAATCGAATCAACAGCCATGCGCCTCCCATCCTTCCCGCTAATGGCGCCATAGAAGTATCTCCTGCCCAGTTCTTTGACCTTCTTCTCCCTGTCATCGGAACTCAATTTCGATAGACCCTCGAAGTCCTCCAACATCCTGCTTTCATTGATGTAGTACATGGCGCCCGCGATGCTACGAGGGTCAACTGGCATGTCAGGCCACTTGGTAAACAGACTGGCCACAAGTGTCGCCAGCATAAGCGCCAGGATCGAGATGCTAGCGACGGCACACATGTTATGGGTGGCAAGTGTCTGTGTAAGATTGTACGGAATGTTGGTGAGTAGAATAGGAAGAAACTCTGCTAAGATTGCCATGAACGCCGCAAGCATAAGGACAACATTGCCTTCGAGGATAGCAGCGTAGATTCCGTAAAAGCTGTTTGTAGGTCGGGTCAGGAGTATCGATGACTCAGGCTGCTGCGACTGGCGCTCCATGTGGTAGTATGGACTGATGATGGCGATGCCTAATAGTTCCCTGGTTAGCGACGAACCTTGCGTTGTCCACGGCAGTGTAGGAACAAACTTACTGACGAAGATGGATTCCCAGCAAAAGACTATAATGACTCCTAATGCCGAGAGGAAGAATCGGACACCCCAAGACTGACTGTCCGTTGCTTCTTGAAAGGAACTTCGAACCTGGAGTGTAACGTGATAATACACGACCAAGATGAACAGTGAAGCAAGGAAAAAGATGAAGCCCAATCGCCACCAGTACGTCAGCGCGATGAACGGAACAGGCTTGTGGAGCTTGTTTCCAACGTTGCGCTGATTTATTCCGTCTAGCTCGTCGTCGTTGGGCAGTGCACCGGACCCAGCTGCCTGCAAGTTCTGAGAGGAGTCATCGTAGTAAATGATACCGTACTCGTCCTTGCCCTGGCCGTTCTCGAAGTAGCCAAGCATGTATCTTTTCTCCGTCATGGCCTTTTCGCTGGCCTTGAAGTCGATTATCTGTGACCGGATGCTGGCGTTCCTAGCTAGTGACGATACCCCTGCAATACTCCAGGGGTTCGCGTGGAGGCCTGTCTCCCAGTTGCGTAGCAAATAGAGGAGCACAAGGAGTAGGGCGATGATGAACACAATCATGGCGACGAGTGCGTGAGCAGATAACGTGGATACGCCGAGCCGGATGCCACAGCCTTCAATGGCGGTGATTTTGCACGTCCCGTGAAGCTTCATGCCGATTGCTTCGGTAGCCAATGGTACCAGCAAGGCCGATGACCACAACATCAATGTCGTGATGAACGGTACCGGATGCCCCTGCATAAGGACCTTGAACGGTGTCAAAAAGCCCTCCCATCCATCAAACTGGAGAGTAAGACTGTTTTTTCCCAACGCGCCCCCCTCCTGCGCCATTGCAAAGAAGGGTTGGTATAGCTTCGCGTTGAGATCGATGATCCGCAGTGGAATGGTAATCGTGACGGCTAGGATAACCGGAAGAAACTTTCCGACAAAGTAGTCTCCGCCAGTGAAACCAACACGCTCGACTTTAGTGATGATATTTTCGGCAGAGCCTGTTATTGTTGGGCTAGAGACAGAAGTGAATGTCACTGTCGATGCCATTATCGTTGACAGGCGGGTAGTTGGGCGGGGTGTTGAGGTGATTGTGCTAAGCTTGCCCGAGATCGACGTAACCAAAGTTATCGGCACCGGAGTCGATACGATGGTGCTCACGCTTCCACCGATAGTTGTTATGACAGTAAATAACATCGGCATGGTGCCTGTGGGCGTGGTGATGACCTCAACCGTTGTCGGCGTCCCCCCAACGACCGAAGTGTACTCCCTTGGGGCCGGTGTTCGCACTATCGTGGTTTCCTTCCCGTCGATCACGGTTCTGACAGTCTCCGGCGGATCGGTAGTCGTAAAGACGCTGGTGCTGCCGCCCACTTGAGAAACGAGGGTGAGCGATACTGGTCTGAATGCCCCAATCGTAGATTCAACCGCCAGGAGTGTGGTTTTCCCCGAAATGATGGTAGGGACAGCGACTAACGCTACGTCCAGGGACGGGGTCACTGTGATGACCATTTCAGCTTCCTGCCCGCCGTTTCTCGTCACAACAGTCACTGGTGGAGGGGTGAACACCGCAGTAAAAACACCTCCGTCGGTGACTACGAGCCTTTGGGGTGCACCAGTCTCAACAACTGTCACGATCTTTTGGTCGAAGACGCTGGTGATGACATGGGTGACTGGAGTCGGGTTAGCGTTCTGCTGTTCCCCGGAGTCTCTACTGATGGTGGACACTATTGTTATCTCCGTGGTCCCGACTGACACATACACCACGGCAGGCCCTGTCGATGTGGCTATGGTAGCGATGGTGGTTGGTATGGCAGTGACAACGACAGATGTATAGAAGCCTGTCGATAGTGGCACATCCTCATCACCACCCGGAGTCTGCTCTGGAAACTCGGTCGTTACCTCGATGACGGTTCCTGGAGTTACCACGACGGCCGAGGTTACCATGCGGGTCGTCATTTGGGTGGTTGTCAGGGAGGAGCCTGCAGGACCATCGCTGATAGGAATGACTCGGGTTGTGGTCATAGGCAAGCTCATGGTTGTCATGAAGCTGGTGCCCACCTCTGTTCTCGTTGTTGTCCGGGTGATTGCGCTTGGGGTGGCTGGATACGTGCCGGTCCCGTCAGAGAACGTTGTTGGGATGAGGGTCGTGAACGTCGAGGACACGAATGATGTGTAGTTGGTGCTGTACGTGACCGTGGAACCGTTACTCGTCAGAGTTGAGGTGAACGTCGACTTGCTTATCAACATCACCTCATCGCTGCTGGTGGGCTTCCGCGTGGTGCTCATAGATGTAGATGACAGGGTCGAAGTTGTGGACAAGGTGGTAGTTCCAGTACCCGGCGCCTTGCGCTGGTCTGTCAGGCCTGGTGGGGACACCACAGCACTCCTCGCCCCGGACACTGTGGATATAGATGCTGAGGAGCCCTTCATTTGCCTCACATCCTCTGACTCTGAGGCGGTGATGAGGGACTGGGTCGAAGCATCCGAGCCATTGATAACGCTCGAAGACGGTTTCTCTGACCCCTCCGAAGATGGAATGGGTATTGAAGCCTGGCTCGTTACCCCGGTACTTGTATATGATGTTTTCTCATCTACCTTGCTTGTAATTGACGGCCGAGAAGAAGATGCGCCCGAAGTTCGCTCCGATATTACCGTTGCGATCGGGGTACCTGTTTTCTCAGCAGGGCTGCTCGATAAAATGATTGCCGACGTCGATTTGTTAGGAATGACTACGGAGTCCGGGGACGAAGCAGCCTGCTGCGTGTTGGCTTTAGATGCAGGCTGCGCTTGAGTCAATGATGAGGATGGAGGCTGCTTCTGCTCCGACGTTGTGGAGAGCTCTCCGTTGCCGGAAGAAACGACGCTGACTTGAGAATTAAACGCCTTCGGTTCAGGCTTTGAAGACGGCGATGGCTCCGCGACCGAGGACCCAGAGCTCGGCTGTTGTCGTGGTTGTATGACGTGGCGAGGCAGGATGGTCGCCGTGCTGTCGGAGTTGGGCATCGTCTCACAAGCGTACACCACCAGAGCCATCATTACAGTCAGAATGACAATGACGCAAACGATGAAGGGCCATTGTAGCGGTTTCGGTCGGTAGTTTGGTCTTTCTGGGATCGGGGGAGGGATCTTCTCCAACTCGTAGTGTTCATCCTCATCGTCGTCGTCGGCCGTGGCCTGCAAGTTGTACTGCGCCCGCGACTCAAAGGTGGACTGGTCAGCCGGGGGTGGTTGGTGCATCTTTTCCGCCGTTCTGGATCAAGGCATACCCAATAGTAGTCCGGATGCTGTGCTCTCCAACAGTCGTTATGGATACAGCCAAGAAGATCGCCAGGCTCAGGCTCAAAATATCCTCTACCTCTCCGTGGTCAGGGGAGCGTTCATCTTTTGAGGCGCAGGCATGACAAGCCTCCTGTCTATATCCGTCGTGCGACTAGTTTCCTTCTACTCGCTAGCCCAAGAACCAGACGCCACAAACCTCGGGGCTGCAGTCGTTCTGAGACATCCGGACAACAGCCAGAGAATGCCGGAGCCATCACATCACAGTGAAAAGATGGTTCGCCGTTTTCCGGTGTTCTAGCCACGATGGCTGTCAGGGAGGCCGCTTGACCTCTCTTGGGCCATGTCTCTTGCATGTCGTCCCGTGAAACTGGGACCAATGAGTGCCGCTAGCTTGTGTAATAGCGCTGTTGGCTCTCAGCCGAGGGACGCCATCTTGTCGACGCCAGTCAGGATAAGGACTAGGGTATCAAGAGAGCTGAGACCCGGCGTCGTTGGCTCACAGGCTCGAATGCCCCTGCTTTCAGAAACGCTGGGTACCGTCATATGATGTAGTAGCTATTATCCTCTTCGTGTTTCGCCTTTTCAACAAGCTCGAGCCTTGAGGCCAGTATTGAGGTAAACAATGGGTAGATGTCGATGAAACTCCATCCCAATGAGGCAGTGAATTTGGTCGAATGTTCGTACACGTAAGACAGGTTGAGTGATGGAACCGAGCTGGGATAAAATTGAAAATGATATGTCCGGGAGCTGAGCTCAAATGCCGGCGCTTAAGCACCACCAGGCACCAACGCCAATGAAAGGGGCAGGGAATGAATTACACCGCATCGGAGTCGGTACAGTAGGGCTGACTGAAGTCGGCCAGGCCCTAGGAAGGATTAGCGACTCGTGGTAGGACAAATCATCATAGCCATGCCGGAAAGCCCGCTGTTTTAAGTCTGCATGCGGCCTACACCGACATACATGATGCAACAGCTAACTTGGTGTTACCCGGCCATCACGGCCATGGGTTCAGACTCTTCGATTTTCAAGACTTCTGCGTTTTAGCGTTCAATGTGTACCTCCGTCGTCCTCATGATGCCCCTGCTCCCCGGAGTCCTACTGTCCGTGTCTAGGATCATCTCCTCGCTCCCTGACCTATCTTCCAGACTGTTCTTCCGGTACACCGACACAGCTCCCAGTCGGCTTTTGCCCCTGATGCTCTCCTGGCGACGAGTGTCTGCGCTCTGCGAGAACGTCCCTTCTTCGAGCTCAAATTCTGGCGCGCTCTGGCTGCTCTGCTCCATATATCCCTGTCTCTTGGCGCTCGCGGTGATTATCACAGTTCTACCGGTTGGGCCAGTCGGGTATCGGTTCTCGTATAGGTTGGCGTTATTATAGAGGCGGCCCGAGTTTAACTTCAGGGCGCGGCCGACGAGGGGCCTCAATGATGGCGCGCAAGCGGCGATGATGCCGAGATTTAGCTGGAGGCTGGGAAACGGCAATGTTAGTTGACGCCGTTGCAGCAAGGCCTCAGCCGGTGTGGTACTTACAAGCCCCAGAATTGTATACTTTGGAGGCTGTTGTTTCATTGTTATCAGCCTGTACTCTTCTCGTATTCTCTTTGACGACTTACAAGGTGCTGTCTTTGTTGTTTGGTTGGGCAATCTGGAAGAAAGCTTTGACGATTCCCATAATAACAGCTCTGATAGCTTATTAGTCCAGAACCCCAAAATATTGGGACGAGCTAGTTGACTTACAAATAGCCAAGACTCAAAATACCGACTAGATAGATTCGGGTGCGCAACTTCATCTGCAGCACCCAAATGATGGGGATGGGAAGAGTAGCAAAGCAAACATCAGTGAAAATGTTGAAAGCTACTCTCTGGTTAGAGATAACGGCAGGCGGCTATGGAGTCAAGAATTATTACATACAGGTATTGACAAGAGCAAAGTTGATGAACAACTTGAGGGGGTAGCACTTGGGCTTCAAACTCCTGTCCCAATAACCCTCCATTGGTGTGCAGTACAGGAAGAAGCTTAACCAAGCCATGATCGTATACAGAATGACAAAAGCTGGGCGTTTGTCAACAAACCTCACGCAAGACATCAGCCTCTACCGTTATAAGCTCATGGACTTACCGATCAGTGCCCATAAGGCTCGTGAATACCATTTGTTCTTGCTTAGTCGAAGCAAAGACATGGCAATAGATATCTTGAGGAGTGCCAGCGCGGCGATGGCGGAAATGATGGACTGGAAAAACCCGACTTTCAGGAAGAGGATATTATCTACCTTGCTAATGGTGTCCTTGTGTTTGCCGAGGCCGTAAAACGATTGGACGATAAAAACGACCATTCCTCCACCAAGAGCACACAGCTTGTAGAGTCAGCACGAGAATCACGCTTTGGCCTACAGAAGGCGCCATACCGCAGACATAATAATCACGTAGTCGTCGATGCCCATTGACTTGACGATGAGGACGCGTGTATATGTGCGGAGACCGACGAAGAGGAGAGCGAGCGCGTGGAAAAACCCCGTCACGGCCAGGATCATTTCAGTGTTGCTCTCCTTGGCACGCGCCGGGTCGACGTTCGTGGTCGAAGACATGGCGGCAAGCAGCAGTAACGCCTGCAGCGATGATGGCGCGCGTGTACGAGAGAGTGAGGTCGTAAAAGAGTCATAAAGTTCACAAGAACGGGCATAAAGCCCAACGCGAGGATCTCCGGAATCTTTTTAACAGTCTCCGGGACCGTTCTCGTCTTGAGAATGGGGAAACTCATCTAACTGCAGAGACCAGGTCGATCCAGCCCAGGGGAGCACCACATCACGCAGTGACGGACTTCCAGGGCTCGTGAGGGGAAACCGTTGACCAAAACCGGTTAAAATGAGCACGGAATCATTGGACGACAGCCAAACCTAAGCGGCGTTCATCATGGCTGTTCCAACCCGTCTCAGGAAGGTGCGACAATCTCCACTGCAACGTTATATGCGTTACTATGCAGGGAAGCACATCCATCCCAACACGCGTATTTCCCTGCGAGTTCCGTAGCAGATGAGGCCAGTCTTTCGCCCGTCTCGAAAGCTTCTAGCGAGAATTCGTCTTGTTCACTGTGGAGCACTGCGTAAAAAATCTGTAGCGTTTGACACAAGCGTGCGCCGCTAGTCTGTCGAGTGGGCTTCGCAAATATGTAGTCTTCCCACATGGCCCGGCCGACTATGGAGACGCAACCGGTTCGCGAGAGCATCACATATGCCAATTGACCTGATACAAAGTGTGCTGCTCATAAGACCGTTCCGCCTACAACAAAAGGCAGGCTCTTGCAATCCCGGTTCTGTGACAATTCATTACAGCCGCTCTCGGCATCCTGGGCATTGGCTGGGGTTCTACGCATTGTAAGCAGTAACGGGCGGAAAGCTCGGCATGAGAACCGAAAGGGGAATCGTCAGCCGCGTTCCTGACCAAGGACACCGGTGGCGCTAAAGAAGTAATGCGGAAATCGACCACCCGTTGGCGGTTGACGGTCACCGATCAATCAATCGTCTGGGATTCCAAGGTACCGAGCAGTCGGGAGAATTCCGGTCTGATCATCCGGGAAGAAGGGAAGAAAAGACCCATAGGCACACAAAGAGTGGGAACAGTGGGAACAGTGGGAACAGTGAGAAACATGGCGGGAACTCGGAAAGCGCAGAACCCAGTCAGTCATGGATCAGTTGGTGACACTGGAGGCTCGGGTGGACTCGGTGGGATCTGACTATGGCTGATGGACGCCACCTTGTCAACCTCGCGTGTCTTATTAATAAGTCCATATTGCTCTCATGCTGCGTCCGAATTCAGAGCCTCTACCTAGAGTCCTTGAAGCTGACCCGCGGGGCAACGGAACACAGCAAATTCTTCACGTTAGCCTGCAGAAAACGCCCGTCAAGTTGCAGCCAAACCGCAATCCATCACCAGTATTCCGTCTTCCCCGGTGCTAGTTGCCGTTTAATTTCCGTCATCTCCAAGCGATGGTGACGGAACACATATCCCCTGTCACCATCCCCTGTCTACCATCTATCAGCCCTGCCCATCCCGAGAGAAAAGGCTGCCTTTCCTGGCTGCCTAGCCCGGCGTTATGGGTTCTGCATCTGGTCTATCGAACGCCCTCCCCCCCTACGAATATCCGTCATACGAAAACGTTCGATTTTCTGGCCTTCTCCCTACCTTGACACCCGCTTTTTCGCCCCCAGAAAGGGGGGTCTTCCGCCATGTGTTCCACATATCGAGGGCTTCCCTCCCGCTTAGTCCGGTTATCACGCCCGCTCCAAGGACCCAGAGTCCTGCAGGAATTAGCCATAGCCACTAGTCTACCGTTAACGGTGCAATCTCAATCTAATCATAACGTCGGATAGCCGTCCATATATTAGTTAACGAGACGTGTCTAGAAGTCGTCTTTTGACGAAGGTTCTAGGGACACCCATCTGTCTCAGCCTCCCACATAGACTCGCTTCTCGGCTCCTCTGTCAGGCAGATCCCGTACCGCAAATCTCACTTGCTGCCGATGTAACTTGGGTCACATTTCTTCTCTACCGAATTTCCCTTTTTGATCCTTCCACCACTTACCCCGCGGTCTCCTCACTCCCGAACAAGCTCTGAACCACCAATCATGTATCCCATGACAGTAATGGCTGCGGCCTTTGGCCTGTTGAGTGCGACGGTGATCGCAGCTCCCGTTGAGCCCGCTGAAACCTACGATCTTCTGGCGGACCTCACCAAGCAGGCCATGGACGCCCTCACGGAGTCTGGTGCCGGCAGCAAGCGAAGTGACTGCAATATCTTCAACGCTCGTTACCGCCGGGATTGGTTAGCTACCCCCTATCAAGCTATGTCGACTGCTAGTTCCTAGTGGGACCCGGTGGAAAGTTAACATGATCTTTTGCATAGGGCTTCATTGTCTTCCACGGAGAAGAAGGAATATATCAGCGCCGTCCAGTGCATGTTGACGTCGCCGTCCAAGTCAGACCCTGCGTTCGCCCCGGGTGCCCGCAATCGCTATGACGACTTTGTCGCCGTGCACATCAACCAGACCGTTCAGATACACGGAACCGTAAGTCGTGCCAAAAGCAGACTCAAACTCCGCCTCTAATCTGACATTCCAATCCAGGGCAACTTCCTAACATGGCACCGCTACTTCGTCCACTCCTACGAAGAAGCTCTGCGCAATGAGTGTGGCTACAAGGGAGCCCAGCCTGTAGGTGAAATCTGTAGCTAGCAGAAGAGAATCTTCATACAAGTTCTAACCGTCTTACCACAGTACTGGAACTGGATGAAGAACCAGGACGATCTTACCGAATCCCCTGTTTTCGATGGGAGTGAAACCAGCATGAGCGGCGACGGCGTCTTCGTCGAGCACAACGGCAGCGTCGGCGGCGCCGGTGCCATCCCCTTGCCGTCCGGCAACGGCGGCGGTTGCATTGCCAGCGGCCCTTTCAAGAAGTAAGCTTCAATCTGCAGTATAAATTTAGCCTTGTGTTTGTCGTTGACTGACCTCTCAATAACAGCATGACCGTCAACCTGGGACCCGTCAACCCCGGCATGGACGGTCTCAAGGCCAGCCCCAACGGCAGACTCGGCCACAACCCTCGCTGCCTCACCCGCGACCTGAGCAGCTACGTCGCGAAGAACTGGTTCACCAACCAAAACCTGTTCAATATCACCCTCGGCCAAGCATCCCGGAGCATCGAGCTCTTCCAGAACGAGTTGCAGGGCCGCTTCTCCGACGGGTTTCTCGGCATGCACGCCGCCGGCCACTTCGCCGTCAACGGAGACGCCAGCGACCTGTTCTCCTCTGTCGTCGATCCCAGCTTCTTCCTACACCATGCTATGGTCGACCGCGTGTACTGGCTGTGGCAGGTCCTTCACTTGGGGGGGATAGCCTCCGATATTGCCGGCACAATCACCATCAACAACAACCCCCCTAGCCGAAACGCCCTCAAGACTGATATCCTCAACATGGGTGTGACCGCCGCGAGCGCCACCATCGGCGATGTGCTGGATACCCTGAGCGGTTCTCCTCTGTGCTACCTCTACGCGTAACGACGTGATCTCTGAGAAACTGAAACATGTTGATAATGACTTAGCCTGCCGTTACGATGATTCTTCTCTTGTATATATTGTATCGCTTTGTTCATACCTTCGCGGCAGTGGAAAGCGGCCTACAACCACAAACACGATTGGGGTGATCGGAATTAAAACGAAAGTAATTTAAAGCGTAGTTGTCTCTTTTGAATTGACTCCAGCTCTCGAGTGCTTTGAAATGGTCCTAGATTTCGGAAATTAAATGGGGCTTGTACTACACAGGACCCTGTCCCGTTGCTAAAGATGAAGATGGGTCCCCACGGCTCAAGCTGCTGTCGTTCAGTAAACTCTTGGTTGGTATTGCCATATGATCTGAATAGGACATTTCTGTTGGCATGGCTAGAATCTTTGATTAAAATAGTATAACGCTTTTACCTAATGTCGTGGGTTTGGTCCGCAAGGACGTGCTTTGACCAACTTTTTATCTTGGACTAGAAAGATTTTAGCTGACCACCGATCCTCAATTTATTTGACTGATTTTTCTCGCTCCTGTTTTCCAAGCTCTCATACTTCTAAGGGCAAGCCTTTTCTCTTGCAGCATGTCGATTCTTTACCCCATTCTTGGCTTTGAATCGCTCATGACTACCACAATATTGCATGACCCCAAGATGGTCGAGGTACCGAATGATCGCGAATATTTCTTCATGGGCATCTGTCAAAAATCCGAGCCGGCATATCGGCGGAGTAAGGAGTCCTTTAAAAGTCGGTCCATGGCATCTTGCTTTATACACAGACTAACATCGAAGTCCCCCGTGTCCCCGACGTCCATGACTTGAACCAAGCCGTCAATCTTGGGCATAACTCCTTGGGCATATCTTGCTAGATCTCCTGTTCCCAAAAAGTCGACTTCGTAAGTCCTGGCCTTGACCCAAGAAGTGACCAGAGTGTGGTGGGATCCCAGAAAGGCTTGCCACAGGCGCTGAGGACTGACCTCCTGGGCGGCATCATGGATGTAAGCAGCCACAGCATCGGGCGTGAATCGAGACATCATTTGCCTAATGGCACCGGCAGCGGATCCTAGTTCTTGTGTGGCCGCATCGTCGCCAGTTTTCTCAATGTACCCTAGTAAGAGTGGAGAGCCTACAAAGTTGCCGGGAAGTGGCAGGCTGACGCGGTTTCGGAGCCCGAGGGTGATGTCCATATAAACACTCTCTTCGTGTCCCTGATGGCCACGAGCGCGGTTGATCAAAGTCCAGATATGCCCCAGCGCAGCATCAAGTCTGGAAATGCGGAGAGATTTGAGATTATCAGGAAGACTCGCCTGGGCAGCATCCTTCATCCGTGCCAACTCGTCGGCGGTGAAACGGATCTGGGCGTGATCCACTGTTGCGCCCATGTCCCACGTCTCCCAGGGCGGGAACGTTGATGGGCTCAACTCAATCCTGCTCAGTTCATCTGGTGGGGGCATAGTCGCCTGTGAGTTGATCTTGACAGCTACCGGAAATCCCGGTGCTTCTTCCGCCCACCAGTCGAAGCGATGCATAGGTAGCGACCGGGCCTTTGCAATCTTTTCCGGGTCAGGTGAACTTCCGTGACGTAGTCCAGCGACCTTATCCAGCTGGGATGGATCGAATACCGGCTTCAGAAGCTCGAGACCACTCGACCCAGCTTCTTCGCCGAGAATCATCCTCGATCGCGCCGCCCACGAGTGCATGAAGTTCACCAGAGTGATGGCGTCCGCGAGGGTGTGCGAGATCTTTGCGCTGATGCCAAAACCGCCGCATTTGAATGTCGTCAACTGCACGGCCATCGCGGGAAAACCATCGATAGCGTCCAGGGACATCAGCGCGATCTTCGTAGGCGGTAGGAAGTCGCTTTGTGGAAAACCTGAGGCTATCCATTCCTTCAACTGAGCTGCTCTTTCATCCCGGCTAGGAATGACGCAGTCGAGATTCACGTCGTATTTGACAAACGACCAACTCGACCCCAGGATCATCAGAGGTGCCGTGAACCACCACGGGCCGACCGAGATGTCGGGAACAACGTCATCTTTGACGAGATCCTCAGTGGCCCATTGAATCTGGCCGGCGAAATGAGGGTAATCCACCAGTGTTTGACTGAGTGCATGAGTTATTGTATTGAATAGATCGTTTGGCGATTGTCTTGTAATTTTTGGTTTATCATAGAGCCATATTGCTGCTGTCGGGGTGAAACGCGCAACGGTTGCATCGATTACGGATAATTTGGAGGTTGTGGGCGACTTTACTTGTCTCTTTGGGAACACTCTTCGATTAACTTCGATATGATGAATTGCCGGGTCCGCAGCCAAGATTGGCGCCATTGTCTGTTCTCCTTGGATGTGTTTACGACAGCGGCATGTAGGTGAGGAATCGGAGGCAATTGAAAGACTATTGATGACTTGGTAAGATGTATTAAGAAGTGTTATATATATAGCTCGAACTTCTCGGATTCTTGAACCGCACAGGCCGGGGAACGGCAAGGATTTCTTTCCAGGTTCAGGGGAACAGTCATTCGGCCCCGTTATGAATCATTCTGTATCATCCTCTCTCGGAAGGAGCCGAACCCTGTCTAAGCCCACTGATACTTTAATCAGGTAACTGGGGGTTTACATCAGCCTCCAAATGGAACAATCAGATCAGCGATTTCCTTTCAGGGCAAAGCAGGATGGCTTGAAGAAACAAAATAACCCGCTACCCAGTATGTTTACAACATGCATCTCTTCAGTGAGGGATTCCGACCGAATAGCCACCTGCGGCGCAGCCAGAAAAGCGCAGGCAAACCACCATACGGACAACAGTTATGTCGAATGGTAAGGTATACCGTGCAACAACGAGTCAGCAGTCGATCATGTTGGCGGTGAGTTCAGAACCACAGGAGACGCAATGCCCCTACCACCACAGGCTGGCAACATCTCGCCTGTATGACGTGCTAGATTGTGACATGGGAAGCGGGAGAGAGGGCCCGATTCCTCCTTGCCGTCGATGGCTCTAGAGAGGGCTTTGCTACCTCTCTTGAGACCATGAACTCACTCACTAACAGGCTAACATGATGGCTTGGCTGATGCGTAACGCACACCTTCTCCGGCAACGTGTGGCAATAGGGTAGCTTGTCAGCCAGATGCGCCGCGATTTCGTCCGGAACCAGAGACGAGAAGACTGGGCTTTCGAGCAAGTTACCAATATAAAGCCACAGCTGCGAGAGATCTTGAGGAAGTTGAACCCGGTCACTCTCCAGGAAATGGCTGCCACGTTCCCGTGGCCAACGAAAGAGATGGCTGGGGCCGAGCTGCTACCTGAGAGGTCCGTCGTAGATGCTTGCTTGGGACAGGAGGGTACCAGGCAAAAAGACTCACCGAAGCTGGAGAAGCAGAAAAGACAAAGAAGGAAGACAAGAAGAGGAGGAGTACAGATAGTTTGTTGTCCGTAGCAAAGATTTTACCCGCTTTCCTGGCTAGCTTGACCACTAAAGCCAGGCTGGTGTCCTAAAGAACGTTCTGGCGTGCTTTCAGCTTCGGTAGATCTCAACAAACGGTTCAGTGATTATGGATAGTACCAATTATTTACAGTCGGAAGAAGGATATCAGGATATGGTTGTATGGCATTGTGGCATCAGGGAGTATCTGGATTATGGGACATATATTTACCTAGCTAGCTGGGGCACACGGGGCGCTCATCATGATCATGATTTATTCATAACATTGAATAGCGTGCCAGTGGTTCAGTTAGCCAGTTGACGACAGGATTTATTTTGTGCTTTGTATTCTAGGAAATCTGATTTTGCAACAAAAGTACCGAACAACTCTGAATAAAGTCCTTTTAAAACCGAACAAGCGGCGACCAAACCTGGCAAACTCCTTTCCAAAATAATTCATTTACAACCCACAGGTTGCAATAAATTACTCAACAATCTTCTTATCAATATTGTGCAAATGCAATGGGAACTTACACCGACAACTTGTCCCGTTGCAGTCATCTCGAGGGCACTGATGACCAAGCAGGCAATTGGGATCGTTGCAGTTCAGACCAGAAGGGCAGTATGACTGGCGGGCAACGGCCCGAAGTGCTTCCAACTCTTTTGGACTCGGGGATTGTCCATGCTCATAACTGCATCGCCCCAACGTCTCTTTGTAGGGACACCTGCCGGTCAGATGGAAACTGTTGCACATCCTTTTTTGCTGCATGATGAAAAAGTCGTGCTGTGAATAACTGACCCGGGGGTCGACACGCTGGCCAGCCTTGTTCCGGTATACTCCCCTGATGGGCAGGGCCAAGACGCTCATCGAACGATGAGGCTGAGACGAGATTTGAGCCGAAGATGACAAGACAGGCTTTGCGGCTGCCGAGGCGTAATCCGATGACGGAGTTGGAGGAGGCGTGGTGTGGTCCGGTACCTTTCGCTTGATGTTGATGAGCTTCTTTCGTCTGAAAACTTTGTCAAAAGAAGCGACACGAAATCGATCGCTGATTCCAGACAGCTCTTTTGCAAAAGGAGGTCCCTCGATCAGAATGACCTTCTTCGGAACCTCATCGGTCTCGAGGTGAGACCCCAAAAGACGGGCGTATCCGCTATCAGCCGAGGCACCGAACAAAACATGCCGGCAATGTACGTCGGCTACGCCAAACTCAAAGTTTCCTGCACAGCATTAGTCTCTGGTATCGGTTATGTGAACCTAGAAGTCATTACCTTTCATCTTCTCGTCGGCGCACTCTTTACCATTTCCCGCATCCACAAATTCGCACATTGCATTCGTCATGTTGAAGCCTCTGACAAACTCGGAAAGGACACCCGGATCACGAATTGTGCCCATTTCTGTGTAAGTCTTCGCTAGACCCTGCATATTGGCGAAGACACGAACGACAAATTGCAGGTGATGGGGTAGAGAAGGATCAACCGACTTCAACTCTGAGGCCACCGCCTGTCTAAGAGACCTTACTGCGTTCTTGCCTCCCTCTAAGCCTTGCTCAATGAGGTCGTCCATGAACTGTGAGAAGTAAATAATGCTAGCCACACAAATCCACTTGCAGGGTATACGTACTGGCATGCAATCGCCATCAATTAGAACTAAAGCAAAGCAGTGTTTGTCCTTGCGAAGTCAACACTTGTAGGGTACCAGGGAATCGGGAACGGATTTTACCTTCGCCGTTTGCAACAGATCAACTTGCTCCTTGTGACTGTTGACGGTGTCACACATCGATCTGAAAAGCAAACTCTTGTCTTTGAGCTCTAACTCAGCCTCGGACAGCTTGTCGGTGAGTTCTTTGATGTGAATGAATAAATCCTAAGCGGGGATAATCAAAACCACAGTCGATTGAAACCGGTTATGTTAGCTTACCGAAATGAGAGATGTCTTCTGGTCATCTTGCGCTTTGCAAAGCCTCCATCTATCCTCTAGCGATGGCAACTGAAAGTCAATGTTCGTCATCTTCGGACGATGCAGCTTGATGTTCCGGGGTTCAAGTGATGCGACAGCCAAGTCAATCACAGAATGACAATGGAAAAATAGACAACGCTATCGGGAAATGCGATGCCTTTTCAACTGCAGCTCCCCTCTGCAATCATATGTGAGAGGCAGCCTCGAAGACCATAGACGCCCAAGGCAAACTGGTTGGGCTGTACAACATACAGGCCAGCGAATGAACAAAAAGGAGATCGTGGCCAGACTTTTGAGGCCTGAGCCTGACCAACAGCACTGCCACATATGTTCACACTCCCCATTTTGGGGCTGGCTGCATGTTGACCGACATGCGGCCGCCCACCAACGGTTGGTTGTGCAATCTTGTCGAGGTCTGCCTTATGTTGGAACGGTCTTGTATGCAAAAGAGCTTGCCGCCAAACTTTGTACTAGGATAATGTGCTGGAATCCTGGCCGTGCATCATGAACCGGCCGGAACTGCAGACCACTTAATTATGGCTCAATCATGCTACAGATAGCGACAAGACTTTGCTTGTTATTTTTTCTCATTTTCAGGCCGCTCAATGTGTGACCGACTTGTTGGTTGGTCCGTCATTTCATTCGCTGATCTAGTGGAAAGTCGAAAAAACTCTGGTTTACTTGGCTGCTGATCCTTTCTTGTAGCAGGTAAGGCAGACGGATCATCTTGAATACTTGATGTTGGATCCTCGACCGGTGTTTGATTTGTACCTGTTACCTCACTGCCAATTGACCAGTGAAGTAGTTTGACGCGGACATGTTGAGCTATAGAGAATGTTGGCATGTATTCGAAGGATTATATCAACTCCTTGGATTATTCTCCAGTCTGGTAGCGTTCTTTCAGGGCCCATCTCTTGCCTTTTGCAGTTATCATGGACACTGTTCACTTACGACAGGAAAGACAGTTTGGTCTTCAAAGTTTCAGTTCCGAATCATATAGACAAAGAAAAGTAACAAAAATGGAGAAGGACTAGCTGAGATTAGCAAAACGCCGGTTGATGATAAGACAAGCCTAATAATGGCCATCGACCCTTAGGCCAGGTTGACCGCGGGTTGATTGACTCAGGTTCGGCTCGAAGCTCCGAGTTTCGGAGCTATCATATCATGCAATGTTTCGGGAATGGTGTCTATTTACCACATTGTACTCTCAGTAAAACTTCTAGAAGAAAATAAGAGATGACTCAACTACATGTTCCCCGGCAAGATGCACGAATATTGCTTTAGGACCTCACTATGTGAGACAATCAGAAAAAACGGATCCGAGTCCGGTAAAAGATTACGGCTTTTGGTTGCCTCCAATCCGACCGACCTCGGGGCCAGCGATCTCGGCTTTCTTTCCGTCCGCCGCCAAATCGGCGCCGATACAAAGGAATCCATTGCATTTGATGACCCCCACGCTTCGCCCGAGCGCCCGTCTCATTGCCGGCGTTTTTCATTGATTGCACATAGACTACGGAGTATATGCCGTAGCTACGTAGCTACGGCACTATACCTCTATGCCGAACGCTACACCACGTTAGATAAGGGAGCCGCAGCTTCTGTGGAGCATGAGAAGTCGTCCTTGTCCAATATCATGCCTGATTTCAACCCGAAGTGGAGGGCACAAGACGCAAAAAGTTGCAGGTTTTCCCCGCTGCGGAGATGCTCCGCTAGCACAGATTTCCGAAGATAGGGTCCGAGGAAACTTCGGAAGGCTGGCCTTTCCTCTAGGAATCGTGGACAATACCGTGATAGCCATAAGCTCTGCCTTCGTTAATAGGGAGGCATAGTTTAGATTATGTTGCGTTCCTTGCAAGGTACTTCACTGACTTTTATGACAAGCTGTGCGTGACTATCGTTGTGCACCTGTGCGACCCTACGGGGTGGCGACCGCCCTATATGTGTACCTTGATACCATGACAGCAGTATCTTTGGTGCGTCGCATAGGTAACCTATACGGTGTAATGAGTGCCCGACTTCGGATCCGCAAAGCCATGTGGGTATTATGCGGCCGAGTTTTCGCCAACTGCCTCACGCTTATATACAGACATTGCCCCCTCAGCTCCGGATCAGTTCAAGATTGGTTGTTCGCTTGGTGGACACATATTTATCGCCAATACCCGTTTCTTTCCTATCTCGTTGGTTGTCTATTCGCTCACGTCAAAGCCATTTAATTGAACTCCAGTTGTTAATACAGCAAAACACATGCAGTACTGTGGCTTCTGTCTCATGTTGGAAGCGAAGTCTTCCTCGGTCCGCTCATCATGTCTGAACACACATTATCGGAAGTGCCCACAAGGAAAGACGAACTGCCGCCAGACTTATTGGCGTTAAAAACATCCAACGCCGAGAAGGGCGTCAACATCATTGCGCAGACCCCCAGCCGACCGTACTCTTATCGTGAGGATGAGACAGTGTACGACCGCTTCACAACCGCCCACAAGGCATTGATCACAGCCATCGTGTCATTTGGCGGTCTCGCCATCAACCTGGCGGCCCTCCTAGTTCTATCAGCCTTGCCTGAGATATCGGCTGCTTTCAACACATCAGGAACCGTCATCAACTTTTCAAATGCCCTCTTCCTGTTGATGATGGGCATTGGTGTTCTTTTTTGGGGGCCACTATCACAGGTGTATGGCAGAAAATGGGTAAGATTTCCGCCTTTCTTTACCATAGCTGCAGCCAAAATCTTGGGCATCTGTGTTCGTTTGCTCTCACTAAGTCAGTCAAACTAAATGTTCTAGATCTTTGTTACATCGGCAGTCTTATTCTGCGCCTTCTCGTTTGCGACTGGGGTTTCTCCCAACCTTCCAGCTTTCTTCATCTTCCGGTCAATCTCTGCATTCGCTGGTACTTGTTTCCTTGTAGTCGGGTCAGCTTGCCTGAGCGATGTGTATCGACCGACTGAGCGCGGTACGGCCTTAGGGTGGTTCTTGGGTGGTACCCTGATCGGCCCGGCCCTTGGGCCGTTCATTGGAGGTGTTATCATAACATACTCAACTTGGCAAACCCTTTTCTGGTTTCAGGGTGCTATAGGGGGCGTCGCCATGGTCTTATCTATTGCTTTTCTACCGGAAACTACCCATGGCAAGTGGTCAGACGAATTGGAGGGTTTGACGGTGAAAGAGAAGTGCGGCCAAATTTGGGAGTGGGCGAACCCATTCCGGGTTATTGCTTTGTTCAAGTACCCGAAAATCTTCATTGTGGTAAGTCTTCATTCCTTTGGCATTTCAACGCCCGTCAAAATTGGAGTTGGGTTCCCGAGCCAGAGCGGGAACAGATCGCGAAGCAGTATTCAGTGCCACGATTTGAGCGAATGGCTGGGCAACCCTTTTAGAACCTGATCTCTCGTGCATTCCTAGCTCACCAAAAGAATAGGGAGTAGCAGCATCTTCCTTAATGTGGAACATGCAAATCCTTTTGACGCCAGTACGATACGTTATAAACCCCAGATTCCATCTTACCTCCCCGTTGCAATCGGGGTTCTTCTTCCTCGCACCCGGCGCAGGTTATCTCGTTGGAACTTTCTTTGGCGGCCAATACGCCGACAGAACCGTCAGACAATGGATCACTAAGCGGGGAAAGCGTGTGCCCGAGGATCGACTTCGAAGCTCATTCGTCGCAATGGGTGTGGTCATTCCCGCTAGCATCGTCATTTATGGATGGGCGATTGACCAAGCCAAAGGCGGCATTCCTCTCCCTGTTATCTGCATGTTCGTGCAAGGTGTTGCTCAGATGATTTGCTTCCCTTCCCTCAACAGTTACTGCTTGGACGTCTTCCGCAATAGAGCGGCAGAGGTAATGGGTAAGAAATATTGTTCATCCTATTGCTAAGGTCTTAGCTGACAGCTGAAACAGCTGGTAACTACTTTATACGGTACACCATTGCTGCTATTGGTACAGCGGTAGTTCTCCCGGGCATCGATGGAATAGGCGTGGGTTGGTTTTCGACTGTGAGTGCCCTGTTTGTTGCGGCATCGAGCGTTGCTGTCTGCTGTATTGTCATTTTCGGCACAGAACGAAACAAAGCAGAAGAAAAGTCAGCACAGGCCTGAACGACTTGAGAGAAGTTAATATCATTCATGAAAAACTAGATTCTCATATTCAATTAAACAAAGACACCTGTCTGCCAATCGTCATGATGAAAATAGCCTGTGTTTATTCTAGAAGGAAATATGGAACTCACAAACAAGCTTAAAAAACATCGACCAGCCTCTGAGTTTCGCTTGTGACTGGTCACTCACGGACGTTATGTTCATTGTGTATTGTGTTGAGCACAGTTCTTCACTCCATAGTACAAGGGAGTCTGTAGTCAAGGCGACCATTGGGGGGGATACCTGACCTGACCTGACCATTAGTGGGGCAAAAGTACCGCGCACGCACTAAGCCAAGTAGGGTTAGTGGATAGGGTCGGCTAGGGTTCGGTTAGGGTTGGGGTTAGGATTCGAGTTAGGGATTGGTTAGGGTAATGGAATATTGTGTTAATCCGGCCAGGCCCACACCCTGGTCAGGTTATCAGCAATGGTCAGGTCAGGTCAGATACCCCCCACAATGGTCGCCTTACATGTAGTCTCAGTACAAGGACAAGAGATAAATCTCTCGTGAGATTAAAAAAGAAGAAAGATGGATTTTTTTTTTTTTTTGTACAAGCTCTTTGTGGCACGTTCATCATTCACGATAGACGCATCAATGTCAAGCAAAAGGCGCAACCAGCTTGTGGGCCGGTCATCTGAGCCAACCTCATCAGGGATAGTGTTGGCAACAGGGCGCACAGGCTGGAGTCAATGACTCGGTCACAGGCTGATTGACTTCGAGGCAAGTTTATGTGCCAACGTGTCTTTCAGAATCACTGGAATCAGTGATAAGATATATAACGCTGTTCTAGCTCGAATGATGGCAGTACTACGAAACGGAGTATTTCTACAAAGGCTACCAGCCAGGCTAGTGTGTCGCTTAAGGGCGCCAGTCATTCATTTGTCGCGCAATAGCCCAGCCCTCTTTTACGCTGGTCACCTCGCCACTCGCTTCGCGTTTCATCGTAAACTGCTTTCATCTTCAACTCCAACAACTATGGCAAGGTCTATGGAAAACCAGGAAATCAAGCGGCCGGCGACGGCTATCAGACCAGCTGCCCTTGCTGATGCCACAGCGATCTCTGAACTTGGAGCGCACGTATTTACGGTTACGTTTGGTCATTCGGTTGAGCCGCATGAGCTGCAAGCATTTCTCGACGAGTCTTATAGCCTCAAGGCGACCATGAAAGATCTCGAGGATCCCAAAAAGGACACAATCCTGGCTACGGATTCAACGGGCGATATCTTGGGCTTCGGCATGCTCACTCGGGGCACATCCGAACCGTGCCTGAGCCACCTCGATGGGCTTGTCGAGCTGCAACGCATATACATGCATCCCAAAGCACACGGCACGGGAGCCGGCAAGCTCCTAGCGAACAAGTTGGAGGAGATGGCTAGGGAACAGGGATTCAAATACATTTGGCTGGGTGTCTGGCAAGAGAACCACCGGGCGAAAAAAGCATATGAGAAGTGGGGGTACAAGGCATGCGGCACCCATGGCTTTGCTGTTGGTCCCGTAGTACAGACTGACGACATCATGGTGAAAAAGCTCTGAATCCAAGGCTCTAAGCTATGCGGGACAGGCTATCTTGGAATGTGAAGGGGGCTTATCATGCACAGGCGAGCTTATTCCAGTCATCTAAAGCATGATATACCAAAGAGGAACACAATGGTTGCAAGTTCAAGAGGGAAAATCAATCCAAAGCGGAGGGACGTTTGGCTAGATTGATTAAGACAGCTGTGATGAAACAGCCCCCTGATCCATAATTGTTTACTAGAGCCTCTCGTTCACATTTTCTTCCAGTCATACTGCAGACTCCAAGCGTAGGCAACTCGGTAGACGTCTTCTTCATGCCACCACTTTCCAATCAGTTGCATACTGACGGGCAACTTCGTTCCAGACCCTGCTAGAAGGCCCTCCTCTATCGGCAGCATGCCAATAGGCATCGCTAACACTGGGTGTCCAGACTGGTTGAAAGGTGCTGTGTTGGCAGTAAGTCCGATTTGCTTTCCAACCTTCTCCAAAGGCGATGCATCGTAACGGGTGTGAGAGTTGGCGACGTAAGGCAAGTTTGGTGCCACGAGGATGTCATAGTGCGAAAGGGCGCGATCGTAATCATCGCGGAGCTTCCGACTAAGATTTGTTGCCTTGCCAAGCAGTCCCGGAAATGCAGCTTGCGCGTATACCCCGTTGAGGTAGATATTTTTCGAGGAGACGTAGGCGCTATCCCACTGGTCCTGTGTCAAGGTTTGGAACTTCTGTGTCAAGTCGTTCATGGCGTGGCCCCGTCTACCAAAGGCGAGATTTCTCTTTGCTAGATACCCCCCGGTCTTGCTAATTGCGGTCCAAATAGCCGCTCCTTTAGAGTGGAAGGGGATTGACACTTCTTCAACGGTCGCTCCAAGTTCGCGGAAACCCTGAATCGCGGCCTCGACACATATTTTGACCCGTGTTTCAACAGATGGTTGATTCATTGCTTCTGCAAGGATGCCAATCTTGAAGCCGGATAGATCTTTCGGACTTTTCAACTGAATCAAGTTGTGATAGTACTTGGGAACATTGTCGGGTGTGTGTGCAGGAAAAGACCTGTCATCGATGTTGTCGTTCCCTGAGATGACCTGCAGCATCAATGCGTTGTCAAGCAACGTTCGTGTCATGGGTCCAACATAGTCGTTGGTTGGCTCATTGGAGCCTCATGCTGTGTATGGTACTAGTCCGAACGTTGCCTTCATACCGTACAGCCCACACCAACCGGCAGGGACACGGATGGAACCTCCTTGATCTGCACCAAGAGCCATATCAACGTCTCCGTTGGAAACGAGAGCACCGGAGCCACTCGAGCTACCGCCACTGCTGTAGCCCTTCGCGTAGGGGTTATGAACATGGCCCGTTGAGGATGAACTGCTCGTCGCTGAATGACACATGTTTTCACATACGGACTTGCCCTCAATAATTGCCCCTGCTCTGAGTAGCCTCGTTACACAAGTCGCGTCTGTGCTCTAATTATCAAAGCAAATTAGCAGTCATGAGACGCGTCGTTGAATAGACAAGACTTACCGGAACATAGTTTTTGACGAAATCGGTACCAAGAAGCATGGGAACGCCTTTTACGGCGATGTTGTCTTTGATTGCAATCTTTTTGCCGGCAAGTAGGCCACCATTTCTGGTTTTGTCTTCCACACGACACCGCCATGCCCAGGCTCCCAAAGGGTTGTCTGATGCCTCGGGGAATCTGATGTCCTCCCTAGGGAATCGTTCCTCGTCAACTGGCGGCACATAATCTGTGGAAGAAAGTGTTAGAGTGTTGTGATAGGAGGTGGGTCACATACCTGGCAATGACACGAGTTCCACAACAGACTCGTGGAACACGGCAAGAAGTCGTTGATAGTCATCTTTCTCTTCTTCTTTTACAGAAACTCCAAGAGTCGCCAAATTTTCATCAAGAACTCTCCCATCTACTGGGTTAGTCTTTGCCACTTCCAAGGAAAAGACAGACATGATGTTGTTATTACTTGAGAGTAATTGGAAGAAGACAAGGAGTACATCAAGCAAAACATATTGATGTTGAAAGAAGTTTCAGGCGAGATGCCAGTTGGCGCCTACTTCGGCCGCGGAACGCCCAACACACCATATTTGTTCCCGGAGGTTTGGAAGAGCCTTGGTGGCGAATTCCTGTGGTCTTCGGAATGCTACAACGACGACGTCCCTTATTGGCTCGACTTGCCTTGGGAGAAAGACTTGCCAGAGGACAAGAGGGAGGGGATGCTTTTTATCCCTTACAACTATGATTGTAACGACGGAAAGTTTCATATGTCGCCAGGATTCGGCAGCTCCGTGGCCGAAACATACGAGCAGTACTTGAGGAACACTTTCGACTGCCTCTACCGAGAAGGAGGCAAAATGATGAACATTCCTTTACATACGCGCGTTATAGGTAAGCCAGGCAGATCGGAGGCGTTGAGGAAGTTCATGAAGTACGTTGCGGAAAAGGAAGGTGTATGGGTTACGACGAGACGAGCCATTGCGAAGCATATGAGATCCCACTTCCCATACAAACCTAACAGAGAGTGGATGAGGGGCGCATGATGTAGAGATACCATTCTATTGAACTTATCATACATAAGACTTCTGATATCCGGCATTACTACTGCTTATCTAGATCCATATACTATAGCGGAAAATATATAGATAAAGTATAAACTTTGCGCCTAATATATGCTGACGGCCGTCGTATAATTGTAAGTATTATGGTATTAATGATTAATTATATTTATCGCGTAGAAGAGGTGGGGCTGTCAGGTTGGCTGCTTCAACTAACGGTTCCCCCACGCTATCTAGGCAAGTTCCCGGGTGGATACAACTACAACTTTTAGCAACTTGCATGCTCAAGGCTCCTTCTTCGAAACGCCTTGTATTATGGGGTCTTCCCCAGAGAGATCCTTTTTTTTCTAAGAGTATCTCTTTTGCGAACATCAGCCTCAATAAACCAGCTACCCTAGAGCTGCGGGAACTCTTCTCTAAGTGCTGTCTTTATAACCTTCAAGCACTCTTCCTTGCGAAATTTCTCCAGGTCAGGCCAGCCGTGATTGCGATATATGGCCTGCACCCTTTCTATCCAGCCGTCACAGGGTAGATTGCGTACAGCCACGGTGTATATGTCGCGAACGGTTTCTGAATCTGTCGGGATGAAGCTCAATGTGATGAACTGGTCCTTGAGAGTCTCGAAGGAATCTTTCACGGCCCAGTGGGCGGCGTCACCACGCCATTCCGCCTCATTCTCTGGCGCCCATTCATAGGGGTCGTCCCAGACTTGCTCGTGTGTGGCCTTTGTACGGATCTCTCCTGGGCAATCGCGCCAATACACGATGCCTAGTTCCGTGTCGAGCAGAAAGGAGGGGCAGTTGAGGCCGCCTGACGTGAGGCTGATGACGTGGGGAGGGACGTCTTCGTAGATATCGGCGCCCTCTGTCACAAGTTTAAACTCTTCATTCGTTGCCTGCCCGTGCTCCACAAAGTAGCAGTCCGTTTGCCAATTCGCAAAACAGCAGTATGCAGCTCCTTGTGGATCATTCTCGTCGTAACGTCTGCGTAGGTAGGGCAGGTGACGGAGAAGGGAGATAACCTCGTCCGATTTGTCGAGCCCTGCCATGGTTTCCGGCGTGATAGAAGGCCAGCCACCCTCTGGAGAGTGCAGCACATCTTCTTCTTTGAGATACATCTTGGTAAGGAAGGTGTAATAATCACGAATTGCCGCTATGCACTCCTCGCGTGAGTAGCTTACTTCCTCAAGTTCAGGCATTATGTTTGTCGCCCTGGCGAGGCGAAGGTTTGAAGAATAAAATGGGTACGCGGTTGTTGTGTCAAGGTGTATTGAGGACCAGCACGAAGATGGTCTTTTATTGACGCTGGATGGCGGCCATACAGTCACTTAAAGGTCGGGGAAAACCACACCAATTAAAAACCCTAAGTAGACATGTTAAGTTCTGTGAGTCAATACAAATGTAAACCTTCTTAGGGTTGCACCGCATGTTGTTCCAGGTTACCATTAGACAGCCAGTGCACTTTTGTTAGGCGGCCAGTGTCTAACCTGATCTTGAATCCCGAGGCCGCAACAACTTCCAACCAACACAACGGCCTGGGTTAGCCGAGACTAGTGAAAATACACTACGGAGTAATAACGGCTTTGGGCATCCGCAGCGGTTATTGACCATCCGACGCACGATAAGCCCAATTGTGGAGGCATTCGCTTCAAAAAGTGCCGAAGCCCCCTTGTAAGACGACAGGACATGATGACCCATCGCTTTTTCCACTCACCACTTTGCCTCATACTAATTCTCGCCGATCCTTCTCGCCGATTACGGGGCCGAGACGAAGCCGAAGGAGCAATCTTTGACGGCGGTGCTCCGAGTCTTTGGTCTCCGAATGACAAATGCCGGTATCCGCTCTTAACGTTGAATCACTAGTTGAAATTTTTCTGCAATGCGATCTCCTCAGCAATTGAATCGAACCTGATCTCGATTTTAGTATTAAAATTTCATACTCACTTATTTCAAGATACCTTCATTGTTGCCGTCGTCCAATGCTTCATTATCTTGTCAATTAATAGTCATGACGGATGCCGAAAAGAGCCTCCAGGATCAGACCAACATCCTACCCTTCAGAAAGCTTCTTGTGGTCTCCGCGACTCTGGCAGTCACCCTATTAGTAACGTTTATCGATCAAAATGGAATTAGCGTCACATTACCTACCATTGCCGCCGACCTCAACGCGGAGGATACCATCTCGTGGGCTGGTACCTCGTCTCTCATTGCAAACACAATGTTCCAGATGCTCTACGGGCGCTTTTCCGACATCTTTGGCCGTAAAGCCATCTTCTTAAGTGTCATTGCGCTTCTGTCCCTCGGCGATCTACTATGCGGACTTTCGCAAAGTGCTACCATGTTCTACGTCTTCCGCGGCATCGCAGGCATCGGCGGAGGCGGCATATAGAATCTTGCCATGATCATTCTCTCCGACGTTGTCACTCTTGAGCAACGTGGAAATTACCAGGGTATCACTGGGTCGATGGTCGGGTTGGGCAGTGCCATTGGCCCTTTTCTTGCTGCCGCCTTTGTCGAGAAGACGACATGGAGAGCCTTTTTGGATGCTTTCACCAATGGGGCTCATAGTCGGAATCATCGCAGACTAATTATTGCCATCTAAGCCGTCGGAAGAGGACTTTATGAAGGGCTCCAAGAAAATCGACTATGCTGGTTCTCTTACCTCCTCGGCTGCGGTCGTCTTATTGCTAATTCCTATCTCTGGAGGTAAGTTTCAACTGCAGTCTTGCCCTCAAGTTATGAGCAAGCTGTCGTTGCATTCGCTTACATGCATCAGGTGGTGCATATTTCCCATGGAACTTGGCAATGGTAATTTGTATGCCTGCAATCGGCGCCATTTCCCTGGTCACTTTTGTGTTCGTCGAGTGGAAGTTTGCAAAGCTCCCGATGATGCCAGGCAATGATACCATGATATGCCATTTTGTATATCTATTCTTTAGATTGCTGATTAACTTGACACAGTTTCAATTTTCAAGGACAAAGTAGTTGTTGTTCTGCTGATACAGTGCTTTTTACTTGGTGCAGTGTATCCATCATATCTGTACTACATCCCGCTCTACCTACAGAACGCCCATCAGTATTCAGCCATCCATTCTGCTGCGATTACCGTTTCATTCATGGTAACACAGACGGTGTTATCGATTCTCTCTGGCTAGTATATTTCCAGAGTCGAACGCTACGGAGAGGTCATTTGGGCCGGTTTCAGTCTATGGACATTGTATGTCAAAGCCTTGACTCTTTGATTAGCGCGATGCTGACAACTGACGATCGACGCAGAGGGGCGGGACTGACTTTAATATACGATTAAGACACCAAGACAGGAATCATTGTTATCCCGCTAATCGTTATCGGCATGGGAGTTGGTCTCATCTTCCAGTCAACTCTTGTGGCTCTTCAAGCCCATTCTACAAAGTCCCGAAGAGCAGTAATCACTTCCAACCGAAATTTCTTCAGATGCGCAGGTGGTGCTTGCGGACTCGCTGTATCTGCAGCAGTACTACAAGCGACGCTGCGCACACATCTCCCACCAGAGTTCAAATACTTGTCAAGCAGTAGCTATTCGATACCTAAGCTTGACGAGCAGGACATGGCCGTAGTTCTGGATTCTTATATGGCAGCAAGCCGGGCCGTCTTCATTTTACAAATACCGTTGATCGGTCTATGTCTGATCGGCTGCTTGTTTGTCAAGGATCAAGGTTTGCACCCGATCGATGATATAGAACCCACAGATGTTACCACTGAAAGTCGAGATGAAGAAGTAGAAGTTTCACGCGTGAAGATTACTCGTAATAACGATGGTAACGTTGGTGAGCAGATAATGCCGCCTTCTGCCAGGGCTCGGTGAGGCTGGGAATCAACACTGGTTCATGGTTCATGATCTTGATGATATAACGAGCAAGGACAAGTTAGAAGACAAATATCTCGTGTGATAAGTCGAATGTCTGAAAAGTGGGGTAGAAAAGTAACTGGGTCTTAGTATTAGTCTATAAGGCGGAAAGAACGTTAGATATAATAGTCCCCTAGACGCCTCGAGTCATGCCCGATGTGACTTTACAAATGTAATGTGCTATCGTAATTTTCGAATTTAGAGCTTGACTTCATAGCCTTCTTCAGGTTTCTTGAAGGGCTTCGTGATCCTCGGAAGTAGACTGCCCCTATCTTCTAGCTAGTAGCACGTCAGAACTTATTTGCATACGGGTTGTTTCCCACGATTGGATCCGAACTTTGGCCAGAGTGGGTTTCTGCATGTAATGGAACAAGGGGGATTCGTTTGTTGTCACCCAAAACGGGCCCTGAAGTTCGCTTACACACTAACTACATGCTCACGCGATTCGCCGTTGAGTCCTTATGGGGATCCTGCGGAGAGAATAGCTTGGGGAGGGGTACATATGCCACTAGAAACGCCTCAGACCATTACTTAGGTACGTTGCCAACATGTAGAGCTACGATAGGAAAAGTCAGTATAAGTGACTTGCCCAATGTTCAGCACAACAAAGAAGGTTCTAAAATCGATGGATAGAAGCACAGTACCATGAAATGCGTTAGATCGTCACCCATCGCACGACCGACCTTGGTTTCGTCACCTATTTGCATCCTAGCGATTGACCCGCTCTTCACAAATAACGCAGGTGGTTGGGGGTCAACTCCCCAGATCCGGACCCGCATAGCCGCTTGGACCCAAGCCTAAACGGCAATTTATGTGGGGGTCACTCGTTTCCTATCTTAGCTAAACTTACTTATTAACCCCCCCATGGGATATAAGACGGACTTAGTTCGGAACAGGTGAGACGACCTTAGGATGGTTGGAAGGGGGGGAGGGGGGGGGGGGGGGGGTTGAGAGGCATCCCTAATATGAGCATTCAAGTTTGTGCAGTGCATTGATGATTTATAATCCTTCTAACCCCCCATAAGCGGTCTAGTTGTGCAGTTTTACTTAGGACGTGGACATCACCATATGTAATCCCTATGCGCAGCATTAACGGAAAAATACTGGCAAGGGCAGATCGACGATGAGGAGGTTCAGATAGTCTTCAAAGCCAACTGGTACCCTGAAAATTTCAGCCTCAGGTGGTTTTGAGCATAATCTAGTGTCACAACCCCATATTAAAAACTGCACGGATATACCGGGGTCATTAATTGGCAAGAAAGGTTTTGCGGATTATTTGTCAGAATCAGACCACTGTTTGCTCAATGGAACGCTCGTACTTGACAGATCGCATTGTTGCCTGAGTTGACATGTAGTGTCTTTTTTTTTCAATAACAAAAAAATTGCATAATGTCATCGAAGCCACTTCGTAAAGGACCTTCCCATGCCCTCATCATGATCAACTCATTTTTGCAAGGCTGCCTCAACAGCTACCAGTTCAGCGAATTCATCAAGCTGCTTGGCGAGTCTCTCCCCCTCTAGCAAAGCACAGGGCTTCCTTGGAAGACCTCCGTAGTTATAGTACTCTTGGAGGGCTGCCTTGACCGAAACGAACCCACCCTGGATCGCTGTCCAGTCACCACGAGCAACGACGGCTTGAAGCTCCCTTGCCTCTATTAGTTTCCCCTCGTTCCATAGGTCCATGACCTTCATACAAGCTAGAGGTGCGATGTTGCCAGTTCCCCCAATGATGCCATGGCCCCCAACGACCAGCATTTGGAGGGTGAAATCGACACTGCCGCCAAACGTACGGAACGGGGCGCCCGTATCTCCTTTCTTTGGAGCTGTCGCAGCGGCTATCCGCGCCAACTTTCCCGTATTACCGCAGGTCAGCTTCACGCCGACAATATTATGGTGCTCTGAGAGGGCAATGATTGTATCTGAGTTGAGATCCAGACCGCTACAGGCGCCCGGGTAGTTGTAGATGAGAATGGGGATGGGGCTGGCGTCTGCGACGTCTCTGAAGTGTTGAAGTATGTGCTCGGTAGTGAGAAGGCCTCCGTAGTATGCCGGTGGAAGAACCAAAGCGTAGTCACCGCCTGATGCCCCGGCTTCTTTGCAGAACTGGATGGTCTCTCTTGTTGACTGTGCACCGCAGCCGACCAGTAGAGGAAGGTTGCTTCTTCCGGCCGAGTCAAGCGCTGCTCGTGTGGTTTGGTTGATGAGCTGTCTTTCGGCGTGATCAAGATGCACAGCTTCACCGTTGGAACCGTGGGTGACGAGGCCAGCAACACCCGCCTTGGCTAAACGGACGGCATGGGAGGTGGTCGTTTCAACATCTACCGAGTCGTCGGAACGAAAAAATGCTACCGTTGGCACGTAAAGCCCCGGCATCAAAGCCGGTCTTGAACGGTGGCCCGAGTCATCGTCGTTGTGATAGGAGTTCCCGCTGGCTGAAGGAGACATGATGACCGATAAGATGGGTAGTTATTTGGAGGACCAGAAAAGGTATGTGTCTTTAGATAAAACGAGAGAGGGATGATGATGACGGGTTAGGTTCGTCGCGCACTAACCTTATGTAAAAGATAAACAAAGAGCCAGACCAGTCGTGCGTAGTTCATCGAGGGATCAGTTTTCGCCCCCTCTTAAGTTAGTTGGTGTAGGTCGTGCACCCAACAAGAACACCGAAAATAGAGAATGATCCCGGAGTCCAACCCCCACGCCGGCATCTTGAGAATATCATATGATTCACAATCTTACAAGGCATCATCCCAACTCTACCTAGAGCCCTCCCCCCCACAGATCAGGGAAGTCAAACGGGTGGTAGATGATTCCGCGGGGGGTTGGCACCAAATGATTACGGTTCTCCGCCACCCAAGGGAGAATCCTTCAGTCACTCCACTGTATCTTCTCCACAGACTAGACTTAGCCCAACAGAACATGTACCTAAACGATCTCGGCGCGAAATCAGCAGATTGATCAGTCGAGACGGTGACATCTAGGGTGGAAACCGGCGTGGTGTCCGCCCAGCACGCGACTCGCTGAATATGTCGCTACTTTGATGAAGTAATGTGAACTTAAACAGCGAGGCCGAGCCCTGGAATCGCCACGAGGGGTTCTGTGCCTTGCTTCTCGATCATGTTGGATACGGGAATAACAAGAAGGGACGGTGAAACTGCTTTGCAGCTCCCCCTAATCCTTTCATAGAGTGGCAGGTGCTCGGCAAGATTTGATCTCGGTAGAGGATCGGCAGCGTCCGGCTATGCTCGGCAACTCGAGTCATCAGCGCTGGTAATGACCGCCCAACGACTGACCCCCTCCCCGGATTCTCAAGCGCACGCAATCAGGTCAATAAGGCAATGGAAGCAGCTTTCTTAGAGAGGGGGCATCATTCCCGGTTTCTCGGGCGTATCCTACAAACGGAAAACAGCACCCGATCGATGTTATAGTGTCGTCCAATCGGGGATTATTCTACCACTAAGGACTAAGCCGCCGGTCACCGGATTGGACGAACTCATCGCTTCGACCGATGACGAGCTTTGCCACGACTCTGAACCCAAGGCGCCAACCGACCACTTATTTCACATAAGCGACTCAAGGGCGGAGATGAGAGAGTGGCGGCATGGACACGAGAACAAAAGTGCCTACTGGCCTCCCAACAGGTACAAGAGTCCAGAACTGTTTCGAAGGCCAACCGTTGGCGAACTCTTCATGGCCAATCATCCTAGGCAGACTTGCCCGCAGGGGGGCGAATGACCAATGGAATTACGTAAAGGAGGTAAGAACTCGTCTGCTTGATCCCGAAGGACTGTGGATCGCCGGGATTAAATTACAAAGTGTTGGCTTTGTCCATGGCGGGTACCTACCTAGTCATCCATTCATTTTGCAAACACTTCCATCACGACTTTCACATTACCGATATGATCTTGTCACTCTTGTGGTGAGGGGCGAGGAACGAAAGACTGAGAACATCACACTTCAGCTTCTGGCCAAGGCCACGAAGGTCAAACCGAAGGAGCAGGTCACTATGCCTACAGCGAAACCTACATCGCGACTTTGGCCGGGATCGGAGGTTGTTATCGACACCGCGACTCAGGATTCCCCGCAGCAACAGTCTTTACGACAAGTTGTTAATAGAAAGGCAACGCTAGATGATCGAGCACGTGTCCTAGATAACAAAGCAAGAGAGAGACAAGGGCCACATCAGTTTCGAGGGCGGCACAAAGACATCACAGAAGCACAACCTCGGCATTTTATGACACGGAGTGCTTTAATTCCCGACGTGTATAATAGAGGAGCACGCAGCAACTGTATCAATGCGCTGGCTTGTTCCCACCGGCGGCCAATAACAAGGACAGCTCGAAGCTTTTGCGCCGAGCGGAGATTTATCTCAAGTACGATATCCCGGTCTATCCCAAAGGAGTATCTCATCGCCGTCTGGAACCTCATCGCTGGTGTTATATCATCGCAGTCACAGAGGTGTTACTTGGAAGATGGGCCAGAACCTCCCGGAAAGAGGATCGAAGATGCTGCCCGATTGGTCGCTAGGTCAGCCGATGAATGGGGGCATACAGTGGAGGAAGATGATCCAGGGTCGTTGAGAGCGCCCAGAACACCAGAGGAAAAAATTAAGCTCGTCAGGCAGGCAAGCAGGATTCGCGAAACGGCGTTGCAGGTTGCGAACTGTGCGAATGATTGGGGCGAGAGGTTAAAGAGAAACCGATCTTCGTCATAGCTGCGGAGATGAAACCTCGGGTCTGCGGCCACATAGAACGCAAACATGGAACCGAACGTAGTAGTTACAAGAAGTAGCTTTGGTGGAACTTTTCTCGCTCACGAACCCGTATCAATCCACCACATATCCAAGTGCACAATCCAGGTAACATCCATAACAGTCGCCAGACATGTGTGTGTTGCGTGCTGACATGAAGGGCGGATCCCATGCGGATCTGTTGGTTTTGTTGATGGTGATACTTCCGAAGGCCTATTGGCTATACCAACAAGACCACACCATGAAGCCAAGCCTCCAATTGACACGGCCCCAACTCTCTAGAGGCCTCCAATGATGAAGACGAAAAGAATGGTCGTTACCGACTTCCCCGCCCCGGTTGGCCAAGGAGTGAGGGGAAACATAGGGCGCCACGTCAGGCACACCCTGGCCCCCTGGACCGAACACGGACGTGACCCCCAATTTGCCTCCGTCTTAATCCCCACGAGACAGGGACAGGGGTGTCCGGGGTACAGGTGACTGAACCTCCGCAGCCGGTTATCGGGGGGGGGGGGGGGGGGGGGGGCTAAAAACCCATGATAGAGGAGAACTCGCCAATCTATCATCTCACTGCGGTTCTCGTACCTCTACGGCGTTGTGACGGGATAGCTTGCAAAGAACAGCTTGGAGGGACCACCCGCTATCAACTGTGACGGGGCCACCAAAAGTGTCGCCCAGCCTGCATCGCTCCCAGAATGCCTGACGACAAACAGCTCGATGTCCTGTTGTACGGACTTGGAGCGTGCGTTGCATCACATGGTTTAGCTAGTATAAACCGAAACATTGACGCGAACTGACAGGATCGGATCATTCTATGCTTTCATTCTAAGCAGAGCACCACACGTTCGATTGACAGTTGTCGCAAGATCGAATTACGACGCAGTGAAAGAGAATGGAATCACCCTCTACAGCGAGAACCATGGGGAGCATACCATCCGCCCGTACAAAGGTTAACTTTCGATAAGTATACAAAAGTCCCACATTTACATTTCGGGAGCCCATAGGTCGGAAATCGCATTACTGACATCCTAAAGTCCTAAGAAATGCAGCCGAGGCAGAATCCAAATTTGACTACATCATCTGCGCGCACAAGGCCATCGCGCAGAATGCCGTTCCGGCGCAGATCGCCCCGGCGGTAGATGAAGACAAGTCAACGATTGTCATTATTCAGAACGGCGTTGGCAACGAAGTGTCGTTTCGTCAAGCGTTTCCCCATACAACAATCATCTCATGTGTAGTGAGTGGCTTCGGCTCTGGGCCTGGACCTTTGAGTACTGACAGATCAGACTTGGACGGGAGCGGCGCAGCCTCAGCCTGGGCTTATCAAGCATACAAAGTCGGAGGATATGCAGATAGGGTTATACAAGAACGACGCCGACCAAGGAGTCGAGCAACAACGGCTGACCGAGTTTGCCTCTTTACTGACTAAGGGCAAGACCGTCTTCCAGGTGGTGCCCGACGTTCAGGTTCAGCGTTGGGAGAAGGTGGTCTGGAATGCCGCTTGGAACTCCCTGACAACGCTTACGCTTCTCGACACACACTCCTGGCTGAGCTCATCGCCAGAAGCCAAGCCGATGACACAGTGCCTCATGAGAGAAGTCATCGACGTCGCCAAAGCTTGCAACGTTCCTATCGGGTACGACTTGACTGACAAGCTTATCGGCAAAATCCTGGACATGCATCCAATTGGCAGCAGCATGCAAAATGATTTCAAAGCTGGGAGGCCGATGGAAGTTGATATTATCCTCGGCTACCCATACCGAAAGGGCAAAGAATTAGGCATTGCAACACCGACGTTGGATACGATTTATACCATCTTGACCGGTACCAACGTCCGGCTACTTAGAAAGTCTGAGCAATGAATAGTTTCATCAATGACGGCAAAATTCTTTGACATTGGTTCCTAATGCGGCGTGACTCCTCTGTCTTTCTAAGCTAATCGTGTAGGCTGGAAGACTACCGTTTCATAGTCCATTCCCTCCAAGACACAAAACCCAAGGTTTTGCCCTGGTCGAGGGAGCATGAGTACGGGTATTGGGCCGTCCACGATTTGGTACGTAGCTATGACAGACCTTGCCTTCTAACATACCGCTTTACAGAGGTATAATCCATTACCCACCCGCCAGGTAGGCGCGTTATTATTATTATTTAAATAACTGTATGCTTACGATGCAATTGCGGCTATAATCTTTGGAATTGATTACGTTTTTCCATTGTGAAATTATGCTGTCCCTAGAATACTACGTTACTCTAAAAGCTCGCATTCTAACATATCGCTTAAACAATCAACGATGTTAAATCAAACTACTCCTACCTACCTGACACACATTGACTTTGCTTTCGATCACCACTATCATCATCATGGATTGATTAATATATACGCTCATTCAATTATCCTCTATGTTGACTGCCTTATACACACTCCTGTGACAACATGCCCAGATAAGTAGGGTCCCAACCGATCTATGGCCTCCTATTGGCTAGATTATAAGACATCAAGTATTTCAAGTCAATCGGAGGGGGTCGAATTGACTACTTGAGGGATGGCGATGGCCTCAATTTGACTAGTTGGGTTGAATAATTTGTCAATCCGATTGCACTTGCGGAGACGCTGGAGAAAAAGTCGAGGGAAGGGGGAGAAAGACGAGGAAACAAGGGAAGAGCCAAGAGGGAGTCGGGACAACCAGTACTCGAAGGGAATTCCTTTTCTCTAGGCGCCCCTCGAAGTGTCGGCTTTACTGAGTGGTGAGGAAGAGATTCGAGCGAGAGGGAAAGGGGCAAAAGCACTTCCAAACAGACCCCCCACCCCTGCTGTCAGTCGAAGAGGGAGAGGAAGAGTCGGGGGGCCAAAGGCAGAGCGCTGGGAGAGATGACAGAGAAGGGATGGAGGAGACGGAATGGCCAGAAGACGAGGGCGCTTACCCATGACCAACCAGTTTTTCCAAGTCGAAAAGTTTGGGGTATGTTGTGCGCAATTACCAGGCTGGATCGCGGCGCAAGAAATCAACTTCAACGTTGGTAAGCCTATGTGCTGATAGGAGGCTTTTGTATTGATGAGAGCAGGATGAAACCTTCCGCCCATGTACTGGGTACTTCGGGCCCCTGCAGCTATAGTCACAGAACGGGCAGGCAAACATACCAAAACGATAGGAAGCGGACGTCTATGTGCCAAGCTCATGCCAAACTCGGCAGCTGTTAGTTACCTCTGGTTATCAGTCACTTTAGGTGCACAATTGTGTATCTTCCACCTACTTTCTTATCCTCCCGCTTCCCAGTCAGTTTCAGTACGTATGTGTTTGTGATACTAAGATGCAGCAGTCTGTTGGCTCACTGTATGTCAGCTTTCTGGGTGCCGCCATCTGAAGCAACAAATCCATTTCAAACATTTACAATAAAATCTACAACATGCTTGTTCACCAGTCATAAATTTCCAACCTTCAAAACAAAACCAGTCTTCATTGGACGTTTGCTGTTTGTCTCAATTTTCCTACAACTACCCATGACTAATTATTAAATAAACCTAAAAACTTGTCACACTGAGTTAGTCTTCAAATACTCCTCCTTTTTAGATGTTTTCAAGGGTCGTCCAAAACATTTCTATAATTGCGTAGCTCAATCCTTTCGACAATTTATACCATTCAGTTCCCTCATAAGAAAACAGACTAGAAAGAAATCCAGTGCCTTCATTAGCACCACACACTCTAACTACGATGCGTTGGGTATTCCAAATCCTCTTTCTTCTTCTCCTTCCCCTTTTTTACTTCATCCTCCATTTCCAGTCTCAGCAGACTTTGGTTAAGGATAAGATCAGACGGAACAGAAGGATAGCTAACTTTGACATTTTCCACCCGAACTCACTTCGCAACCGCCTACAACTCCGCGCAGGCCCCAACGCCCGCCTTGTCACGACTTTCGGCATCCAAAACTCCTTTACAACTACGGATGTGGCCCAACATATGAAGTTCCTTCGACGCGCCATACAAGCCATTAACAGCGCTGATAAAGCCACATGGTACAGAGTCTGGACACTAGCCAACGAGACGACAAGTGTGTTGCTACGTATCAGCGAGAACACAGTCAGTGTTGAACGCATCGCCCGCATCTTATGTTTTGATGTCGTGCTAGAGCTCCTTTTTAAGCATACGCGTCTCAAGCCATACGACATTGACCACGCGGACCGCGCTACAGAACTCATCAACATTCTTTGGCAACAGTCTAAGAAGGGGTTGAGTGAGCAGACGCCGATCACACAGGAGCACACACTGGATGCTTTGCACGCAGCGCTACGTAAACTGGTGTCTGGCAGAGAAGATTCAAATCTGGCACTCATTATGCCGGCTTATGAGACGCTGTGGCGGGTCGTCCTATTAACATACATTCATGTCGCCTTCCGCTACATGGATACCGCCTCAACGAATCTGGTTGAAGAAGTTGTAGAGATTGTGTCTTTCAATCGCGGGGCAAGCGAGAAACTGCATCCGACTGTTGAGCATTTTGCTGAGGTTTGTGATTTCCCTATTATCGCTCTCGCGGCGTCTCAGCAGGTTTCAAAGAGTATCAAATGTTCGGATCGTAACAATAAGCGGTTTGAGCTAATCATCACACATATTAGGAAGCTCTTCGATTGTATCCGCCTACAAAGCGCATTTACCGGGCGTCTGACGTTGGTGCAGTAGCAGCTGATGTTGAGTCTATGCATCATGACTTTCGAATCTGGGGTCATGATGCTCTCCATTTCTGTCCTAGCCGCTTCAGTAAATTGACACAGGACCAGAAGGACGCGTACATGCCCTTCGGCGTAGGTAGGAACGTGTGTCCCGCTATCAACGGTTTCGGCAGGAAGATGATTTCGTCCTTGGTGGTTGTACTTCTTACACGGCTCGGTACAAGAGCTTCGGGGGCGCGAGTCTGGTTTAGCGACGACAAGTTGGATCAAGACAGTACGGCCCCATTGCCAACTGGGCGAAATGACGCCGTGAAGTGGATCGTAAGTCCGGGTGGTACCAGCCAAGGACTTTTGCAGAAGGCTGCCGTAGCCCACTGATGTTTCATGCAATGACAAACTTGTGGTTCAAATGCAAAAGGCATTATAAGTTAGCTTGATTTTAGCAGTAGGTTGGCAAGCTCCAATTGTCGTACCTATTGTCTAGAAATTCACCTAAACATTAAATTAATTTCGAAAGCAAACCCCCGGCCCAATTATTGCTGTAGAGCTTGGATGGCAAGCTAACGACTACTTAAGGCTCTAGATAACCATCGGAATACAAGCCAGTCCAAGCTTCCGGGGAACCAGAAGCCATGGGTTGCGGTTACCAGGCAGACACATCTGCGGGGCGGCCCACAGTCCCCAACGTACTGCACTTTAATTAACAATTAATTATATTAAAATAATAGATATATTCAGATATTCTAATTAGCTAAACCAGTATATATAGGTCTACTACATCCTCCTCGTTTTTTTAGGGTTAATCTAACTACCTATCTATCTACCTATCTATCTACCTATCTATCTATCTACCTACACGTAATAATAATAATAACCTATTACTACTAACCTATTATAACTACGTTATTTATTACTAATTAACCTTTTACCTAATTATTATTATTTTTTTACGTTAATATAGTGCTAGATTTCCCTTAATTAACTACTAGTAAGGCTAACGTAATTAACACGCTATATAATAAATCTATAACCCTCTAGCTGCTGTTACTACCTAACTATAAGGAGGATATAATTAACTTTAACCTAGAGGACTTTTAGAAAGAACTTAATAGTAAGAATATTCCTTTTACTAGCTTACCTACCTATCTAACTATTTACTTTATTAGGACTTACCTTATACGCCCTTAAGACCTAGGCTAGCCTTATTATTATACCTAATAACCTTATTACCTACTATAAGTAATACTTTTACCTTACTAAGCCTATAGAGGTAAGCACTACTAAATTTAAATAAATATAGGCTTTTATTAGTAATTTCTTTAATTTAATAAAAGCTTAAAGCTATACCCCTAGTAGCACTTCTACTACCTACTATTACTACCTACTTTAGTTAACTAAAGTTAATAAGCCTTAAGGTAGTAAGGCTATAATAATATATAACTATACTATATAAGTAGGCACTAGTTACCTTATACGCACTAAAGTTATTAAAGTATAAGTAGGTAACTTTATTATAATAGTAGTTATTTTATAAGTTAGCCTTAGCCTTTATAACTATATACTTAAACGCCTTAATTAAATCTACTTACTATAAGGTATTAAAGACCTTACTACTAAGTAAGTTACCCTTAGTTATTTAGCTACTAAAGTCTACTACGTACTATAAGGCTACTTTAGCTACTATAAGGCTGTTAAGTAGGCGCTAGTAACTATAGGTAGCTATTAGCTTTCTTACTAGGCTATACGTAACGTAGGCTGCTACTAGCTAGCTACTTACCTTAATCCTTACCTTATTAGCTATAACTATTTATAGTACTTATAAGTTACTAAAGTAGAGGCTTATTACTATACCTATAACCTCTAATTTTAGTATTATATAGTCTAATAGGCTAATAAAGTAAGTAAGGGGCTTATATAGGTATCTAAGGCTAGCCTTATATTATTATAGTAATATAGCCTTTTTACTATAATAAATACTACTTACTAAACTAACTAGCTTAGCTAGCTACTTTATACTATTATAGTTAGAGATACTATAGGTAGCTAGATACTAATTAGCTACTTTCTCACTAAAAAAGGTAATACTAATATTATTACTACTTACTTATATATATTAAAGGGCTAGGCTAACTAGTAGTTATATTACTTTCTTACTAATAATTTAGCTATTAAGTAATATGCTATATATAATACCTTTTATAGCTTTATAAATAGTAAGATAAAAGTATTACACTTCCTTTACTATATCTACTATAAAAAAACCCTTTACTATTATCTTATAAAATATCTAACTACTTTATACTATATAATCTTTATATTAAAATACTACTATATAAGGCTAAGTTATTATAAATCTATTACTACTATAATAAAAAGTCTACTACCTAAGTAAGCTACCTATATTAAAAATAACTAGCTACTAACACTTAACCTCTAGGCTAACTATACCTATAACTATTTACTACTACTACTTTAGGCTAAATTAAGTAACCTACTTAAAGGCCTTTATAGCGTTATTAAACGTAGTAACTATTATATACTTTAGTAATTTAGCCTATAAGGGATTATTAAGTATATTAGCTATGTTAATAGTAAATACTTTACTACTACTAAGCTATACCTTACTAACTTTTATAGTAAAGTCCTTTATAAGTAATAAGTCTTACTTTATATTTCTTACCTACTTATACCTATATAAAAGTTAATTACTAGTAAACTTTATAAGGTAAAGATAGTAGCTACTAATAGTTTAGATTTATACTATAATATATAGGTAGGTAATAATAGGCTAGTATATAACTATAGCTTCTATAAGCAGTAGGTATTACCTTACTAATATATCCTCTAATAGGCTATAACTAAGGATAACGTTATAAGTGCCTACTAGTAGTAATAGATATAGAGCTAAAGTAAGGCTAGGTATAAAATATATAAGGCTTATAAGGCATACTATTAGAGCAGGGTAGGGCAATTAGCCTAGAGTAAGGTAGTATGCAGACTAATTAGAAGATTCTAATCCTAATTAAGTACAAAGATATAAGTTAGTATTAATAGGTTTAGAGATAGACATATATAATTTATTTTTTATACTTATACCTACATTCTAATTAAACTAAAGCCTCTTTATAATTTACTTTTAATTATAATAATATAAGATAATTAGGAGTAATTACCTACCTAATTAAGGTATAATTATACTTAATCCTATAGTTTAACACTTATAATTAATATTAATTCTAGATAGATTAATATAATTTATATACTAATTAGTAAGGAATCTTATATTACTTTTAGTGGTTATAGTGTTCTATATAGTTACTACACTATAAGAGTCCTTTATACCCTATACGCTTTTAATAGTCTCCCTTTCTAGAAAATTAACTATAGGTTTAAACTAATTAGAGAGATATCTAGTTAAGCACACTAAGTAAGTTATTATAAAAAGTAATAATAATAAGATAATAGGATTATAAGAAGTAAATAATTAAAGGAATAAAGAAAACCTTAAAAAGATAATAAGATAATAAAGTAATAAATTAGTAACTTAAATAATAGAAATTACCTAATTATAGGACTAAGATAATAGATTAGAACCTTAAAGGTTACTAATTTATAATAATAGCTAAGATAAATTATAAAAATACTAAAAAAGCTAGATAAAGCTCTTAAAGGTCCTTATAAGTAAGGTAGTCTGTTATAATTAGTTACTTATAGTTAATTAATATAGGATAGCGCCTTAAGAATTACCTAATCTAGAGATATAAAGCTATTAGCCTTAAGGCTCCTTATAAGTATACTAATTTAAACACCTATTATAACTTTATAAAGAAATTATAATAAATTAAAAGACCCTCTCTATTAAAAGTTAGTTAATAAGTTTAGCTAAAGCTAAGGATAATTATATAAATTCTACTAATTAGGGGTATAGCCTTAGTTTAAATAATAAGATAAGTTACTTTAGTACTCTTAAGGAGGATCTTAAAGAGTTTAAATTAAAATATAATTATTAAAATCTTTAACTTAATTAATAAGTTATACACTAGATAACTACTAACTAATATAATAAGTAATAACTATACTACCTTTTTTTAAGAGGCTGCTCTTAAGTATACTTTAAGCTTAACCTTAAACACTGCTTTAGTAAGAGGACTAGCCTTTACTAAGTATTAAGAGCTAAAAGGGATTAATCCTTTTAAGAATAAAAAAAGTAGTAATACTTCTAATCTTTTACTTATAATACCTAATTAGAAATAGAAACCTCCCTTTATCTCTTAGGAACTTAACCTTTCTATAGATATTTTTCTTACTACTCTTACTACCTAGATTTAGCCTAAGGTCCTATAAGTAATAGTAAATATAGTCCTTAACTAAGGAGAGAACTTAAACTTTTTTAAGATACCTTTTTTAGGCTAAAATAGTACTATAGTCTTTTCTAAAGATAATATTATTAACTTCTTAAAAAAGTATAAAGATTAATATAAGCTTATATAAGTACTAAACTAATTAAGGGGTATACTAGTAGCCTACTATATAAGGGGAGATTATTAAACTTTAGTAAAAGATATAATTAAGGACTTACCTTAGGTCTAAGCTAAGGCCTATCTCTTAAAGGAGTATAAAAAATAAGATACTAATTAATTTCTTAATAAGAAAAAATAAATTAAGAAGGTTATAAGGGGATTATTAATCTCTAGCTTAAACCTATACTTAGCTAAAGCACTTTTTACTAATATTAATAATATAATTACTAAAGTAAAGTAATAAGGCCTTTATATAATTTCTAATAAGAGCCTAATTAAGGCTATATATAAGTAATTTAACGCTAAGACTATAGAAAAAGCAGTAAATAAAATAAGGATTAGCTTTTTAGCCTTTATTTAATTAATAAAGTATATAATATTTAAGAGTAGACTTCTTAATATAATTACTTATAAGAAGAAGTATAGGCCTTTATTTACTAATAGTAAGGCTAATAGTACTTTTATAATTTAACTAGCCTAGTAATAGTCCTAAAAAAACTTTACTTATTAGTACTAAGATTACTAGTAACTAAAATAATTAACTATTAACGTCTAAGTTAACTAACTAGTCTTAAGTAACGCTAATTAAGACCTTACTAATAGTATAAGTAAACTTAAGATATATTAGAATTCTATCTAGCTAAAGAGGTCTACTTAAGTATTTAAAGTTAGTATAATATAACTAAATTAAGTAAAAGTATTAGGACTAAAGGATAGATATTAGTACTACTAGTTTAATAAGTATTAATTTATTTAAGATTATTAGTAATACACTTTTAATAAGGATATATATCTTATAATTTTAGTCTAAGAAGCCTAGTATTATAAGAAGTAAGATAGGTAAAGTCTAATAAATAA